ACCATCATAGCTTGTAAACCGATTTGGTTAAAGTTTTTTATCGATAGCTTCTTTTGTCAAAATATTAGATGAAACAAAATCGCATTCGGGATGTTATCACAGAATTATTTAAAAATTATTATCAGACTCGCAATTTTAATCCTGACTTTATTTTAAAATTGAATTAAATGATTCACTTTGAGATACATCACTTCACTAGAAAAATTGGACGTGATTTTTGTTTAGTCATGATTATTTTTATTTAAATTATTATTTTTATACTTTTAAAAATGAGTTATGAGGTGGAAGTTTTTTTTAATATTTAGTTCTCTCTAAAGCCTTCAGATACAAAGTGATTATCATATTTATTTACTTACCCTAAACTAAAAAATATTACTAGATACTATAGAAATGGTGAATTTCAGAAGAAAGTTTTTGATTCCTTTTTGTCTAAAAATTTTTATATAATGTTTAGGTAGATGATGTAGATTTTTCATTTTTTTATTACAGCTTATTTTGGCTGTTTTTGCTTGTATAATGCCAATTAAAGAGAAATAACGCCTTATACACCATGTAATAGCAAATGTCATAAAAGAAAATAGTATAAATGATTTTTGGTATACGCACTCTAAGTGAAACTCTCGTCAATTTTCAGGAGTGCGTGAAGTTGACTTCAAGTTAAGCTAAATAAAAAAAGATTTACTGATTGAAATAATTTATGAAACTTTAGTTAATAAAATACGAAAATTATTTTTTATTGAACCAATTAAGAAAATACATGTTCCCTTCAATAAAATGCTTATTATCAAATTTCGATAATCTTTTCGTAAATATTAGCATATAACTTGTCCAAAAAGGCATATGTGGTGGTAGGTACCTGAAACCTCACTTTAAGCAAGTCTGTTTCGTATATGAGCAATTTCATAATTAGCACACCTATAATAACTTTATAATAACTTAATTAAAAGATCTCGTTGGCATCGGTTGAAATAAAAGACTTGACCCATAAAAAGATCCGATAATGCAATAAAATAAGTATTGTAATCAAAAAATAGAAAAAATATTTTTATTTTTTATTTTAATAATACCATGAATAATAAATAATTACAATTCGATACAAATACCCGACGGACCATTTCTTAGCTTATTGATTAAAATAACAATTTTGATTTTCGAAAGTATTTAATAGTTAGTTCAAGTTTTCAGTAACGCGTTTAAACCATTTATTGTAAAAAAAAATATTTTGAAATCAGCAGCTTTTTAATGAGTATGTAGTTAATACCCAACTCAGTATCTACTTGCATCTTGTATGACGGCATTTTATTGACTAAATTGTATTAAGTACAAGAGACTGTGGCTGTTCAATCAAATTGCTTGCTCAGCATATCATTATTTGTTTACAATATGACTGTATGACAATTAAAACATTACAAAAGCACGTGGGTAATCACAATTCGTTTAGTTTGTATTCCGGCAGTGATGTGAGCGGTTCTAAACGTTCACTAACGTCTTGGGTTACGTCAGTCTGGCCCGTGAAGTCGCAGCAGAAAGCAAAACAAACGCAGTTTGTACGCGTTTTAATAACAACAAATTCTGATAACCGGTTTTCTGAAAGGCTTAAATTGAAATCTCAATGGCAGTGCATCGGTGTCAGTGACTTCTATACTAAACTCCTTGTTGATCTAGACGTTATTTCCGTGTATTCGATCAGCCACAGTTAGCTTGTGTTTACGTCATTTAGTTCGCGGATCATATGAGTCGGTCTCGGTGATTCACTGGAGGTTGCCGGCAGTATTTCTTTTTGTTAAATAAATCCAGTGTTAATAATAGAGGAAGCTTTATTAAAAGCGGCTTACTTCTTCTAATTATAAAAAGTGAACCGCCAAAATGGATGAAGAATCGATGTGGAAAGGTTTTTATGATAAATTGCAGCAACAAAAATCTGTTGAAGAAAGGAGACACGACAACAGGTAATAAATGTGCCTACATAAGTTATGTATATTTTAAAAAGATTTTATGTAAATCTTTATCATACTTAATTAAGTTTTTATGACTTTAGATAATACTAAAATGTCTACTTGTTTAGATATTTTGAACTCCACTCTTAATGTATTAAGGTTTAAAACCAAATAGAGAAATTCGACAGTTTTGTATAACCTAACGTACTTTTGACTGTACTTAAGATAGTTAATTTCGTTGATACCGTAAAATTTTGTGACCTATAAACTGGTATAGTGATTCTTTTAACAATAGTTATAGTACGTAAGCTAAGCAATAATCTTGCGAGTTAAATTGCATACAATAGTTAGTACCTATATAGGAGGTACCGTTATCATAGAAACAAGGTTAATTAGAGATATATGAGATCAGTGTGTTCTGAATAACTTGTTAGTCCAACGTCAGAGAGCTAAGATTTGGCATCTGGCAAAATGATCTAACGCCATACAATTAAGGAATGTTATGTGGCGTTGTCTTATCTATTTAGGATGTCTCTACCTTCATCTCAGTGTATATTTTACAGAATCCTTATTGAAGAACATTTCTTTAACTATAGTCAGTTGCACAAACGTCCATTACGGCTTAATTAAGACTTTGATCTAATGAAAAACTTAATTTGAAAAATTGTATGGGTAATGAGGCTTTAAACTAATGATAATTTTAATGGACATTTGTGCATCTGGCAGTATGGCTGTGTATGAGAGGTTTTCATGCCTAAAGTATTAAAAAAAATTTAATGAAATTAGTTACACAAATACTGGACCTTGGGAAATTAAATAGATTATTTTTTAAATCGCGAAAAATAGGCTTAGAAAGGTGTTACGGAGGACGATAATAGAGATTATACCTGGTTTAAAAAAGAAGTTTTATTTAGTCCGTCAGAGAAAAATATTAAGAAACGTATTTTCTTTTACTTCAATTAATCAAACAATAGCTTAGATAATATTCAGTTTTGTAGAAAGCGTGATGTCATGTGTAATTTTAACTCAACGTAGATACAGGTAATTAGGCCGTAAGCCGTAACAAAAAAATAAAAATAAAACGTGTTTGATATTGTCAACAATCTAGACCTAACTGATAAACAAAAAAGCTGACTGACGTTCGTCAGCGGTAGGCGTAAGCATAGTTGGATATAAAGGGACAAATAGTAGTGTACCAGGATTAAACAGGGCTATGTTTAGCTTGCCCTGCCTCGTTCCACGTGGGTCAGTTCCATTATTAAGTATGGTTAAAATGATTATTATAGCGCCAGTTAAGCACAAGTTATAACTGGCCCGTGCTGTGTGTCGCCACGGTTATTTAGTAATTAGTGGTACTAGTTTTCGTACATTTTCATTAAGAATAGCTGATAATTGTTAAATATGGGAGTTAATTAGCTAGCTGAGAGCTATTTATATGCAAATTTTGCAACAATCGAAAGAATAATTCAATTTAAAAATATATTACGTTCATTTTTCTTTCTCTGTTCCTATCTACTGTAGACGTGATTAATCTTTTATCTTTACGTCCAGCCTTAAGCCACGTCTCTCGTGTCAATCAAATATACGAAAACTAATACTAGTAGTAGTACTACTACCTATCCGTTCATACCACCACGCGACGCGAACTAAATATGACTGTTGCTTTAAATTTCCTATTCTGCGTTTTTGCACTGTGGGCGGTAGTAGGTACGTGTTATCCACCTTAGTGCTGTCTTAAGTTCCGAGTATCAACATAACCGTATTTAGAAAAAAACAGATGAACGAATCGTTAGCATACATTACCAGTTTATGAGATATCTGATGACATTAAGGATAGTATAAAGAAAAGGGGAAAACGAAATGAAATTAAAAGGCCAGTCAATGAGATACAAAGGTAATAAACGAAACATGAATTATAACTTCATGTTCTGTGGTTAGAAAGCCAAAATTTTCTAATCCCAACCCTCAGTTACAAAATTGATATTTTATAAAAAAATAGCAACAGAAAATAATTACTTACTTATTAAAATACCGGATATACAGCCAAACCTAAATTATAAGCCGGTTATGAATATGGAGTGCGAGTAGGACATTGGCATTTAATGCACTGCGGAAAGTGCGCTTACAGAAACACACGAAACGACGTATTTATATGTATTTTATACCAATGGTTCGTAATTTTGAAACGTCAATATAAGTGATCTCCACTGGACTCCATTAGACCTTGATCTTGTATCGATAAACTCTTATTTCTTATCCGTAAGCACAAGTGACCATGAAAGTGAACTGCAATAAGCAATTACAGATGATTGCGTTTTTGTAAAAATGAGTTACAGAATAGGTACCAAAACCGCCTGTCCAATGACCGGCTGTCCACCGAGTTTTCTGAATAATTTATTTCAGTTGTTCTCAGAAATTGCGAGTTACAGAATAGGGGGAATATGATCTTAAATAAAATTATAACGTGTGGGTGTGACTTTCATATATACCTATTTGTTAATCTATTAGTTTAGTAATATATAAAGAAGTGATTATATGCAAAGAAATGATTGATTTTTATTAAAGTTAGATTGCTTATTTGTAGAAAAATAGATAATGTTTCTGGTTACTTGCTGGACTTAAATAAAAAAACAATATATGTTTCAATTTTTAAATATTAGGGTAAAAACTGTAACAAAGGGATACGAAAAAAACTTATATCTATATAAAAATATGCTTTCAGTAGTTCCTTTTATTTACGACAGTAGGTATTCTGAGCAACTTAATTTCTTATAATTTACTTACATAAAAAAAATGAAAAGTATCGATGATACGATACGACGCATCGTTAGAATATCGGAGCGACCAGGGTTAAAAAAAATCCGTATGATTTTTAAAATATCAACGAGTATCAACAAGTTTTTTAAACGAGTAGTAAAGAAATCAATTATTTTTGTTGGAAATGATTAAAAATTAATGAATTATTATAATCGATTTAAAATATCGATACAATATGAAAAAGAACAACGATTATTGTTACGCATCTCTCTTTGACGTTGGTTGTTGTCATTTGTCACAGAGTGTGATTTTGACGTTTAGTTCGATTGAATATGCTGTGAATTAATAACGAAGCAATAATAAAATGAATGATTTGAATTGATAACTTCGCTTTAGGACCAATTTATTTATTTGGAGCGTATTGCGACAGTGGTTAGATAACTGATCTCGTCTCTACTGCTTTTATCAGTTACGTAAAACATGGTGTTATCTCAGTACAAAGTGTTGAAAAGTTTTAAATTATTTGTTACTCCAAGTAGAAATATGCATTTATTGAAGAAAGAAGGATACATTGATGGAAAGTGGGTAAAAGCAAATAACAATGCTGTTTTTTCGGTACTTAATCCGGCAGATGACAGCGTGATTGCCGAAATTCCAGATATGAATGATACCGATGCTAAAAATGCTATAGAAGCCGCTTCGAAATCATTCCAAACTTGGAAAGATACGACAGCAAAGGAAAGGTCATACATACTAAGGAATTGGTTTAACTTGTGCGAGAAACATAGCGGTGACTTGGCTGAGATAATCACCGCTGAATGTGGAAAACCTTTAGTAGAAGCCAAAAGCGAAATTGTTTATGGTAATTCATTTTTAGAATGGTTTGCGGATACGGCTCGGCATATCAATGGAGAGATTATACCAAGTCCATGGCCTAATAAGCAAATTCTCTTAACTCGTCAACCTCTCGGTGTAGTGTCTGTTATAACACCTTGGAATTTCCCATTTGCTATGATTACACGCAAAGTGGGGGCTTTAATGGCTGCTGGATGTACTTGTGTAATTAAACCATCTGAAGATACCCCATTGTCGGCTTTAGCTGCAGTGAGTCTTGCAGAACAAGCTGGTGTACCTAAAGGTGTTATTAATGTAATTACTTCAAGCAGGAAGAATGTCAACACTGTTGGTAAAGTGTTATGTGAACATGAAAAAGTTGGATGCATATCTTTCACTGGGTCTACAGTTGTTGGAAAAATATTGTATAGTATGGCTGCAACTGGCATTAAACGGGTTGCTCTAGAGTTGGGTGGTAATGCTCCTTTTATTGTGTTTCCTAGTGCAGACATCGAACACGCTTTAGATCAAGCTATGTTAGCGAAATTCAGAAATAATGGTCAAGCATGTATAGGTGCAAACAGGTTTCTTATTCATGAAGATGTCTTCGACAAGTTTGTGAATGGTTTTAAAGCAAGAATTACACAAAAATGTGTATTAGGGCCTGGCACTAAAGAAGGTGTGACATGTGGGCCTTTGGTCAATAATGCACATGTGAAGAAAGTGGCAGATTTTGTTAATGATGCCATTTCTAAAGGAGCCAAAGTGTTAGTTGGTGGTAAAGTAGCTAAGAACTTGGGAGATAACTTTTATGAATCTACTTTATTGGTTAATGTAAAACCAGATATGAAACTGTACAATGAGGAAATATTTGGGCCAGTGGCTGCTTGCCTTAAGTTTAAAACTGAGGAAGAAGTATTAAAAATAGCAAACAGTACAAGAAGTGGCTTGGCATCATATGTGTTTACAAAAGATTTAGGACAGTCATTTAGAATGTCAAGGAACTTAGATTTTGGAATGGTAGCAATTAATGATGGTATCATGTCTGCTGCTGAACCGGCATTTGGAGGGATTAAAGAGTCTGGAATTGGAAGAGAAGGAAGTAAGCATGGAGCTGAAGAATATACTGATATTAAATATACTTTGATGTCTGGTCTTGATAAATAAATAATTCAGGAAAATTTTAGTGTATTGGCATTGTGTATTTGAAATATGTTTATTAGATGTAATTGTTACACATATGTTCTGTTAGATGTTTAAGATAAAGTCATGATATTTAGAATATATTGTCTGTAATGTGTGTAAATCTAACTAATTTATGAACTAACTATAGTTCAAAGCCACGGTGGGCAACAGTCGGCCCGGGAGACATTTTGAAAAACCTAATTTATAATAACATTGTTTATATATTTCATGTGTGATATCCATTGTTAAAAAATTATGAGCACTACAACACTACTTTAAAATGTACTACTTTTAAATGCAGCCTGGGAATGTATTTGCACAGTAACGTTTGGCCCACAACATGTCCAAGGTTGCCCATACCTGGCTTAGAGTATTAATTTAAATTATAAAATTATGTAAATGTGCAATATTTAAAAATATTTACTATATGCAAAGGTGTAATTAAAAGAATTTAATTAATAGTAAACCATTCCAGTCTTCCAGTGAATTGTGATAATCTAGCAGTTATTATAGACAATTCATGATGAATAAATATAATCTCTTGCATTTATTGTAAACTTTTATTTGTGCCATTTTGTTATAACTGGCTATAGTTAACTAAAACTATAATTTTAAGGTAGAAAAAATATTATCATTTCATTTGTCAGTTAATTTTTGTGTTAAGTATGTATAGTCAACAGCACATCAGATTATACAAATCTGTCAAATTTCTCCAATTTTAAATAACTCCACTTTATTTTAAACCTTAATCTTTTGACTGTAGGCTTTAAAATCAACTGGAGAAATTTGATATATTGTGGTAACCTGACATACAGCCGTATGTACAAATACCAGTTATTTTATAATATTAAGTATTGCAAATGTTACAAGTGAATATATTTGTTTTACCATTCATTTATTTTTTATTGTACCCACCATTGTGTTGTATTTTAATCATAATACAAAATTAATGTTAATTTTTTACAAGGTTAGTTACCTACTACACTGAAAAATTTAAATATTATAATTTCTGGAATACATAATAAAATACTTAATTTTTTACAGGATTCAAGAAGTAGACGATAGTTTCTTCGAGAAGTTTGGGTCCATTTTGAAGCAGGCATCACAAAAGGCAGCTTTAGAAGAATCTACGCCATTAGCTCCGTTAAAAGAGATTGAAGAACAGGATGGTGAACAGAAGTCTGAAGCGGATTTACAGAGCGAAAGTCATAGTATTAACAGAGATTCTGACAGTGGAAACGAGACCTTACTCGATACAGATTCTGAACCTGACGACCCTGAAAAGATAGACCTTTACGTTGAAGCTGTTGGATGGAATGTGAGTACTGATGATAGTCTACTTAATTTCACACAAGGCCTATTATCAAGACAATCCAGCAAACCAGTTCAGTAATTATCAATTATAAATCACTCTATTTGCTTGATTACTGGCTTGAGCATTGTCTCAATTTACACGACGCCAATACTACACTGGCTTACTGTATTGTCTCTATTGGTTTCGTGTAAATGGACCATAAGCGTCAGTGCATATCTGACGAAAGACGTCGCGTCTTGTCGGTCGCGGAACGTCAGAACTGGCAATTTATCTATATGACTTGACAGTCGATCTTGCACACATGATCTCCCGTGAGAAATCGGACACACTGCGCACCATTTACTCGTGATTTGAAGAATTGTTGTTGTGATCTGTGGATTACAGGGTGGGAATTGCTGATCTAACAGATTATTAGGTATTCTTTAAATCACGCAAATGACATTACCCAGAAACCATGTATCTCGATGTCAGATACTAGAAGATTTACATTTCTGATGTTCTTGGTACCATTTACTTAAGGTTAACCTTCTTAGTTCTCCGTTCCCTTCTACTGCTCACGTGATTACGTCAATTCGTGCCTCTATCAGGTCTTATTGCATCGTCGTCACAGTCAAGTGGCAGATGGTCTGTCTCGTCGCCGCTTTATCGTTCGAAAAGTGATGGTAAGCTTTCATGACATGTCAGTTTGTGAAGAATTATATTTCTTGACTAGTGGACGCCCGCGACTTCGTCCGCGTGGAAGTCGGTATCCCGTGGGAGTGAGAAGTTTTCCCAGTAAAAAGTACCCTATGTGTTATTCTGATGTATAACCTATATTGCTGTAAAGTTTTATCCAAATCCGTCCAGTAGTTTTTTCGTGAAAGAGTAACAAACATCCATACATCCATACTTACAAACTTTCGCCTTTATAATATTAATAATATTAATAATAGGATAGGATTTAACTAATATTATATTATTAAAATAAGTGTACTAATTGTTCAGATTTACAAACACATCAAATGAAGTAGGTATAACATCATTGTGAATCAGTTACTGCTCTCAATCTCTACCAGATCTTTAAAAGCAGTTCTATAGCTACACTGTAAACAAAATAGAATTATGAAATTTTTACGACCACGGCAAATGGATGAGAATTTTATTTCTATCAATAACATAAAATATTTCCCCGTCTCGTAAAAAGTTATGAATCCAAGGGTCATTGTATTTTTAGCAGGATAGTTCTAAGCCAGTGGCATTTTTATTTCTAACTGAACTAGACATTGGGATAGAGGTGTGGTGCTTGGTAAAGTGGGTCACGTACGGAGACGTTACGGCGACGAACAACAGATTCTTGCCTTCGTTAATTTGGGCACTATTCCAAGGTAATGACACAATCGATTCTTAATAAAAAGATTTGTTTGCTACAGGTTTATTTGCATAACAATGTTTGTGCTAAGTACTCGTACAAATTAATATTTATTGGGTCCTTGAAATCTGTCTACCGTGCTCGCTCTGGTACATAATAATGATCCACAAACATAGGGAACCGACGTAAGGTGTAATGTAATCGAGTTCACAATAATCGCGAGGGCGGTTGGTCGTGGCATATTGCCAACGCCACTTACTTTCCACCGGTTATTTTGTCAACTTCCTCAACCAAGGTTGATCTCAATGACTAATGTCATTAGGGAATGCGTTCAGTCCAATGTCGGTGTCGCTAAAAGTGGCTTGTGAACTCAAGGTTTTCTATAACACCACATGGGTATAGGGTTCAAAGAACTCAACTGTCACGTATATTTTTTTAAACGTACAATTTCTTCTCATTATTTACGTAGTAGTCCTTTAAACTTGCGTTTTTGATTGCGAAAATAAACAATTATATTTCTTTGTTTATATATTAAAACAACCCAAAAATAAGTTACCGAGGTAAATGTTTTTATTTAAGTTTAGTTTAGAATTCCCACCACTTGGCTTTTGTATTAAAATAATAAACAAAAACCGTATAAACATAATATTAAGTTTTTCCCGAATTATGTATTTAATTTCCATTGTTATTCCCTGAAAACTTTATTAGAATATGAAAATTAAAGTAGGTTTTTACCAAGTAGATCCAGACTCAACAGAATTTTAATTAAAAGTAAGCGGAAAGATTAGATACAATGAGTATACATTTTAAAATCGCTTACCGATAAGCAGGTAAGTAACAAGTTTTCCTGTTTATCGGTAAGCGCGAATTTCTGTTTCATCCAGAAAGCCAATTCTATTAATGTTCACGTAATAATAGCATTTCAATAGAATCTCAACTACTAACATTTTATATACTATCAACATGAAGTTCAATATTATTATATATCTGCCACCATTGATGTATGAAGAAGACATTGCACTAATAATATTGGACTTCAGGTAGATAGTACAACGGTAAAGTGCAAGTCGTTGAGATTTGTATTGAGATGAGGTTATTACATAAACATTTGCAGAATAGGTCTGCAAGCGTCTGAGTAAAAGCTATTGGGAGCAGAACCATATCTGAGGAATTATAAAGATTAAAACTAAGCTCACGTGATGTTTTCAATACATCAGTGTTAAATGGTTATCCAAATAGCTTAATGTACAAGGGTGTATAGTAATTTTATAGTTACTTGATATTGATATAGTCATATAATAATAAATGCAGTTCTTGATTTTAATTAAATTATCATAAACATTGACTTATATTCAATAATGTAGTTACTTTTAATTAGCCATAATGTAATTAGGTATAAAGATCAACGTTTAATATTGTTTTTATAAATTGGTGAATCCCAGGCTCTTTAATGAATAATCATCTGTTAAGATTCCTATTAGGTTCTAACGCCAGAAGCTTTTTTTCTTTTGAATGGAGACAAAAAATGGTTATTTTAGTCATTGCGGGAAAAATATTCAATTGAGATAGCTTAGGCAACATGCAAATGTTAGTTGCAGTTCATTAAATAAAGAAACAAATTTTTTATATACAAATCAAACCTTTCAAATCTTAAGTCTGTGTTTTTGCGCGAAAAAAGCCGCCATGATATGACGTCATTCGGTTCGTTAACAAACAAGTAAGGTAAGTTTCGAGTAAGGTAAATACGTTTAGAGGTTATTTTTTTTTTAATAAAAAATAATAAATTTTATTAAAATAGTACAGTACTTTATTTTTACAGCTATATGAATATGATAAAAAGTGCATGATAATGTAAGAAACCAATAGCAACGAATTTGTTTACAAAACCAAGTCACGTTACAACTACAGAGTATGGCGCCCAGCATTTATGTACAATTCGAGCAAAATTTAAAATTTGGATGTGATTTTATGATACTTACTGACTGAATATTTTTTTACATGATTTATTAGGATCTTGGGATTCAATTGAGATACTTTAAAAAAAATAGGTTTTATACCCTATTATAATATTATTTTAAACGAGTTATATCTATCTATACTAACGTGCTGTTAATAATATTATCAACAGCAAATCATTTTTTATCGATTGAAATTGTTGATTAAGTTCAAAACCGATTGCAAATAGTCGACATTTTGTGGTAACACAAAAGCTGCTGTGTGTTAAAGTACTTCCCCTTACTTAGTAATTGCAATTTCTGGATTTATTTCCTTAATATTGGTTATCTTTTCTTCACCAAAGTTATCCGTATGGATTATGCAAAAGAACCCAAGTGTAGAATGATCAAACAACACAGTTCTGTTTTCATCAGTACATAATGTAGTTCCTTGTGTAAGCAGGGTTGCCACTTTTCGAGAAACATAATTCGGGACATTCGGACGGTCATCAGAATTATTCAATCAGAAGACTTCAGTCCAACATAGGTCATCAATATTTCCAAGCCGTGGGTTTCTTCATTAAAAACGCTGCGAAATCAGGCGCATCATAGACTTTAAGATACGGTTTGCATCGTGGCGGGAGCTGCATGTCATACCTAAGGCGCGACTTGATCTATTGTGGAGTGTTATTAAAAATCGGAACAAAAGGAGCAATCGGAACGCACAACATTATTGAAATCAGGACTGTCCCAGAAAATTTGGGACGGGTGGCAACCCTGTATGTAAGTGTGCTTTTCGGTTAATACAACATAAACGATCATCTGGTTAATAAAATAAATAAATCGATCAGCACGCGCGTCTGTTGTGGCGAGTTTGAGAGCCTTGGTTTTTTACATACGTGTTAAAACGGATTGCATTAAATTAAACAACCGAAGTAAACTTTTCTATACAGTAGTTGTAATTAGTAATTTATATCCTAAGTGTTGTTTTTTAGTTATAGCCTTGTTCCGTAATACACAGAAATTCTGCCTACATCCCGTTGTGAGAGTATATCCTAAGTTGCGATAGATCTCCTGACATACTGACTGACAGACAACGCATAGCCTAAACCGCTGGTCATAGAGGTGGTATATCTGTACTAAAATCCGATTTTTGGATATTCCACCCAAAGGGCGTAAAAAAGTGTGTAAACGTTTGTATGAAACTTCTTTGTTTTGGATTTATAATTGATGAAATTTGGTATTTGAGTAGTATAAGATTGTGGGAAGGTTTATATTTTATTTCGAAAACCAGTACTTAAAGGAAGAAACGGGAGTAGAAGCTTTTATATGTTACCATAGCAACCATTGTTTACAATTCGATTTGTCATTTTAATAGTTATCTAACATTATTTATAATGTTGATTGAATAACATTATTGATAAAGTATTCCTTATACATATAGGGATGGAAATTGGATTTAATAACATAAACAAAAATGACATTTTAAATATAAAATTGTGAAAATATTCAGCTTTTTATATATTTTGAACTAAATTAGATGGCGTTAATTATATTTTACATCGCACTGTTTTGGTCAAAGTTGAGTTAAATAAAATGTAGTAATAAGCACTTTAAGCTTTGCTAGATGGCGTTTATTTTCAACTAAATTGTGCAATAGTTTGGTTCAAAGAATTTTGCATAATTTTCAGTTTCCGATTAAGTTTTGTGTGATTTGATTAATGTTTCCTTACTATCTGTATTTCAAATTAGATAAATAGATTTAAAGTTTTCAAAGTGTTGAAACACATTAGACATTATTTGGTGTACGTACATGTCGCAGGCTTATAGCCATAGGGGCGTGTAGGCAAAAAATTTGTATTTTTTTTAAACCGCCATTTATTTCTAATTTTATCAATTTACAACAGCAATTTTTTTTTAATAAAAATCAGTTAGGTATTTTTAATGATAAAGTGAAAATATTTGCTGCTAAATAGTAACTATAGGTACCATGCGGACGGAGTCGCGTGCAAAAACTAGTCTATCTAAATATGTTAAGTGTAAAATGAGGAGCTTTGATAGTAGAAGATAGAAAGGCCATTTTGTGGTCTGTTTGTTTCCTAAACATATATTTTCCTCTTTAGGGTACAAATATACCTAAATATCCGTAAACTGATAAGCAAAAGTTTTAGGTTCCTAACAAAAACCTTAACATCTTCCTCAGAATTAAGGAAATAAATTGTATTTAAGACCCTTTTTAATGCTGTAAAACTAATTACTTTTTTAATTATTTATTATAGTATTCCTAAAAATAATACCCCGACGTATTCGAATTACTGAATGACCCGGAACTTTAGATAATCAATTTATTATTGATAATGTGGCTCAAGTATGAACACATCAATATTATACATTTTAGAGTTTTATTAGCCCGAAATGCTTCTAGGCTATAAAACTTCACGATGCTTTATGTTATAGGTTTTCTGTCTATAATTGATGATAATAAATCTAATTCACCATTAGCATAGACATTATGGGCACTATTAGGGGATACCTACTCAATGAAGTAACGTCAGAGGAAGAATCATAATTTTGATAACATAGAATATGTTTATGTAACAATTTGTTTAGTAACACCGATGAGTTCTTTTTAATTAATCGGTGCAATGTCATATTAATTGGAACGTTTTTACAATATTCGGGACGGAAGTGCCAGACTGCTTGTTGATGAGAAAGTTTGGACAATTTTTTTTTTATTATTTGGTTGAGTTCGCATTCGTCTCCGTTGGCGGCGCCTTGCAAAAATAGATTTTGGCGTTCAGAGCGGGTTGAATCCCAAGTTTCGAACGTCAGTGCACCGGCAGCTCCCATCAGATACATTTCTGTTTCGTATGCTAATCGCTTAACAGATCGTGTGTTGGACGCTAAAGGATAGTTGTGTTTTTGATTTGTGAATGAAGTTGATTTTGTTGCCAGTGTAGTGTTATGTTAAAAGTGTGTTTAGTTCCTACAAAAATGAATGGCACGGGAACACTTCGGACTAGGTTCAGGGGTGTGAAGAAGGAGTTACTCGAAAGGCAAACCAGCCTCATTATACAATCAATGACTGTACGTTTATTCTAATTCTTGTGTTTTTTTTACGGAAAAATACAAAAAAGTTTTTTAAGTAACTTATTTGAAAACTTACAATAAAATATTGTTGAATTTATCTAATAGTATATACTATAGATAATAGTCTTCAAACAAATTTAAATTAATTTCTTAATTACTTCTGCTCAGCACAATGAGCAATCAGACGAAATCTGTTGTTATGGATCGACAGTCGCCAGTTGATTGGCCCCACTTTGTTCTAAGAATGAGTCAATCACTACTTTAAGGAACTTTTGTCATGGTGTCTTTCGCTCCGTTAAACTAGTACAAGTCTAGATACTACGTAACCACCGATCCGGTTAACAGAAAACACCACCAAGTGTTCAGTGATCAATAAGCTTCCCACGGCGGCGCAGTAACCCTGCCGAGTTATGTGGTCGGTCGTGGCTTGTTGAGGGGTCGTCTCGTCAGGACAGTGGTAGCCGGTCGCGTGTTTTCTCTGGGTTGTCCCGCCGTGGTGTCTTAGTTACGGGGCTCCCCTACTTAAATGTTGATTCATTAAGTGCGGGATACTCTAGTGGATTAGACGGTTGTTTTGTTGTGGCTTTCGCGCTTTAAAGTAATTTACAGTTAATGAAACTGCGATATTTTTATGACTCTTCGGTATGTTTTTAATAGATTTCTTTGATTTTATTTTTTATTGCTTACATTAATAAAGATCAACCAATCTTAATTACAGTTTCAAGTAACCATCCAACATAAACAAATTGTTTTGAACGTAACTACCTAAGTATCTACGTTTCTGTTTGAAGTGGTTATTGGAATAAGCAAATATTAGTAGCTAATACTTACCAGTCAAGGTATTTAGGCCAGGTTGTAAGGTCTTATGTTTTTTTTATTGATTACAGATTGATGAGCTATATTTGGAGATTCTTTACGAAATACTACACAATGTCGGGGGATGTGACGTGAACTGTGAAGTTGCACAGGCAGCTATGCTGTCTTATGTACAAGAAGCTTTCAAAATAGCAAATGACAAACATACACAACTACTCACCACGGCCGAAGCGAAGGAACCTCCCGAGCTTTTGCTGAATGTGGAGGTGGTTGAAGCAAAAGATTTGGTTCCAAAAGACCCGAATGGTCTGAGCGATCCCTTCGTTACTATATACTTGATGTCAAATTCAGCACATAGATATAATACGTCTGTGAAATCGGGCACCCTCAATCCAGTATGGGAGGAACACTTCTCTTTGTAAGTATTGCATATTCTAGGACAATTGGTTTATATTTTCTTGACCGTGTCACAAATAGTCGTACAATAGAACGAAATTTCCCTGTTATTGTTGTTTTAACGGACATACAATTTGTCTTTTCAGACATTTCTATGTTATGAACTAGTTTAGGATTATATAAATACATTTGTATTTTTTTATTAGAAAATTGAGGCGTGAAGTGCTATTACGAAAAGTAAACGGAAACTATGAAATGGTCGTAACTTCTTTACGACAACGCTGTACCTAATAACCAATGAATGGGCCTTGCACTTGAAGCGTGTCTGTATGAAAGTTTAGTTTTGTTTGTATTAACTGTGAGCTTTAACAGGATATGTGTATATTTGCAGACCGATGCCGGGAAATATACACGAAGACTCGCTATGCTTGGAAGTCTGGTAAGTGTCTGATAAAGATATGGTATTGTAAATAAGGAAAAAGTTTTTGCAGATATAGACGTAGGTACTCTTGTTCATGCTTTTTCCTTTTTGCCATAAGTACCGATAATTTTATTTTTTGAATAACTTTATAATGATTATAGTATTTTTTTTATATATATAAAATAAAAAAGATTTGAGCTATATAGTTCTACTTCTTTAACAAATATAGAGATTCTTATTAGAACCGAAATATAGGTAAACATAGCAGCAGATCATGCGTCAAATTTTATTTATAGATTTTGAACTTTAACTTTGATCATTAAAGGTTTAGAATAGATTTAACTTTACAAAATCGGGAAACACTTTCTCTACACTCAAATGTCACTTTCTCGGGTCGAGAGTGAGATATTGTATGGGTGCACCCGAGAAAAGTGACATTTGGGTGTAGAAAAAACGTACTCGAGTTCGTCATGTTGCTCGTGCTGCTGTTGACTATTATGTCGTAATAATTATAATTAAATTATTTTAAACCTTTTTGGTTTTATGTTGATAATACTTTGATGATCTCCATTGTTCTTATAATCACATAAAATTCTTATAAGCTTTGAGGTTCGGTTGATTCCCGATCGGGTCAATGTTGAAATTGAACTTTTCTATATTGTCTCAGGTTTGAGTGTTTTGGTATCTTGGTATCTGAGCAATATCCATGATGGTATCTAATATTTATTTATTTATACGGGATGAAAGATAATTGTCAAATATACAACCAATTTATCAGTAAAGACAGTGGTGACTTTAATTTTTAATGCACTTTATGTAGGGACTTCGATCCAGCTGAAACGGTGAAGGAGAAGATGACCAAGATTTTTGAAGTAAAAGGAGTTAAGGGCCTCCGGAAACTCATGAAGGAGATAGCCATCACTGCTTCTACTGGGAAGCATGACAATGAGCTGATAGGAACATCCAATATTCCACTTAAGGTATTTATTTGTAATTTCTTACATATTATTATTATGCATCGATTTTGCATTGCAAGTGCTTGAAAAATTCGTCAGTTGCTCGGATTGCGAAAAGCCGGGTTCCAGTCCCATTTCAGACTGCAAGGGCCAAAGTGGAATTTTTAAGCATTTAATATTCTTACACATTATTATAAATATTAATATTTAGAAAAGAGGATATTCTAAATTTCTTTTACAAACGAATATACTAATAATATAAAGAGAAAAAAATTGTTTGTTTGAGTTGAATAGGCTCCGAAAGAAACTTCAATAGGTCAATTTTGCTAATAATTAATGTTTGCATAATAATAACATTTCAATAGAATCTGCACGATTTGCATTTTACCATTGTACTAAGTGAAGACCAATATTATTAGTGCACTGTCTTCCTGACACATCAATGATGACAGATATATAATGATATAGGACTTCAGGTAGATGATACAATAGCAAAACGCAAGTAGCTGAGATTCTATTGAGATGCGCCTATTACTTAAACATTAGCAGAAGTGGCCTGATGGACTCATTTAAAAAATTCTTTCACTCACGGGAATATACATCATACGCGGGCGACATACGCTATAATTTACGCGAACGAATTCGCGGGAAAATAGCTATTTAATAATTAATTAAAATTGTGATATTTACAACAGTGGTTAGTATAAATATTTTTAGACTTTAAAACGATAAATAAAATAAACCGTTTAATAGAACTCGGTGTGATATTCAAGGGAAGTCCCACATAATTACTGCTTACAAAATATGATTTTACCTTACCTATCAAATGAATTGTTATTTACTTGCAGTCAATACCCGCTGGAGGCATGACTATGTGGTTTAACTTAAGCAAGAAGAGTAAATTAAGGCGTCAAGGAGTGGTGAAGGTGCGGCTTAACTTCTCTTCAGAGAAGAATTCGCAGGTGGCTGCACAGGAACACCGCCATCTGCTCAGAATACTCCTGCTGCATGAGCTGGAGAGCTCAAAGGTAATATTTACTTTGTTTTTACATACTTCGTTTACCATCAGCCCTTTTACGTCCGCATTGCAGTTCGGCCTAATATACCTACTATACTGATAGTGGCGTAGTGTGCCTTGGAGGGGCACCGTATAAAAATTTGATTGGGGGCCCTTATACAAAAAAAAAAGGAAATGTTTGTATACTGTGCGAATTTTAATCATATGTACATCGATTATTATGGGATTCCCCCTTTGAAGTACCTAAATAAATGAAGTAAATAATTTTAAATCCCGCAGCCCGCGAAAACCGATGTAGGGTGTTGCTAACTTTGAAACGTACGCTTTAGATGGCAAAAAAGTTTTTTTTTTTTACATTAATCATTTCTGAAATTAAAAGAGATTTGGGAAGTTTTTATTAATTGTTGCTGACGTACGTTGGGGGCCCCGTGGCCTGGTAATTGATACGGCATATATGGCGGTAGCTACGCCCCTGAATAGTACTAATGTAATCGTACGAGTGTAGTGGGCATAGTAGACAAGATCCTTTTCGTGTTTTAATACATGAAATCAAGGATGGTTAAGGAGGATAGACCATAATCCTCCTCCTGGTTCAATTTAGATTGGAGAGTTTTACGGACGACGAATGTAACCGAGACCAACGGCTTAACGTGCCTTTCAAAGCACGGAGTAGCTAAAGTTTTTTTTTAGTCACCCATTTTGTGACCAGCCTTTGGGAAAGTTGCTTAGCAACAATGATCGAGGACTGCGATGCTTATCCACTACGCCACCGAGCTACTCCTTACTTCGTTATGAATCAATACAGTTTATCTCACAGAACATAGAGAGAGATTAGAAGTATAATGATATTAATTTAGTATGGGAACCGAGTGTCGCCTCTCCGCACACAAATGCAGATTAGATGAAATGATCATTTTGTTCACTACATGAAAAACCGCCACGCGATAGGTTCGCGATAACATAAATCAAATCCCAAAAAGATACTAAGCTAAGAAATCACACGATTAAAAACAAACTCTAATTCAACGTGATAATAAATAATTTACTTTAACATGAATGTTGAACTGTCACGTGGCTGTATATGGGGATACCAGAAGGAAAAAAATATTTTAAGATTATGCACATTTAAAAAAATTGGGGTCATCATTTTATTTGCGAACTATTAATATTAGATTTTGCTGTAACCAAGTGAATACTGAAAAATTAAGGCTTTTCCCTACATAATTTATTAAAATATATTTTAAAAAACGCAGTACAAAAACTAAGAAAACTTAATGATACACTCTATCGTATGTCTGTGGAGTAATATAATTAAGCGAGGGAAAGTGTAAAAAAAACAAAAATTAAGAAAACAACAGAATTTTTGTATTAATTACATTAAGCCTAATTTGTGTTTTTTTCTTACTGGTATCATTCCGATTGTGCATATTAGTGATGTGACATATTAGTTGATAAAATAAGAGCTTTAAATTTTGTTATGAAACAGTTCAATGTAATTCAGTTCGACAATTTTCTACAGTGGTTTGATAGTAATTATTTAAAGCTTTATTCAAATAAAACGAAATACAAAAAGTTTGCATTACCTAATGTGAGGCATGTTAATATACTTATAAATGTAAATAGTGAAAAAGTTGAGATGGTGGAATCGACAAAGTTCCTTGGTATTTTGGTATATTGATAATTTGTCAAGTAGACTGAGTTCTGCAGCATTTGCTGTTAAGAAAATTAGACTCTTAACAAATGTTGAAACGGCAAGATTGGTATATTTTAGTTATTTTAATAGTGTAATGAATGACGTATAATCTATTGTTATGGGCTTCTGCGGCTAGCATTCAAGATATTTTTATTCTACAAAAGAGAGCTGTCCATATATAGCGTGGACAGCTCTCTTTTGTAGAATTTACGGTCTAGATAATCTTTCAGAGAAATATTTAAAGAAATAAATATTTTGACTGTTGCCTCTCAATTCTTAAATGAAAATATTATGTACGCAAGAAAACATTACGATTCCTTCACAAAAAAAAAGTAGAAATAAAAATAAACTTGCCATTCCAAGTGCTTGTGCTTGTAATAGCCTTCTTGAATAAAGATATTTTCATTTCATTTCATAATAACTAATATGATCATTACACTAATAAATTGATCATAGCCATGTTTGTTTTACTTTATTATTCTAAGTTTTATATCTGTAATAATAGTAGTAGCTACATTATTAATTGCAACGACTAGACAATAAGGAATCGCTGGTCAAGTATGAGTTTGAAAGCCGTGACAAAAAAAGTTTGAAGATAGACACAAAAGCGATAAGTACGTACAAACGTCAATCTACATATAAAGTCACATCCGTTTGAGACATGCGTCTATAAACTTATGTGCAAATATGGAGCAACAAAAAAACTGATAAAAGCTGTTCTGTGGGCGGTTCTTTAAAGTGACTTTCTTAACTCGATTTCTATAATAATAGTTTCCGATTATGAATCAGCAGAATAAGGTAAATTAAATTGACGCCTAAAAATTAATTTTGTAAATTAAATTCACACCACCAACAATATTACGTTAGTTGAAAACATAATTTTTTGTTTGTATAGATATTATGTTGTTTTGAAATTCATTTGATAGGTTTAGGTCTAAAACAGATAGGGCAAAATTAATTATGTAAACAAGGCAATCCGTTGTAAAGTTATTAGGGAAACTGAAATATAAGTAATGCAAAATAAGTGAAATCCAGTTTCACCAGTTTCTAACAAGACCTATTAGGCCAACTCTTAGCTTTTCACGAAGTTTCGTTTAATTTATGTATTGTTCATAAAACGGTGATATACTTCGTAACTTAGATATTTATAGCACATCAATAATTTTTAATATTTATCTGCGTGTAAATAATTAACCGAATCTTCGTATTAAAAGTGCCTGGACAGTTCATTATTTCATTTGTTCAGTATCAGTTCATCTATATTTTTCCCTTGTAAACAGTATTTTTTAGTTTTATATAATAATGGCATATATTTATCGATAACGTTGTTATGAAATGATGAAAGAAAAGCTCTAAATAAATATGTTTTAGTTATCGATTACGATCCATATAATTAACAATACGATTCCGAGCAGCAGCAGCCTATCGGTACATTTCAGACAAATGGAGGCACAGCACTATTTTTTGCAAAAGTGCACAAAATGATTTACATTGCTGTTTAGTAATGGGGTCAGAAACATTGATGTTGGTTTGAGCAATCAATGTATATTTTATTTAACATTGTGTCAAATTATTACGTTTTTTATATTTTAGCACTAAAATTGAACTTACCAGTGAAAGGAAATGTTTGCATTAGTTAGATTGTATACTTTGCTTTGCTTTTTGCAAGTGATAATAGCACAAAACGGCATTTTTTATAAAAAAAATCTGTAAAATCACCACTCGACGATTGACGAACGACTGGCAAACATAAAACCGAGGAAAGGGCGTCATATGAGTAAAAGCGCATATGCCAGCGACGCGTGCCCCGCCCACTTACTACTTCTATTCTCTCTCTATGTTCTGTGGTTTATCTCCATATTTTTCCATATTTTCATTATTTTAAGGACGGTTTTCGACCTAAAAATATTATAATCCGTTAAATGAAAAAGGCAAAGGAATTTTGGAGGGACAAAAATATTAACGATGTTTACTTGAAACATAAGTGTCTTCATCTTAACCGACGGCGAAATGTTGGATATTACCTCTATATACTTTAAGTATCTTCAAACTGAAATTTAAAAAATGACAAAGAGCAAATATATACTATAGGTATACATATATCTGTATTATATTCCGTACTTATCTACAAAACATGAAAATTAACTACATTAATTACAATCCTTTTATAATAATAATTCTTTATTTACTATAAATAGGCCAAATTACAATGAAGTGGATGGTTGTCCTTAATAATGTATGTGTAATACAGACTTATTTAGCCAATATCAGTCCTACTAAATTACTTTATATTATTACTGTAACTTTAATTAAATTACTTTGATAACTTCGTTGTTTATCATTGTATGTTGTTATGGATTATTGTAGCACTAAACTTCGAAATCGTAAAAAAACATACTGAAACAATCGCAGTCAAATGCATTGCTTACACTGCTTACGAAAATGGCGATGTGGCTGTCTGAATCGCGGTATATCTTGTCTTTGTATAATTGTAGTATTATGAAAGTTTAAGTTTAACCTATTTACGGTATGGGTGTATATGGGTGTAGTTTCCTGTATTGGATCATACGGACCATTAATACCCAGTCGCGAATAAGCAGTTTGTTATAATGATATTACAAATAAAAAAGGGTAGATAGGTTATATCAGTATTAATTAATACGATTTTAAAATTGTCGCCAGTATACACACACGCATATCGAAAGATACTATCCAATTATTCATAGACTATAATTGAACATGTCACAGACCAGACGTATAATGATTTAATGCATGCTTAATGCTTACTTTAACAATTCAACTTAAAAATGTTGATATCTAACATTATTATTTCTCCTTGTCGTTACTGTATATATTATTTGCCCGTATATAAATAATAAAGCTTTTCAAGCGATCAAATTAACCTGACACTGATTGATAATATGTATAACACGAAGGCTTCGATCGAATCGAACCCTGAGTTTCGGGGTTTCAGTCTCATATAGATTTTTAAATAAATGTAAGGTAGGTAGGAGCGTAGGCACTAAACTCGAATTGTCCGTTCTGTTACTCTTTTGTTTTATGACATAATATTTATTTTTCTGATTAAAACGTAAATCAATTAAAAATGTATACTCTTTTTTCTACGCCATCTTTCATTCATTTCATTTTCATTTTACGTGTAAACATTTATTTATTCACTTGACATTGGCAGAATTGTGCGAAATGCGCATATAAGCCATTAATAAAAGAAGAAGAAGAAGATACGAATGAAACGTGAGTCCTTGATCTTTAGTCGACTTACTTATGTAGTTTCTGCAGTTTCGCATAATACAGGATGGTATTATCAAAATTAACATAGTATATAAATGCACACAATCAAAGCTTTCGCCAGACTGCGCTCTGGTATGCTAATTAGCATAGTTTTAAGGTGACACTTTTTGAATACAAGTAACCTATCTACCTTTTTTTTTGTAATATCATTAGTTTGTTATTACGAGGGTCAAACTGAAAGTTCTTAGAACTGGCCACTTATAAACAATATAATAAAAAAATAATTCTAAAATTTGAAAATATAACTCTTTGCCAATATTACTGAGTATATATTTCATTCATTTGTCATTTGTTTTACGATTTGGCGGCAAATTGAAAATTGTCTGTGTCACGTCATCATGAATTTAACACGAGAAAATTTTCGTGCAATGATTTTTTATGACTTTCGATGTCATTTAAGTCAACAAGAAAGTTATGATAGACTACGATTGGCCTTTCACGATGAAGCCCCATCTCGTGCGACTGTTTACAACTGGTTTAATGAGTTTAAACGTGGTCGCACTAATCTCACTGATGATTTACGTGAGAGACGGCCTTCTACGGCGACGACTGAAGATAACATCTGTGTTGTGCGGCGTATGATAGAGACTGACAAAAGAGTGACCTATCAACAGATTCGGACAAGCTTAGGCATCGGTATGAGTCCAGTGCACAAAATCCTCCACGAACATTTAGCGGTCAGGAAGCTTTGCGCCCGGTGGATACCTCATAATTTGACTGAGGCTCAAAAACTCCATCGTGTGGATTGGTGTCGTAAAATGATTGAAAGATTTAACGGAGGTGACTCAAATGCTGTGTTCGACATACTAACAGGTGACGAAAGCTGGATTTACTGTTATGATCCTAAAACCAAAAGACAATCTGCTCAGTGGGTGTTTCCTTTCGACGAGTTGCCAACTAAAGTGAAGAGAGATCGAAGTGCGGGAAAAAAAATGGTGGCCTCGTTCTTTGGAAGGATAGGTCATTTTGCAACAATTGTGTTAGAGGATCAAAAAACAGTTGCTGCAGAATGGTACACTACCAATTGTTTGCCACTTGTCTTGGAAAAAGTTCGAGAGAAACGACCTCGCAGTAGGATCCTCCTTCACCACGACAACGCCTCGTCGCACACCGCCAAGCGAACGATCGACTATTTGGCGACATCAAACGTTGAATTACTGGGTCATCCGTCGTATAGCCCCGACCTCGCGCCTTGTGATTTTTATTTATTTCCAAAAATTAAAGAAAAACTTAAAGGAAAGCGGTTTATGAATGCTGAAGAAGCGGTGGCTGCGTATTGCGATGCCATTGAAGAGACCCCTAAGGACGAGTGGGCAAAGTGCTTTTCCCAGTGGTTCCATCGCATGCAGCGGTGTATTGACGTGAATGGACAATATTTTGAAAAGATATAATAAAACTAATAACTGGCTAATGTAATCAGTTTTTGATTTTCTAAGAACTTTCAGTTTGACCCTCGTATCATTTCGTTATAATAATAAACCAATGATATTACAAAAATGTACGTTTCAATTACAGATCGTAATAAGTAGTGTTGTGTAATTCACACATTTTTATTGAGGATGAGTGAGGACCTCGTTTTACCTCATGAGGTACTCGCGAGGTACCCCTCATTTGAGGTGAGGTATAGAGAATGAGTATGTAGCGAGGTAAAGGTAAATAAGGGAGGGAGACGGTCGTTACTTTACGCGTACTACTATTCTTACGCGGAATGAATTTTGTTCACTAATTTATTTCATCATTCATTTATTATTTTTATTATTATTTTAAATTACATTACAATTATTTTTTGTTTTTATTACTTCGCCCGACTCTAACCGATTACTATTATTCATATAAGGTAGCGTTATATAGGCACTAGTTGCGAGGAAATGCTAAACTAAACTAAACGATACTGTGTCGTTCTATCAAACTCATAAAACCAACCCTCACCGTCGATCAATCGTTAATATGTTGATAACTTTCATTTTAAGCAACACACTATTCTTCTGAGTGAGGTGTGATAATTGTCTAAATACCTCGCGTTCGATGCCTCAGAAAATGCGTAGCGTAATGAGGTGCTTCAAAGTTGAAAAACGAGTACCTTTCTCATTTTATCACGACGAGTAACTAAAAACGGGTACCTACCCCACGAGTGAAAGACCCATCACTAGAAACGAGGAATTTTTAAAATCACTCACTACAATATATATTTTGTTCTAGTTCTAATCCTACCAATAAATATCGGTGTGTTAATTACCCGGTGACAGTTAATTAGTTGAGCCGTATTGTAGAATGTTGTGTTCTATTAACGGGCTAGCCGCCCAATTGGTCGGCTGATTATACCACATGGCTGCGACACCGTCTTCAGTTTATACGTTTACGTTTCATTCGCTAGATGGCGCCTTAAGTCTTTAGTTGTGCTTTCGTCAGATGTTTACGTTTCGTTCGTTAGGTGGCGCCTTTTTGGTGGTGCGGTAACTTTAGCGCCCCAGCGGAATCTATCCTTACTCAGCACGCGGCACAAAGCGGCCTCTCGCAGACGGACAATTGGTTAGCGCAGTGGAGTGTATACTGTGCTGTCACCGCAGACCACCCGCTCAGCTTCACCCTCTTCAACCAGCTGTTAGACAAGCTCACTAAATCGCTGCAAGCAGGTATTTTCTATAGCGCTTTTTTCTTTATTAAATCACTGTTGATTTTATAAGTTACTAGCTTTCCGCCAGCGGTCTTGTTCCTCGAGAACTGTTTATTGGGATAAAAAGTAGCCTATATGTTAATTCAGGTTAGAATAGGGATGATGGCTGGGTAAAAAAAATGCAATTCTATTGAGTCCGTCAGTCAGATAATAGAAAAATATTAGATACGTATTTTTCTTCCCTTCAAATTAACAAGAACGAGCTTAGATAACGGGCGTGAAAGTTGAGGAGTGGGGGCTCGCTACGTTCATCGCAGTATGATGTAGAAAACGTACCCGTGGCGTGACGCCAAGCGAAATTTCAAATCGATGTAACGCAGTAGTTTTGCAGCCTGATTACGATGTAAACAAACAAACACACAATACGTGTTTAATCAATTCTTTACACGTCTACCTGACGGACAAACAAGCAAAGATTAGTCATCATCCGTATTGAATTTCATGATTCACCAGCCTATGAATTCATATTAATTGTCCTCCCTAGTGGGGCTATACGCGGTTTCCCTACGGGCGGAAAAAGGGAGCATTATGTCATGACCGCACCACGCTGGAGCTTCTCAGTAGCGGAATGATAGGTATTAACGACTACAGATGCAGCCGAGTTCAACGGTTTAAAGTGCCTTCCGAAGCACGGAGGAGATCGAGATACTAAATATTTGATCACCCATCCTATGGCCAATACGAAAGTTGCTTAACAACCGTATTGCAGACCGATCGCGCTACCCACGTGCTGTCTTTCACTTTTACTAACTATTTATTAACGTTCGTTAATCACTTGTCTCAGAAAATTGATAAATACAGGTGCTATGCCAGGGTACCAGTTTGACATAAGCTGGATCAAACCAAACTTAATTTAGTGCAGTCATTACGCAATCGTATATTACCTTTTTTTATTTTAGGTATTTTTAAGGTCAATGGTACGTGACTGTAACCTAATTTCATTCTTTAAACTGTTTAGTTTAGTTGTAACTAATAAAAATATTATGCATCTGGATTATTTATTGTTAAAAGAATTAAATTTTATGTAGTTTTAATATTTTGGGTATTTTGTATGGTTATAAACATGAGTTGAATGTCCGCTGTGGCTTCACTAGGAGGTGCCTATCTGAAATGTCAAATTTTCCTCAATTCTGGCACATAAATTATTTGCCTTATTTCGCGATACAGATATTTGAGAGATTTTGATCAAGGCATGCATATAGTTCTTAGTTTGGATCCTGTATTAACATATGGGTTAGTTTTTAATCTACTAAAATTCTCACCAGGGATTCTGTAAACTCACAGACAAAAGTCTATCTTTAAATGAAAACTGACTTGCGTTTTTTGCCATTTATCACTGAAATATTTGTCTGATTTATAATACCATTACAAATTATGTTTTCAGGGCTTGTGAGTGAAGAGGATGTCAAGCTGTTCTGGGACGGTGCCAAGAAACTTCTACCTACATGCTTTAGTCACGTCAGGAAATTGAGAAAGAAGACAGCAGGCGACAAAATAGTAATGAAAACCCTCCGTGAAGTCCTCAAGATTCTTTATAAATTATCAATAATAGATGCACCAGAGACTATTCCATTATTCCCAACGGCTTTGTACGGTTGGTTAAGGGATGATGGACAGAAGTTGACTATTCATGAAGTTCTACATCAAGCCGTTATTCAAGGTGCATCTGATTGGTTCGTCCACATACTGGATAATAACGAATGTAAGGACAAGACAGAAGAATCAAGATTGCAACACTTGATTAGAGTCATACAGTTGGTGCGGTCTGATCTTCAACGTGCCGTGGAATACTACGACAGAGTTTTTGTTGAGTAAGTATATTATATTTAAACTGTGTTTTTATTTTGTAGGCATTGTTTTTATAAGTAACTTATACAAATTGTTTTTACTCAAAATAAGACATTTATAAGATTATTGGAATACTGTTAACAGGACTACCGATATTGGGAAGGTATGGTCAGAAAGAGAATTATGCAAGTAATGATCAAATTTATTTTGTAATTTGAATATAACCGTGAATTGCTACTTATTACTATTTTATGGTCTACAATATTGTGTTGTGATATTTATCGACGCTTGCGCATGTGTATTTATTTGTAAGCGGTGCGTATTTATTTATATATCTTAGTCACCGGGTAACTGGAAGTTGCTAGATTATTTTTAGAGTAATGAACCTTTGGAAGGTAATTATTGATTAGGTAATGTATTTTGGTATTATCATATTTCTCTTTTCACTGGTTTTTATTGTGCATTTAGAAAGAGAAGTTAGTTATTTTTTAATTTCTTTTCCAACACTAGAAGTCTGTAAAAAAATCAGTGTCGAGCACAGAGCTGTCAGATCACTCAACACAATAAAACAAAACCTACTGCAAACGATAAAGGTTTAATTTGATCGATCTTCTAACGTTGTAACAGACTAGTGAGCCTGCTGGAACAGTTATAGAAAGATATACATTAATTTTCAGAGTGATGTCGTTCCCTTACTCAAAGGCACTTTACGGTCTATACGAGAGCAAGATCGCGTCGTTAGTTGAGCCTGAAGTGATACAAGTATGTAAGAGTCTCAAACGGCTACATTATCACGAAGGTTCGACCAATAACGTTCAACTCGCTGGTGGAATTAATGGTGAAACTACTATGGGTTCTCCCAACGTGGGATCTGAACCTTTGGCGATGGGAACTACATTGTTTGAGCTGTATTTAACTTTGCAGAGATTTTTGACGTAAGTACTGCCATGGTAGTTATTTAAACTGAGTGTCACCATTCCTAGAGTTCCGTTTTCGATTTCCGAGCAGGTCAAAATTGATATAAAATTAATTCAAGTCTGGGATGTGGTGGTAACTTCGTTCCTTTAGATTTCCATATCATAAGCAGTTCAGTAAACTAACTTCGAAGCTGTGTATGAAATATGATCTTAAGACTCACGAAATATGTGTAAATACTTGGTTGGTTACTTTTGGGGATAAATTTGAAATTTAAAAAGAAAATAAGTTGACTAATGTAAGAATTGTATATTTTTTATGAGAAATAAAATTCGTTAAGTCTATAGAATGCCATATAGTAATAATATTAACAAATTTTTAATTGTTTTTACAGACTAGGACAAGGATTAAATGAAACAGAGTGGAATAACTATGCCATATCAAAATTCCACTCGTGGTTCTTCGGTGGTGTCGCCCAATGGTTAGACATAGCCGCTTATAAAGCATTGACTCGAATAGAGAAAGCTGTCGATTTAGATAATTTGGTGCCAGTCGATTCAAATGTCAAGTATAGCAGTTCCGGTGTGGATACCCTGGCTATTTTCTATCAAATCAAGATATTCTGGCAACAATTAGCTTGGCCTGACGTAGAAGGATGCTATACTTTCGTAGCTAAAATTATAGATGTAAGTTTTTCTTTACATAAGTACATTTTGATCCTTTAACCAGGATATATTTGTTTTATTTACTTTATTTTTTTGTGATATATTTATAGTAAAAATATTTCTTTTTTCTAATGATGTAAATATTTTCAGGATATTTGTAGATGCTGTGTGTTCTATTCAGATAAAATGTCCGATCGAGTAGACAATGTCGGTAAAGTGACCACAGTCTACGAAGAAAGATTTGAGGTGACCACAGAGTGGTGTGTCGCAATAAACAATATAGACTATGTCAGGCAGAGCTTAGAGCCTTTCGTTGATGAATTAGGTATGGATGACATTATTCAGAAGATGTGCGAAGCTAAATCGCCTGTCGAAGCGCAAAGGTACAAATGTTATTAATTTCATAGGTATTTTTTTATTCTAAATTGAACATTTTTATCGATGTAAATGTCGAAACTCATGTATTGAATTATAGATTAGGATTTTTTAATGAAATACCTAATATAAATTTCTTTATTTGTCTTATATTCTACATTTTTGGTTGCTTTGATTCTGTTATTATTATCTTTTGTTTATGAGTAATCGTTTTTTTTTCTTCATTAGCATTAAAATATATTCTTTATTATATTTTTTTAACTATCTATAAACCTTACAGGTGTAAGGAGACATTACAAAATGTTATCGCTAATGCAATAGACACTGTAAGGAACAAAATAGTTGATCTGCTAGAAGTAATGGTGAAAAAGGTAAGTTCCTGGAAAGAATTGACCAATTGAATTGATTATCATTCGTGACAACAAACGAAAATTCTGACGTGGGCATAGTTTTTTGCAATTTTAACAAGGTCGAAAGTTGCACAATTTTATAGTTTGGTTTCTAACTAATACTTAATTTATCTATTTAAGTGTTTTAAAAAATTAGTGAAGTGATTCTCCTAAATGACTAGTAGTCTATTTAAGAATTTTATCTTAAAAAACTTGTTAATGTTTTAGATGATGCCATCCATCAAGCGATTTTTAGTTGAGGGTGCGGAGTTACTTCATCAAGACTGTTCCAGCATGGATCGTGTGATGAGGTATCTGGAAGCCAACTTAGACACCTTGTACCAACATCTCAACAACGAAAATTTCTCTAGAACTCTTGACATAGTCTGGGAACAGCTGGGTGAAGTTTTATACGAGCTAATACAAGTAAACTTAGAGGTTCGTATTTTTGGTTTGATAATTTTTTTTGCTATCTGTACTAACTGTAATGCTGTAAGTGCTAAACACTTTTTGATTAATCTTATTATTAACGTATATTTTAGTGGGATTCAATGAGAAATTGTTGTCGGTGTTTGTATATATACAACAATTTATCTTCGTGTTTTTTTTTGATAAACATATTTATGTACAAAAATACATTGATATAATTTTTTCTAATGGTACATTAATGTGTATGTATAATATAACTATGAAATTATCCGAGAAAATTTGGATACGCATACGTTTAATTTTTGCAAACGTTGACTGAATTATTTACTTCAATAAATAATAAATTTTCTTGGGTAATTAATTTAAATCATACACCACAGAATTTTCTTAATCATTATCTAACATAACTAATAAGATAACTTTAATTTTGTAGAAAGAGACACTCGCCAATCGTATCAGCTTGTTTAGGCGTAGATATTTTGGAAAAAACAAAGTATCCCCCAACTTTATATTGATTCGGGTAAATAATGTTGCGTATACGCACGCTATTGCAAAAAATAAATTCGTAGCGAGCACTCACACTTTTTAAATATTAGAATGATTTACTTTTCTTTTACATTTTATAATTGAAAAAAAAAAAATTTTTTTTCTGTATTTTTATTTATGTTAGTTAAACTCCGTATTGTTATTATTTATTTAGCACCGGCGACTAAAGATACCTCGGTATATCAAGCCGCGACGCTTGAGCAAATCGGATCCAGCTCACTTAGATGTGGTAACTCTAGTATTAAATACGCACCTTGTGTATAGTCAACTATATATTATGTTACTGTGTTATATGTTAGTACATAAGTACACATATCGCTCTGCAACATTCACGACACCTTGCTTTGATGACACTCGGTTTGTATCGACGGAACATTTACAAAAAAAAATATTGTTGTGGCCTAATAAAATAAGTTGTAATAATAATAATACAATATTTTTTTTATTAATATTAGTAATTATAATTTGATTGACATAAAATTTGGTACGTTTACCTATAGTTCTGATGTCAAACATTAATCATCAGTAATATTGTATAAGTAAATTCATGATACCTGTAGGAAATGGTAGATTTCATATTTTTTCTATTCCATCAATAGGGTTATCAATGAACACAGTGCATCATAAAGCATACTTTGAGACAATTTCAAATCTAACATGGCAGGTATACCAAACGAAATGGTGAATTCTAGAGTTTATACCACCAACAAAGCATTTAACTTAGGTAACTCTTTTTTCTTGTAACTTCGAGTTATGATGTAACTCTAGAATTTCAATGGGTCACGATATAACGTGTTTCGTCAATACTTACATGCACGCGTAGCATGACAAACTCGAGAAACGCTTTGTCTAAACCAAATGTCACTTTTCTCTGGTCAAGAGCGCGACATAGTATGGGCACACCTGTTAAATGTGACATTCGGCGTAGGCAAAGCGTTTCTCGAGTTTGTCATGCTACGAAATACTGGAGTAAGTGAATATAAACTGATATTTTCGTGGTTGTTGGGTGTTGCTGGGTACTTATGTCTTTAAAGCTTTTATAGTATCCTATTATTACCTACTGTAATTCCGTTAATTACTGTATGTACATACGAAGTACTTTATAGGTTTGAAAATTGTTGTGGCATGTTATTTTCGTTCATGCTAGCCTTATTGTTTTGCTTGTATTGTTATTGCGTTTTGTAAATACTTTTAGTGATGAGAATAATGTTTTTTTATTAGTAATAGATATTTAATTTAATTAAATTAAATTTGTGATAAGTTTTGAAAAATTTCGAATACGGAACATATTTATTGAAATTTGAACAAAATGACGTCTGCTCGGTTAGGTAATAAAAATTTTACAAGCTGTAAGAAAATATTTCATTGTCAAAGCATGCGCATGATTAAACTCTTTCATAAATACATTTTAGGTATTTATTGATCATAACACTAATTGTTTTTTGCATGTACGGTGATGGTTCAGAATGGAGAAACAGAGATATTATAAATCAATATGATAAATAACGAAATCAATATATTAAGATACACTAATTATCAGTCTTTATATTAATAAATAATTGTTATGGTTTACGTAATAAAAGTCATTACCTATCTCAATCTTATTTTATATTATTTGACTTTAGATTATTTTATAGAGTTATTGGCATATCTATTTAAAAGTGGTTATAATATTTTAACGTAACAAAATAAAAGCATGTCTGTTTACATACAGAAACTTAATTCTAATACTTATTGGAGAATTTGATCAATGGTAATTTGTAAATTAATCCATAAAAATAATATATGTTTTTTTTTTAACAAAATTCGTCGTTTGTGATTATAAAGCCCCTTACTCTGTTTCTGTTTCCTGATTCAACATTCCCTTATTGTGGTGATGGCATTGTATTGTTTCTCTATATACATATTTTAAGAAATAATATTAATAATTTCATACAACATATTCTTAAAGTGGTAATTTTATTACAGAAACGTCGACCTCCTAGTTTCTTTTCGAATCTCCATGAGTGCCTCAAGATTATGATACAGTCATTCCGCCAAGAAAGTAAGGAAGCTTACTCATCGGAGACATTGAAAAGAGTAGAATATTTACTGAAGTTACATGGTATGGAGACGACGGAACTGATACATCAGTATCATTTGGAGAGATGGCAAGAGCAACAGACCATACAAGATCCAAAATATGGTATACTCACTGTTAGAGCGCAGTTTATTGATGACAATTTGAAAATTGAAGTAATGAATGCACGCAATTTAATGCCGACCGATTCTAATGGTGGGTGTTTAATAAATAAGACTATTAACAGTCAGTTGCTTATGCAACGTAAACGTCCATTATAATTGTCATTAGTTTAATGTGATATTACCGATACTTTTCAAGTTGGAAACATTTTAGAGCCTAACCAGTTAAGCCCAGTTGCACGAATGTCGATTTCAGGCTCTAATGAATATTTGTATGGGTAATATCGCTTTAAATTAATGATGTTTGTAAACTAACTGTAATAGAAGTTACTGCAACTTCCTTGCGTCAGATTGTAGTACATGTAGTACAGTTTTTTTTTCAATATCATTTAGGGTTAGCGAGTACAAGTATAAAAAGTAAAGTGAAGAAATTTAATATTTTTCAAATTTATGATAAGTAGAGATGCACCGAATATTCATTAGATCATTGCCTGATTTGGTTGTAGGTAATTCGATATTTTAGGAACCCTGTGTTCCTAACTAGTAGACAAAACATACCTGTTTCATTGTTGATTAAAGATAAATAGTCTTCTTAACAAAAAATGCTTAAACAATCCACGATCGTTCACAATCTGGGCGAATCCTCTAACCACTGAGCCATGACCTAACAAAGTGGCGTAGTGGATAAGCGCCGCGGCCCGCGATCATTTATGTTAAGCAACTTTCGCAGCGGGTCCGCAGGGCGGAGCCCCACATAACCCGTGGAGCCCACGCTGGGTGAAGCGGGTATGCAGTAATGCATTTCCAATGTCAAAATAAAGGGGGTTGGTCGCGGGACCTTAACCGTCCATAAAGAACCACCTTCCATTCACCTTAACTATCCATAAGGAAGACCTGAGCCTCTGCAGTGGGGATGTAAAAGGGCTGATGATGATGATGAATTAATTTTTAGGTTTATGTGATTCATATGTACGAGTGTCATTATTACCTGAAGATACTTTCGCCAATGTTATGAAGCCTAAGACGCAGACGCACAATAAAAATCTATTTCCACTTTACGACGAGATGTTTGTCATGTGAGTGTTTTGGTTTTATTTTCTATGATATAATATGATATACTACTGTACAGCCAGTTAGATCCATTATAAGATTAGAAACTAATTGGTTTTCGTTAAATAAAATTTATATTCATACTACAAATTTGGGTACAATTTTAAAAACATATTTCCAGTCTTTCTGGCGTTTGTTTTTATATTTTCTTAACGGAGCTTTATACTGTTATAGTTAATGAAATATTTCTCCCTTTCTGGAAATTAGTTCCTTGGTTATCTTTTTCTTTTTATTGTGGCACGACAAAGTGATTGTAATATACCTGGTGGGAAGTGAGCAGCTGTTAGAAATGGAAACTACTCCTGGTAGCCCCCACTATTTTGCCGGCCTGTTAAAGAACCTTTTCACATCTCTTTTGAAGCACCCAAGGTTATAATTAATTGAAAATACGTGGGATGGGAGACTCAATAATTTTACCGGCGAGAATATCTTGCATTTTTGTAATAACTTTCTATATAGAACAATTTTTCTCTGCAGTCCATTGACGCATGACCAACGGCGTGTAAACGACGGCTTAATGCATTTCGTGATCAAAGACAAGGACATGTTCAGTGTGAATAATACTTTCGTGGGCGAAGCGTACCTTAACTTCAGCGAGGTACCCGATACTCCTGCACCTATCAGCAGTTTACCGCAGCAATTATTGCCTCTTAGCAGACCCAGCAACTTAGGTGAGTCATAAAATCTTATAAAGAACATAGATGTTTATGAGTAAAGGCTATTATAAAGTTGATGATTATTTTAACGACCGCAATGTCTTCGTTTCGTTCTATACTGACTGATTATATGTACTATACAACTTCCTATAGACATTGATAAATTGTTTTTTATATTATTGTAATGTAAATGTCGTTACTTTTGATAAAGAGCTGATAAGTTTCGCTTGTTCTTCTTGTCAGCCAAAAGACGAGTTAAGGAAAAATCAATTGGATGATTCAAAAGTCTTGTAACAAGCTTATTTGATAAAGTATTTTTAATTTTCACTGAGAGGGCGCTTTTATTGTGCACGTTATATAGAGTGTTTATTTTTTTCATATTACAAGCTTTTATTTAAATTGCCTTGTTAATTCAAATAGTGGTAATTTTGCTAGGTACTTTATTCCACTTTCCAATATCTGATTAAGTAGAAATTTGGAATACACCTTAATTTTCGATCGGGAGAACATGAATGAGGGCAGATTACTCGTTCTTGTACACCTTTCTAATAAGATGTTAAAAGAAAGGGTTGAACTTGTAACATATAGTATATCTATAATCAGCCATTTACGCAAACGTCCATTAAAATTCTCATTAGTTTAAAGTGACATTACCTATACTAATTGGATAATCATTAGAGATTAAACACTAATGGACGTTTGTGCAACTCACCATACAACGAAAACAAATTCAAAATGGCTGCCAACATACAATGGCGGATTACAAATTTATGGCTAGTTTTTTAAAACGCTTAATAGTTTAATAACAATACTAATAATATAGCTAACCATAAATATATTATAAATTCAATTAATTTGGTCGTTATTTCAAGTTCACTCTAAGACAGATTTTTGAAAGATTTTAGTATTTATTAAAGTATTTGAGGATAAATACTATTGTTTATAAATGAAGAATGCATTACAATAATACTCTTTTCTGCAGACGGTGAAGCGATCAAAGCATTGGAAACACGTGTGGGCGACAAACAAGCACGCGAGTTCCTTAAAAAGCAGAGACAAAAGATGCCAAGCAAGCAATTTTTCTCACTCGGCTGAAGACAATAAAAATAATAAATTAGACTTTAAATTGTTTCAGACTAGAATGTGTTTTGGCTGTGTTATGGTGTGTGCTTTGAAGATGTTTTTAACGAATAAGAGAAACAAAACTAGAGGAAAGAGTGTTTTTTTGGAAAGTGTGTAATAAATATTATTATTATTATTATTATAAGTATTTGATCAGTCTTTTGCATTTCAATGCTGTATAGATTCTTTTGCTTTGATTTTTCTTAGCATAAACTATTTCGTTGAGTGAGTTGTGAAATATTGTATGTGAAAATGTGTTTTTTATATTGTATGACATAATATTATGCTGAAGGTTATTAACGGTGCTACATGATGTTATGATTAATAAGGCGTACATACACGGTGGATTTAAGCAACATATCCCTGAGTGATTACTAACAGCTTCTATTCCTTCAATGAAGGATAAAATAACGTAGTAATAAAATTACATAATTATAAGTATAATATCAGGACGCATCATATAAATGACTTCCTGTATAAAGTTTATAATTTAGTACATAGCAGTTTAATTCGTGAGATTATGAAGTAGATGTAAAGCTGAACTGTAGATATACACTAGACTCTACAAAGTAGGCAATAAGAACAGACTGATGATAATTTCATTTTTTGTACTTTCATTATGGAAAAGAATAAGTATGATATAATGGCTATACTTATTAAAAAAATTAAGAATCTCTCGACTAATTGGTTTTTATAACGTTACGTTTATCAATATTAGCTAATCATATTGTAAACATGGTTTCCAATAATCGTTAAATAATGGGCAGTTTGAAAGTCAAGACAATATCAATCGATATTTCATAATTTATGAGATATTAAAAAATACTAGTCGTGTGAGTTACAGCATATATCATAAATTTATTATTAAAAGTATTAATTGGATAAATTGTGATTTCAATAAGAATAAGTGCAGTTATAATGATCGAAGATTAAAAAAAAATCTTAAATCGAAGTGTGTTTAATTCAAAATGTCACTCCAACTTGATTTCCAAACTATCCGAATAAAAAACTCGTAAACATAATGCGATATAGGTGTATAACTTTTTTTTTACGAAAGCAGCTATAAATTTCTTCAAAAATCATTTTACAAATGGGGCATTCCACGCAAAGCGGACAGCTAAAAAAAGTTGATGTTTTCGATTTCAGTAATATTTGAGTATGTTTTACCTATACATGTCCTTGATACATGTACCAAATATTTTTGTAATATAGTGCTTAGTTAGAGAGTTAAAGGACTTTGAAATTTTGATTAACGAGTGGGCATGCAGAACTTGAAATCCGATTACCAAGTCATAAGATTATAGATATAAATAATTAAACTAGTGTATTTATTACTTCATTTACTAAGATTTATAACTGAATTTTTGGATAAGATTTTTTTTTTTTAATGTGATTTATTTTTTTTTACCTTGATTTTCAAGTTGGACCGTTTCGAATTTTTCCTAAAAATAGATAATATTATAAGGAAAATTCGTGCTAAGTTTTATTATGGGCGTGAAAGTGGTTTAGGAGCTAGACTAGAAACACTGGCGAAGCGTGGCGTTCCTGACTCCTTCCCCAATATTATCTGTTTAATTATTTATATCTATCATCTTATTTATTAAATTTTTGTAAGACTTACAACTGTATAGTTGTAAGTCTTACAAAAATTTATAAAACTATAATATCTTATAAAACTATGAAAAATCTTATAAAACTATAATAAAGACAAAAAGCCAATTAAAATTCTCCACCATTAGTAACATACTACTCAAATATGTTCTGACTTGGTAATCGGCTCTATTCGTTAGTCAAAATTTCAAGTCCCTTAACTCTCTTACTGGCACTATGTTACAAAAATATTTGGTACACGTATAAGGACACGTATAGGTAAAACCACAAACATACTCGAATATTACTGAAATCGGAAACATCAACTTTTTTTTAGCTATCCGCTTCGCGTGGAATGCCCCAATTAACAGATTCTTTGTGTTTAAGCTAGTTGTCATAAGGATATTCCGAATAACGGAAATGCAGTCTATAATCACAAAATATATATTTACTATCTAGTTACATTGTAAATTATTAAAATGTTACATAAACATAGTTTTATAATATTCAATTAGTAGATTTATATTTTTCGCGGAAATTAGCGTATTTTGTGTTGAATCTTTGTATGTAGTTATATATCTACTATTTAGTAGCTTCTGTGATACTTCTGTGCCTTAGTTTATTTATAATTTATATGTCCACTAAAGAGCATAAAAATCGGAAAGCCTATTTGTAAATGTTTTTTTTGCCATAAATGTAAAGCTATTAAAACAAAAATGTCTTAATATACATTATTTTGTTGAGTAAATCTTTTCTTCTTTTTTATGTAAACATATGTATTTATTTCTTAATAAAAATTTTGTAAAATAAGTTTGTATGTATTTTTTTTGAGTTTTATAATACTTTCAGTGAATCGCATCGTAAGTATTTAAGACCCATGTAATTTACAAGTATCTGTTTAAAACTTAATCGTTATAAAAAAAAACACTGAAATTGATACACTTTAAAACTTAAATTAAAGTAAAACAGTCAAAACTAGAAAAAAAATTTTTGATTTACGATTTTTATATTACTGCATGTTTATTAGGTTATGGAGTAGGCCTGCAATGCGCCAAGCAAATATATTACATGGCTAAAGTAAATTCATATGTGTATAATTATAAATATTCTCAATAACATGCGTACTTTACACAATTATTCAACGGGAGACGTATCCAAAACCTAACGCAACTTTAACGTTTAGTTGAAAAACAATTTATTAGTTTTATTTCTGGAGTTTAATCGTAGTGTGAATAATATTAATTATAGCAAAAGTAAAAAAATAATCACGCTTAGAATGCACGTGATACAACGCTACTTACGAGTATGAGCACGTCAGGGACTCGTACTTTTGCCAGATGTTAAAAAAGAAACGAGAGACGGTTGTATCGTTTCTTCTCTTTAATGGCTTCATTGCTTATGCAGCTTGAGGCTTTAAATGACCTTTGTAACATTTAAGAATTCGTATAGGCACAGATCCTTTAAGAAAGGAAGAATAAAAACTTACAAACTCCAAACTTTAATAAAGTGATAAACAATACTTATCTCAAAAGGGACTTATTCAAGAAAATGTTAAAGTTCGAAGTCAGTTTTATTTTTTAAAGTTTTTATTTAATGCTTTTAATGAATGCTGAAGCTAAAATGATATCTTTTATGTAATAGGTAACACTGAGAATATTAAATACTACCTTTCCGCCAGCGATTTCGTCCATGTGGTTCCTAAGGAGCTGTTCATTTAGATATCAATTCATATGATAACACGATGAGATGGATATAATTGCAATGACGAATTGAGTAGTAAACAATCATTTCCATGGTAAGTAAAGTTTATATTCCCTTAACAAACTTCCACTCCCATTTACTTTTATTTGTAATTTTTCGGGTTAAAATATAGGCTATGTTTGCCGCATATGATATAGTTTCCCGTACGTGAAAGGATTTTTAAAATCGGTCCAGTAGTTTCGGAGCCTATTCGTTGCAAACAAACAATCAAATCTTTTCACTTTATAATATTAGTATATATATCAGCACATCGAAAGTATCAGAAAAAAAGATTTTAATTCTATTCTTCAATTCTATACTCGAGATAATAAAGAGCCAAGATTTGATTGCTTGTTAGTTTGCATTTGATAGGATCCGAAAGCTATTGGAACGATTTATAAAAGTGTATCATCCATGGAAGCTACATAATACGTGTTAGGCATAGGCTACAATAACTTAGGCAAGCGAAGTAGCAGGGAAAACAGCTAGTTTGATTAAAACAGGTTCACAATTTAAGAAGAAATCGATTGATATATCTACTTTCATAAAAAATATACATACTCCTTGAACATAGGGTTATAAATAAATTCAAAATACGTAATCTATTATTATTCAGCTGAGATACACGAAATACAATACATATCATCTAAATATTTAACTAATATATGGTGATTAGCGTTTTTTATTTTGTTATAAAAGGAAAACTACCGATTCGATTTCGATAAAATTTAAATGGGACCTCTTCGGTCTAACAAGAAGGCGAAAAAAAATTTTTTTTTAATCGGTAAACAATATAGTGAAGAACTTACGTAAAAAAACATACATCGCCGTCGAACATACAACCTATTTCTTTACGATTTTGAAGTCGGTTTAAAAGAATTCATATGGCTTTCACTGCCTGGAATCCTTAGGTCATTGTTCTTCAATATACGACACTTTCCAGCCCGATAAATTCTGGCGAGTTCCTTAAGTCATAGAAAAACAAGCAATTGTAACATAATTTGAACACTACATTTGCAACTTTCTTTTTTGAGGTATCTATTATTTATTTATTAACATTGAAAATAGCATAACAATTTTATATTTTATTGACAAATAAACCTGTCCATCATTCTTAAAAGAAATTGTTTTGCTGGTGAACCATGTAGATCCTTGACTTTCTTTTTGCCGCTGACCCCCTGAGTAAGGCTCCACGACCTCCCTAGCGATCGCGATTCGCAAATTGAAAAACGCCGCATTAAGTTAGTTAAGACTGAAATAGGTAAGTAATAAATGGTTAAAAAAGGGAGTATTGTTACCTAACTACGGCGAAGTGCAAAGGAGGATTATGATTTAACTGGTATGTATGTAAGAATGTTTATCTGTTCTCTTATAATTTCGAAAATACTCATCGTAACTGGACAAATGAGGTATCATTAGAAGTGTCTTAATGTCCGTCTGCTATAGGCTATGTGACGTTACATTAAATAGATAGCAGCGACCTCTAGAGAGCATAAAGTAAGAAATTAAAAAAAAAATTGATTCAATCATTCAGGATCAAATGAAAGGGCATTTTTTTAGCATTTCTAAATGAACTAGAACATTTTTCAGTATGAATGCAAAGCAAAAATTTATGAAATATAATAAGTAATTTTTATATACCGAAAAATATTCCAAACGAAAAATGCTCATTAAGAATAAAACAATTATTGATTTTTTTTATTTTTTGTTCAAATAAACATGACTTTTGTCATTTTTACTATTATAACTGTCTTATGTTGTTTAAAAAAATACAGTTTTCTACTTAGTTTTATCTGTTATGTATGTATTGGCATTCTACAGTCTGCTTCGGAGTTTTTACTTTTGACATAATATTGATAAGGTTCCAGTTTTGTTCTGTTCGATTTAATGTTTCATGATATTTCAATGATGCATTGATACATTATTATTGGACTTTTCATTTCTTGTTCTATTTATTACAGTTCCCTACTAAATCTTTTAAATGACAGTTTAAACAATAAAAAAAAATAACAGCATATTTACATATATGCTCTATACTTTATTAGCTATTTAATTTTAACGCTTTTAGTCTAAAGGGGCAGGTTATTATTTGCCAGAATTTAACCTCATTATGTAACTCTATTAGATATAATCTTAGTATGTACTGTTTATTTTTTTTAATAACGCAATTTAATTTAGTATTGATATATTAAGTGTCACATTGCTATCTGATGTCACATTCTTGACGACCTAAAATTAAACACTCCACCTTCGTCAGCCGTCATGTCATTCTTAGTAATCGAATTAATTATACCTAATGTCAGCCCACAAAGGGATCCGTGCGGTGGAAACGCGGAATCAGATGAAACATGGCTGCCGAACGGCGGCGCCTTTCATCTCCCTTTTGACTATGGTTGCCAATTATTTGAAAGCGGAAATGAGTATTCCACGAAATTGAAATCATTTCAAATTCATACCTTATTTATTTCAGGTAAAGTATATTTTGAAAAGTAAAATTTATTTTTGTTTTAAATTAATAATGTAATATTTTTCTTTACAATTCTTTTTTCATGTACACACTTTACTGGTATGTTGCTTTATAAAAGTAAAATGTATCTAAAACATTTTAATGGACATAGTAACAAAGTAACAATTACAGTAGACGTCGGGTAACAACCCTATTATAGTTGCTTTGATCACGCCGCGCCGACGATCCCGCCGACTACTTATCGGCTCAGATTTATTGTGATTTTGAGAGTACGACCGCGGGGAGCCGTACTCGCCCATTTGTACGCCGCTTACGATGCTTATTCATGTGCGGATGTTGAAGACAAAAGTGATTTCTTTAACGACTCACGCAGAATTTTTTCAAAGCTAAAATGAATCTTATTCGACTAAAAGTATGTTCGGATATGATAGAATAAACCATCTCGATCGTTTAGTCTATAAAGTATCAGAAATCAGATTTTATAAAATAGCTCACCTCAAATTATACTTTTCAAATATTAAAAAAACTCTATACATAATATACACCTATCTAAAATCACAAAACAGTGCTGTGTCGGATGTCCGTATTCGTATTTGTATCCGCGCATATTCCGAGCACATCACTATTTCAATTACATTTTTAAGGCATGTTGGAGAATATATTATTAGGAATAAATTTCGATAGCACAGAAATTTGCTAAATCGGTGTAATAGATTAACGGAATTTATAGTGCTTAATTTTTTAAAGAAAACTTGTGTTTCTCAAAATCAATAAAGCTTTAAATTTATATTCATAGGAATGGATGGACTAGAAAAAGTAATAGACAATGAAAGGTAACTGGTAGTTACAAATTTTGTTACAATGTTCTTTTAGCTACAAAACCAAATTTTAATGAAAAAGCAACAACTTTCAGATTGCGATTGTACAACTTTGACGTAACGTAACTGAGAATGAGTAGCCCATTTTTTGTTTCAATGCGGACTCCGGTAGCCGCTGTAAAAAACAGTCCATTATTACTCGTCCACTGCAAAGTGACTAGAGATTTTAACAGTTATTATTCACTCATTAGTGTATCATAATGGTTATTGAATTATAACTGCGTCAATTCAATTTAGATACATGGTTATTTCATTACAACAGCTATTGTCTGCTCTAAAAGCGGTAGCTTACAAAACCGAAAAGCTTCGACAACGGCAGGCATACATAATTTTATAGGTCTCCTTTTATTGTCCACAATAATTTAATATCATCAACGAATTAACGATCTCATCCAAAAAAATGAGATGTTCATTGTTATGGAAAATGAGCTTGAGCTTTATAATATTATTTTATATGAAAAGAAGCTTTTAAAAAGGCCGTCTCACTAAGTAATGGGATGAATAATAAGCTATAAAGGTTTTAAATGGTTTATTCTTTCCGGCCTGTTTGTGAGAGGTGAGTATCTTTCTTTGGATGTTTTGATTTACTATTGGGATCGCGAGATGGTGTATCGGATCTCAATAAAGTATGTTTAATGAGTGCACCTCGTATATCAGCGTCGGCATCATAAAGGTGGGTATGAACTGTCAAAGGGCTCATTGTGCCGGTGCGTCTTTATGATAGCATTTTTACAGTCAGGGTACAAGCTTTGAACGCCTGCCGCGCCGACCACCAATTATATTCTACTTAACTCGGTGTCCATGCGACATCTTGCTAGCGGACGAATTATAGAATTTTGAATCTGATAGTCACTTTTTTAAAATAAGATATTAGAATTTATTATAACAATTTGTATCCTAGTAAGTGTTATGAATGCCTGAGTGCTGTAAGATATACAAATTAAAAAGAACTTAACACTAGATCACACTAAATAGATTTTAGATAAATGCTTTTATTTGTTTTGTTAAATAAAAAATGCAAATGAATATTTTATGATCTAATCTACAACTCATATGAACAATTAAAAAAATATGTTCCCATCTCAGGGTGCCAGGGACCAAGTGGATTTTTTAAGCATTTTGTATTGAGAATAATTTTCAGTATGGCATTGTGAATGTAAAATTAATAAAAATATATGAAATAAGGTTTAAATTTTATGATCAATAAATGATTTTTGTGTAGTCATTTTTATATTAATTCATGTCTTAGATGAAAATTAAGAAAGAAAATACAATAAAAGAAAATTTTGTAATAACTTCCAAACATAATAGACGCCGGAAACAAAACAATAGCAAAATAAATTTACACATTTTTACATTATGATCGCCGTTATCTACAATAATTGAGTTTCCATAGTAGGTGTTGAAGTATGTATCTTTAGTACAACAAGTGCTATTGTATTAAGGAAGTTACAATTTCCTTAAATTTCCTTTTTACGGCACTCACCCACTCTCCAGATATTCACTCCACTTCTGATTTTATTGACGTAAATATAATTTTTTTAAATATTTTAATTTTGTATTGAATTTTTGGCCACTCTACATAGGTATATCCCTTCATATCAAGTTAAGTAAAGTGCTCAGAAATGATCGACAATTATGTGGTTCGAATCATGATTAACTTTAGGTACTCTACCTACCTGCTTATGTTTTTTCCACAAACAAGTTATTTTAGCGATTTTTGTTCCTATTTGTTGTTTATTGCACCTATGAAAATTCTATAAAGAATAAGAATATATTATAAAAACAAAAAAAAGTGTAATCGGTAGGTATGCGATGTTGATGTGTTATTAATATATTAGCTAGTTATCGTAGAGGTGTTACATACATTAGAGAGAATAGACAAATTTCAAGAGCAAACAACTTGATTTTTGCGGCTGCTTCTTAAGAGTATCATAAAAAAAAGAGAAGTGGCACAAAATTGTGTTAAAAGCGAAAAAGGCGAAGGAATCGTGTAATGAGTCTCAGGGACCCGGGGGCGATGCTTTGTCGTTTTTTCAGTCGTTGACAGGTGGAGGGCGGGGCAATGGCGCGCGGGGCGGGGGGCAGAGGCAGCCGGCGCGGCGCCCGCGCAACTCGCGTGCTCCTCTCGCCTGAGTCACGCGCGCCTCGTAATGCTTGCATAATAATAATGACGGATGCCGATCGCGTGGCGGTGCCTTTGATCTGCGCCGCTTTTGATCTCGCCGCCGGAGCCGGTCCCGTCGCCTGCCGCACAAACGAGCCGCCGGCTCACCTTTATTCGGTTGGACGCCGCGCGGCGAGTCGGCCCTTCGAGCTTCGCCCTCGTTCTAAATAGAGGCTTTATTTTGTAAACAGCGGGAGCGCTACTGTGCGAAGGTGTACGGTGCGCTAGTTGTGTCGTAGTCAGTATGGGGTGCGCATCTGCCCACTCCCTGCGTTCGCGACCATCTCGTGCTCACAGTACGTACATTTCCGCCCACCGCTGGGAGTGATGAGGGTAGCCCTCTGGATCTGGATCACTTGGACGCTCTGTGTACGCATTGTTTTGTGAAGTTTTTTTTGTTATGCCGCTTATTTTTTCTCGTCTGTGGTGATTCGTAATAATGAGTGATTTTTTCCAATTGAAAACGAAGTTTGCTAATATCATTAACATTAACTTTTCTATCTATTTGGCGACACTTAAAAAGTTTGATAACAATCAACTTTAAGAAAAACATGATAATCATAATTATATCATTTTCAAAAAGTGATAATGTATAATTAATTTACTCACGCTTAGAGTACAAAGTTTCATTTAATTGCAAATTCTAATTCTGTACAAATATCCGATAAAACCACGTATATAAGCGAACCTTATCGAGAAAATTGGATTACGTTTAAATTAAATTGTTATTAAATCATTAACAGTACCTATCTTAAACTCGACAGTCTTAGGCGCGTGTTCGTTAATATTCAAAGACATCACAACAATAACACAAAATGATATGATTTAATAAGTTATATTTTACGTTAATATCAGCTTAGATACATTTCTAAATTAAAAATGATGCATTGTCTAGATATCTGTAGAATAGTAGCAAAGTTTATCTATCTAACCTATGTTATCTTAATAATCAAAGAAATTATTAAGAAAAATATCACGTCCTTTGTGCTTTGATTGTGAGAGGATTTATGAGATAACATGTAGATTAATAATTTACAACCGGATTGTGCCTAATTTCTTATTAATTTCTCTCATCTGTTTGTTCATGTTAATCGAGCATTAACCGAGAGAACACGTCTAAATAATCGAAAAAAATTATGCCTACTTTCCCTTTAGGCTTACTATACTGTTGCCGGATACAAACAGTTAAGGGTTTTGGACTATAAGCCCATATATGTTATTAAAATATAGACTCTAACTTAGAGCAGTAATTTTCAGTAGCAACTTAGAGCTAAGATTATAAGTTGACAAAATATATTTTAATTCGTAATTATAAAAAGTGGAAGAATTTTTATGATTGGATCAATAGGTACTACCGACAATAACTCCTTATAAATAAAGTTAGAAAATCGATCTTTTTATAACGTTATTATACAAATATTTTTACAGAGTTAACAATACTACCTAATATTTTGTATTCTACCCAATACTACCTAATCATTAAATGATGAAATTTATCTTCATATAGAAAGTAAAAATATGCATATTATACTCGTATATTGTAAGTAAATATAGGTTTTAAAATGTAATTTGCATAAGTGGACGTATTTATGTATTATTAATGGCAGATGTACACTTGTTTACATCTTAAGATGCAAACAGTTATGTACGGTTAAAGGTCTACTTTGAATATTGAAAACGCCGCCCAAGTTAGGAATTAAATAAACAATGTAAGTTACAACTAAAAACTAATAAAAAATCAGGAGACTTTAAATCTAAAACGATAAAATAAATAAAATCTATTTACTGTTAAAATGTCCTCTTATCCTGTTCAACGACAATGTCAATATGATATTATTATTATTTTATTTTTTATTTATGTTTATGTATCTATGAAATTTATGTATATAACTGTATCAGTGTAGGCATCTTTTGGTTTGTAACATCATTTGATTTTTTCTGTTTGATGTGGTGACACAAAGTGCCATTAAAGTTAAGAAGAAGTTTTTCTGTTTGTTGCATCGCTCTCTGATTTACAAGTAGAGGGTAATGGAGTAATAAATAAACTTAATAAGTGTGCAATAGAGCATATTTAGGTTATCATTGGGATTAGTAGCTGTTCTTCGCAAATGAAGATTCACTTTATGTCATATTAGCAGAGAGAACGAATATTAGTTAGAATTTACTGTACGAGGTATCGTTCAATACTCTTTGGTTATTGTCAATGTTCTCGTCATAAATATGTTTTATTTGTTTCCCCACGAATTCGCCTGCGTTAATTATAGTCTTATGTCCAACGCATATGATGTAGCTTCAATGCAAACAAACAAGCAATCTAATCTTTCGTCTATAATATGAGTATAGAATTATTGGAAAAAAATATGTAGAGCAAATAAACAAAATGTTCTTTTCTAAGACTTTCACTATGTTGAATATTTTTATTTATATAGATCTTTATATATTATTTAATATTCTAATATCAGCCTATTAGAATATTAAATAATTTAAAGAAAAACAAAAATCCCGACTGCGTAAAAACGAATTTTAAAAAATACATGAAAGAATTATCTTAAATAAAAATTAAAAAGAAAGAAACAAGCCCAGTAGTCTAGAATTCAGAACGCTTAGTGTAAGTTTTTTTGACGTTTACGTTCACTGTCGATCGTGAGTGCGTTAAGATTTTAGTATGGAATCCGGTACAGCGCCTAGCGGTAACTACCAAGAATTACAAATCTCCATACAAATTCTAAACGAGCTCACTAGTGAACGCGTTAGCGTAAAACTTACACTTACCACTCTGTTAAGTAATACAGAACAGAACGACTCATAGTCGGGGCCCATTCAAATTTTACCAATCAAATCTTCCCAAGGAGCCCCGCCCCGACTATGAGTCGTTCTGTTCTGTATTACTTAAAAGAATTCTAGACTACTGGGCTTGTTTCTTTCTTTTTAGTTTATGTTATTGTATCCCTATTATTGTAAATTATAAATAAATAATACATAAATATAAATTTTAGTTTTTAAAAGAATTAAAAGTTAGATTTTGGGGGAAGATTCAAAGGTTTGGGTTTTGATTTAATACAGAAAATTGTTTAATTATTACATGACTTTGATTGTTGAAGCGATCCAAGCACTAGCCAAATATTTTGATATAATAAAGCAAATTGCAAAGTGTAATTTTTGGTATATTTTTGTGTTACATAGGCTGTATTGACGACGGTAAGCGAGAGTGTGTCTCCACCCGATATCTTGAAACTTGAGTGGCTCACAAACAGCTCTCTAACTTGCAACGATGGCAGTCCTTCCGGGTAAGTTAGGCTGTCATCATCAACCAAATAATATTTTCCACTGTTGGATCAAAGGCCTATGGACAGAACCGAATACGAAGAACGGGCCATAATCAGCCAAGCTAATGTCGATTGGAGGGCGCAAACGACTGCCGATTCAACCAGGATCGGCGTGTATAACGTTTCTTCGAAGCACAGAGCTCAAAATAAAAAATTTTTGGTCACCCATTTTATTACCGGCCCTTGCAAAAGTTGCTTAACTTCGTTAACCCACTGCCCCGTCCAGCTCCTCTGGCTACTGTTAATGGGTGGGACAAAACATAAAAACACTACTAAGAAAATTTAATTAATTCACGTTTGATTGTGACGACATTTTTAAAAAGTATTTTTCTCATTATTTATTACAGTTTTTAAACAAAATTATATAAAAACATATTTGGCTGTTTCCTCATATTTATGGTAATAAATAATTTCTTTTTATATACGTTAGCTAATTTATCTAATAAGATATATTCATTTTCGAATGTTAATAGCAATTTTAGATTTTTTTTCTGGACTCTATATAGTTGTAGAATATAGAAAAACAGAATTCTCAGTTTTATTAGAGAATGTTTAATATTTCCTATATCAAATATGCAATGCAACAAGCTGTATTTGACGTGTAATAGTTACGTAGTAGGTATAATGTAATTTCATTGCGTACTGCAGCTTCCTCGTATTGCTTGTTTGTGAGGCCACTTACCTATACTTAGATAATATTAGTAAAGACTAAAATATGTTAGCTACCTAATGAGTAATTTGTCAAAACAAATTATTATATTTTAAATAACGAATTAATAGCATCCGTGCTTTTATAACACATCTTGAGTTAATTTCAGCGATAAAATATCTTATATAAGCTATTAACGGATTTTTATTTTTTGAAGAAATTCATAGTTTCTTTTTCAAAGAAAGTTTCATTTTAATAATATAAAAGATTATTAATAAAATATTTTTTATATTTTTTCAGATACTACATCCGTCGCGGCAGCAATACTGGTCACTGGGTGGTGTACCTTGAAGGCGGTGGATATTGTTGGGATGCGGCTTCGTGTGGCGCGCGATGGCGGCGTAGGCCCGCGCTTATGTCCTCTTCTCGGTGGCCGCGTAGCCGACGCGCCCCGGCATTACTCTCTGCCGATCCAGTCGCTAATCCTCTCTGGCATGATTCTACACACGTGCTCCTGCCTTACTGCTCCAGTGACATGTGGGCAGGTACACGAATCCACCGCAATGGATCCTTCGTTTTTGCTGGCCGCCTCATCGTGAGGACAGTTCTTCTTGATTTACTCCGGCTCGGACTTTCCGGACGCCTCCTCCTCGTCGGCTCGAGTGCAGGGGGTACAGGAGTCATGCTCCACGCTGATTCCGCGAGGCGTATGTTACGTCATCACGGTGTTCGTGTTGCAGTTTTGTCAGATTCTGGCTGGTTTTTGGACAGACCGGCACGCTCTCGACGACTCCCCGCTGAAACTGTTGCAAAGTTAGGACATGCATTGTGGCGTGGCGCTCCACCGAGTTCCTGCATACGCAAGCATCCTTTGAAGCCATGGATGTGTTATTTTGGTTATCATCTTTACCCGCACATAAAAACACCATTGTTTGTGTTTCAATATTTATTTGATTCGGCGCAACTAGCTGCCGAAGGAGTTCGCGCGCCAAGAACTCGAGCTCAGTGGAATTCAGTGCATGAAACAGGTGCCGCTTTACGAGTTAGTTTGAAAGGAGTAAGGGCGACTTTTGCACCTGCTTGTTTAGCGCACGGTGCACTTGCTCGACCCGAATGGCTTGCTATAAATGTATCAGGCGTTTCCCTTCCACGAGCTATTGGCTGTTGGGAGCGCCGTCTTGGAGGGGCTAATAGGCAAGAAAAGGGAGGTTGTGCTCCACGGAGGCTCATTGAAAGATGTTCCTGGCCACAATGCAACGGTTCTTGTCCGCGGTTACGAGATCCACGAACCGGTGAGGAGGTTGCTCTGGCAACTTTACTTCAGAGCTTTGGTCTTGATGTAAACGGTGCAGCGGCTGCTATGGGATTGGACGCACGTGCTTTATCTAGAATGAGTCGTGCAGAATTATTACCTCTCTTGGCTCCACATACGTGATAAACGCTCGAACAATATTTGTGCCTTCAGGCACTGTGAATCTACCTCGTTTTTGTTGCGAAAGTACAATTATTTTTTAGATTATTTATTGTTTACCAATACTACTTTATGTAATTTATGATAAGTAAAGTATTCGAAAATTGTTTTTTATTTTTTTGGTCTGAAATGATCGAGTGAAACACATTGTAATTTGGCACAACAATAACTTTATTTATATACAAAACCGTTTTTCTTAAAACATACAGTGGACTAGTTCAAATGTCTACAAAATAAAATACTTAAGAATATCTCACTATAAACCGCTACGCGTTATTGTAATGTGGCAGTGACGCGGCGGATTAGGAAACAACTAGCTAAAATGATTTGGTAAGTATAACCGTGGGGGAAGCCACGGAGACCGACGCGGGACGGTGGCGTTGACGCGGCCGCGACTATGTCGTGACGTCACGATAACACCTCCGGAGCGTGAGCGCATCTTGTGACGTCATAAACGTGATCCGCGTTCTACACTGATGGCAATGGACACGTCTATAACGTCATTGCCGAGGAAGAAGTCTGAAGATATTATGTTAGCACTGTTACGCCAGCGTGTGGTGAGTCGCGCAGTAACGTTGCGATTGACGGCATCAGCGTTTTGTCTTATTGAACCTCTTAGAAATAAAATATCTAGTACTGTGGGTGTTGTTTGGGCCATAGCTGAGTGCATAGGTGAACGAGCATTAGGCTGCGGTGACAAAGCTATCGCTTGGTCTAGAAACATAAATAATGTGTTGGGGTTGTTTGTATTCGCCCAAAGGTGAGGCAAGATCGGCCACAGCCAGTTGTTTACTGTAACAAAAGAAATATTAATAAATAAATATATAACAATATCACATACATTGCTCAGATTCCATGATGAGTAGCTAAGGGTCCCGTATTATGGATTATCTGATAAAAAAATACTGAAATAAATCCGCTGTATAAATAACAATGCTTTTCGTTGAGATTTCGAAATTTTGTTTTATATTTCAGAATTCTTTTATTCAATTTTTGCTCTTGGAAATAATTTTGGCATTATTCTTCATAGATTTGTTTCAATAAGAAAAGTCACATAATTTTAAATTTAATATAGCATAGATCATAAGTAGGCGGTCTCGTTATATTTTTGTCCTCAGTTATGATCACAGAACACAGAAGTCATGATTATGTACTAGTATTTTGCTAAACAAAATACTGAAATATTAATATGGAGTAGAGCAGATCTAATGATTGAGCGTGAAGGTAGATATGGGACATTTGTAATTAAACGAAGCCACTACATTAACCTAAAAGGCAAAATTTCAAGAATACTTAAAAAGTACTCCATACCCGTAGCAAGATAACGAATAATATTAGAAACTAAATATAGGTTTTTATAAGGTGTATTATTTAAAATAACTATAGGAAATGTATGTTTTGAGTTGAAAAACACAATTTTTTATGCACAGGATAAAATTTCATGTACGTATACCCTTATTTTCAAAAACCAGTTTTTGTAATCAGTTAAAAAATTCTTCGTACTTTGGTACACACATTAAGCCGTTGGTCCTGGCTGCATATGGAATCGTTAACAAGCACTTATCTGACATGGTGGATAATGGCTCGTTCTTCCTATTCGATTCCATTCATAGGGAAAGCCTGTGCTTAAGTAATGAGACATTAACAGGCTGGTGAAGACGATGATGATTCCCCTTGCCTATGAAACTAAGAAGTTAGTTCTTAATAGTAAAGCAAGCTTTTTATCGTAAAAACTTACATGCGACAATGGAATTATCCACATAACTGAACACCAGACGTTTGTTTGCATTTAGTAAAGTCTGGACGGTGGGCCCCCTGGTTCCTACGCCAGTACCGAACTGTCTTGCATCAGCTAAATGTGGTCCCAACTCTCTTTGAATTAAGTTTAGAAGACCATCATGGACGGCTCTAATTGGTCGGCCATCTTGTTCATAGAAACCGACCGGGAAGTGATGGGCATCTAGGAACACCACCTGTAATTCCAATAACAAATAATAAGCATTTTTTCGAATCTATTTTATACGTCCTTGTTTGATATTTTAATGTACGAGTATCTTTAGATTATTTAGATGAATTAACAAAAATAGCTTTTTGAAAAACTGATTTTTCTGCCATTCATTGTCTATTAAATTACACAAACTTTGTGAAACAGTGCCAAACTTTCTGTTTCCCAAAATTTGTGTAATTTAATAGACAATTAATTTTACGGATTAACACTAATTTCTTCAATAGAGCTTTTTGTTTAAATATCTTTATAATTTTATAAAAATAATTATCGTAATAACTTATAATATACTCGCAATATTTTAATAAAAAGAACTTTCGATAAAGAAAATGTGAGATATACGAGAAACAATATTTGCTAGACCATCTTGTTTTATTTCTAATATCAATATATGAAGGGCTGTTTTTTTTATTTTATAGAGTAATCGACGTAATGTAGAATTGTATTTGATGGTTTCTTCCCGCCCTCACCTGCGCTTTAAATCAATCTTATTTTTACTAAGACTATAATTTCTGCGCTATTATATATTAGGACGTAGAGATAACGAAACTAGCGCCACCATGGCGCGGTTGTTTCGGTTTGTCTCTTAAAGATATATATTAGTTGTTTTTATTTTGAAAGAAGAGAAAATAAGTAATCAGTGTAATTAAAAAGGAATAATTTATGAGTGATTCAAGGAAATTGCAATTTAAGAGAAAAACAATCATAACATTTATTACACTGATATTTTTCTATTATATGTTAATAATACGGTTTCTAATTAAGTAAGAAAATAAATTAATGGAATTCGTCTAACCGTAATATAAAACGTTATGTCCATCTACTCAGCTCATTTACGTTATTCCATGTAATTGAATGGCGTTATTCATTTAAATGACTAGTAATCTAATTGAACTAGGCTGCAACATATAAACGCCCTTCGCTTCGTAAGACTTCAAAAAGATATTACTTACTTCTCTCGTCGAATCCAAAAAAGCTCTAATTTCTCTTAGGAGGGGTACTAATGGACGGACTCGAATTAAGTTGTGATTCAACCAATACCTGAAACGAAGCAAAGTAATATTTTTTAATTCTAGATTATTCATAACATTAGGTACTTATATAACCCATAGGTAGTTATATCAATTAGATAACGTCTAACTATATAGTAAATTTATAGAAGATCAGCAAGGTAAGATATTCTCCTGTTCGCAAAATATAATGAAGTAGGATTTGTGATTTTTTTTACAAAGCCGTCAATTGTTTGTGCCGTTTTCTTATGAAATGCTTAGTTAATGAAATATATACACGTTTTAAATGTTAATAAATATAACGTAGTAACGTAAATAACACTCTTAAACACCAAATTCTTTCATTTGAATGCTAATGGCACGCATACAAAATAAAGAGCAAGATAGAGAAAAGAAAATATAATATTGCCAACCCTAAGTTAGCATTAAAAGCGTGAAATTTAAATTACATTCAAAACTTAGTTTTTCTCCTTATATAATTTTTTAAACAACGTTCTAAAATCGTGTAGGTATGATAAAGGCTCCACGTTGGGCGCCAGTATCACAGTAATTTGTTCCTAGGTTTCAGTAATAAGTTCGTTATATTAAATCGTAAGAATGAAGTCCATGCGAGTCTTTAAAAAGTAATGGTCGTGATTCTTACAACCTTTTATTTTACATGTAGTGAATGTACGTAATTAAAAAGAGTAGTCTTTGATAAATTTAAGTATATTAGTTAAGATAACAATGAATGGTTAGCAAAATTTTATTATTATAAATCTAATAAGGCGCACAGCACAACATAATGGCGAGAGGGAAAACAGCGATAGAATAACGAAATATGAAATCATAAATGTACATTTTAGAACATATACATAAAAAAAAGTTTGCATTGTAAAGATATAGATTTCACAAATATATACATAATTAAGATAAATGATTTATCTTTTAAAGTGCATAAGTACGCTTCAACTTATTAACAACGTTTATTGCTGAGGCGCTTGCGCAACAAGAAATCGAGGAAATCAAATGTACGTAACTGATCATTGGAACTGATTGCTATGCTTTAATCTATTGCTATAATCTTTCCTTTACTATCTCAGATTTGCTACAGATATTTCTTTATTGTGTTTGCTAATATTTTTCATATAATTGCAAAGATAAAAATAACGTATTTAGTCAATTTTCATATTTCATATTGTAATACCATATAAATAAGTTAACAATCGTAGGAAAATAGTACTTTTTTGTTAGCTTAAAAGTTAGTTTTACAAGTGATTCATTATATGAAACTGTTTCAAAGGTAAAACATTTATAATTTTTAATGGGCTGTCTTTTAGGAAGTGTAAGAAAATTCATTTCGTTAAATAGTGAACTCCGTCAGAGTTGGAAATTTTATCTAAGCCGTGTAATTTATATGCAACTATTAATTTTCTATAAATTTTGACATGTGTGATAAATAAATATATTAGACAACATCACATATAGTACTAGGATCTCAAATTAAATGGTTTTACTTTTTGTGTTATGGTGATTTGAAACACATTTTGTACCATGACCAGAGGTCGGAATTAGGTAGAGTTATTTATGTACTTGCATCGAAATGTTGATATTAATGTGGACCTTCCCGGGATTTCTTTATTTCTTCTTTCTTTCATTGATGTAAGCTTGGTAACGTCGTGCGTGCAGTAGTTTAAATTGTGTAAAAGTAAATAACTTTTTATTTAAAAAATCACGGGATTTTTTCTGCTCTTCAAAATTAATCTCGGGATTTGAAGCATATCCACTTTATTCTTTCGCTGTATGAAATCAGTGTAAGTACATGAATAACTCTACCTAATTCCGACCACTGACCATGACACACAATTTGAAAAACAATAAAGAAAACTTAATTTTCTACACTATTTTCCGATCGGGCAATCGAACCCGGGATCTCAGAGATGGTGACTATTTGAAGTAGGTGATACTTGGTCATGGAGTTCATTCGATATTGGTAGACTTATAATAATTGAGAATCAAACAACAACATTTTCTTTATTTAATTTGTTAGTATTATTAATACTACTTAGAACTTCATGCAATTGTTCATGTATAAATTTGTACCTTGAATCCTCATTGGGGTAGAAGTCGTAATATGCGATCCTGAAGTCCAGGTACCTGATGCCGTGGACTAATTGTGCCCACACAGATCGGTCCTGACATAGCACGAAACTGTCGCGGGCTAAATTACTGACTTCGGTGTTGAATCGCCACGCGCCTGCGTTGTGGGTACCAGCCAATGCCAGTTCGCCAATTCGAAGGTGATTTATTGTTGCACTGAGTGAAAAAAGAGACTGTCAAAAAAACTTGTAGGTAGAAAACGTCTCCATATTAGGAAAGCCTGAGGTTTCGTTTGAGATTTGAAAGGTAAATGCTTTGGTTAATAGGATAATTTAGGTAGTAATGACTATAGTGCTGAGTAAAGTGCTCTTAAAATTAAATTACCCGTCTACTAATTTCCCCACTGCATGCTTTACCTTTGGATAGAATCAACAGTCACACAGTGGTGTATGTCCATTATGCCTAATTTGATTAACAAAATGCGTTACATAAGTTATTGCGATATATCAGATGTATTGGAAGCTCGTCCTTGAATAAAGAATGGGTAATCTACTTTCTTCAATTGTATGTTAGAGGCAATCTGTATAATAAAGTATTGTAATACCGAGGGATTCTTTAAAATATTCTTAAATATTTTGGCAAAGCATGAAGTATAATTTATTTCATACTTTTCCTTGGTATTATATACTTCGTATAATAGCGATTGCTAAACCATTAATCTGCGTTTGGTGGGATAGCGAAAATTTCTTTTGTTACTATATTTTATGGTTCGTTTTTATAGAAAAGATGTCGTCATTTAAATATGGATGGGAATTAATAGCTTTCGCTCTACAGTGGACGAACGACAACTATGTTATATGTTATGATTAGCAAAAATTTATAATTGCTTTTTTTATTTATTTGCGTAATATGGTGTATATAACTTCTGTTTATAAGTTTATTTCGGTTGTTCTTCTTGTAAGTTAAAAGAAGACTTGAACGGACAGGAATATAATTTAGAAGATTCAAAAATGCTTCTGATTTGTTTAGCTTATTTGAATGTGGAATATTTCCATTCATCTATTTATTCATAAGCAGTTCATTATTTATCTATACTGATATTATAAAGGGGAAATATTTTTTTACTGTTTGGTTGCATTTAATATGCTTGTAAGCTATTGCACTAATTTGAACTGATAACAACTATATGTTACGTGGGCATAGTGTTGTCATATGTAAGTAATGTTAATAAATGTCGGTCAAGCACGCCGAAACTACTGAACGGATTTTGATGAAATTTGGTATACAAATAGGGTATGAGCTGACGTGGATAATAGGACAATAGAACGTTTTAGCCCACGTAACATGTTCCCTAGGGCCCACGCGGGCGAAGCCGCTGGCGAAAGTTAGTCTGTTTATAAATTAAGGTATGAAAGGATGGTCTTTGATGAGTGGAATAAAAATAAAGCTTTAGGTCTGATTGGCGGAAAAGTAGGGAAGATACAAGAATCAAGAAGCCAAGCGACACACATAATCACGCCTGTTGTCAACGTTAACTATCAGGTATCACGGTTAATTTTATACGTGATTTTACATTTAACTGCTACACTTGGTGTTTTCTCGCGTCTTTGCTCACGTAAATTATAACTTATGTCACCTGTGTATAAAATAGTTTTCCATTGGTGAAAGAATTTTGAAAGATCAGTATTTCCGAAGATAATCCCTACGAACACGCAAACAAATTTAGGAACTTACCTCTTTATATTATTAGTATATATTCATACGATAGGTATCCATTGTCGCTTAGCTCTTCCAACTTGTACCTTGAGCTATACCAGTAAATATACTTACGCATTATCCTGCATCCACGTGGGTTGTATTTTTAAACAATTGAATGCTTCGATGTTATTGGTCCCGGCGCCGATCCAAGGCCATAAGCAGCTAGGGCCCCTCGGCCCTGCGCCTATCAGCCATGTACCAGGCAAAGTGCTCGGCCCAAGAGGTACGTTAGTGGTTATGAAGCCAGCAACGGAGGTGACTTCGCGTACTTCTATAGCCGTCGTCCATGTCGTTGGCCTGTCTCTAAACAGACCAATCTGTGGAGATAAAAATATGATGTTAATATCAACGACCTCCATAGAAAGTGGCTCGCATGCTCGCACGCTGTCAAAATAACACCATTTATGAGGTTCTGGGTTGGTTATCCAGTCAAATTTTCGAAGTTTTGTGGCAACTTTGTCGTTTCAGATACTACATGTTATCAGTGATAATGTGTTTAGTAACTCATCTTGTAATTTCAATAACTAGTGTGATGTTTAATATTATTTATTAACATCACATATACACCACTATTTTTATTGACCGTGTAATTAACATCTATAAGACTTTTGGGAGCCTTTATAAAAGAAATGAATAATATTATGACTTTATGTTCGAATAATACCTTTATTTTAGTTTCTTTCTTATTTAATTCCTCGATATTCATTCTCTTAAAGAATCTCTACTTTTCGTGTAGTGTTGTTACTCTCAATATTCTTTGATATAACCGTTCTGACATAATTAAATTGGCATATTTTTTTGGTAAATCAGTGAGGTTACTTTAAAACTGTTACTAAGTCAAAAAGCTAGATGAGAGAATAAATTGAGCGTGCCTTGGTAGCGGCCAGGGACAGCCACATATTCGCAGCGTATTCAAACGGATAAGGACCATCTACAGTATCTCATGGTCCCATAAACTCTAATGATGCATGCAAGAGCCCAAATCACGTATATAATACGTGTCAAATATAATATGCGGTATATATGAATTATTTAAGTATAAATAACTCACTAAGGAATAAGTAGCATATAATTTTATTGCCAACAGCTGCAACGGGGTATGCGTAATGCATTTCCCTTAAAGTGGTTAGATCACCTTAGTGTAATACGGTCCTATTTGTATGAAGTGTAGTTCTAATGAATCATTATTTAAATTTTCCTTAGTTATCAAGATCACGGAACTGTGGTGTACGCATTGCCTGCTTCTGCATTTCAGCGTATAATTAGTAACAATCAATTGACTCTGCAACATTCACTTCCATTGCCAACACGTAATTACACAATACATCACACAGCATTTGTTTAATTTCATTGAAGTTGTTGTAATTAATGATGCTCGCATATCGATTACCTAGAGACAAATGAAGCAGATGAAATCATCGTTCTTTAACCTTGCAAATGAACAGATGATATCGGAATCCTTAAATTCATATTAATGTAAAGAATGATATAATTCACCTTTTTCGTTCGCGAAAATATGCGCTTACTCTAATGTAAAATGTATGCATTAATTGAAACAGCAGACATTTAAGCTTGTCTTGGTAGTCTTTTTAATAGATGCTAAGGTCGCTTAATAATAAAAATACGTTGAACTTATAGTTTACTGATGCCATATATTTTTGAAGTGGAAATTTTGCACGGTTTTGATCCGGGAAAATTTTTAAGTATACATAAGTATACTTAAAAATCGTGTTAAGACAATATTTTCGCCACCCAGTCTGGGTATAATTTGCCATTGGAAACTGTTTTTAACCGACCACAAAATCGAAAAGATGTATATGTTCGACAACATGTATGTTTCTTTGTATGTTTACTGATTTTTCATAAATTTAGGACCGATTTTCAAAATTATTTTCTGATATCGATATTATTTGAATAATAAATTACTTATTAAATTTTCTTATTTATAAGTAAAATACACAGCCGTTTATTTCTTTACAATACAAAAATAAATAAAAATATTACACTTAAACAAGACCTATCAATGAGATGAGCGTGTCATCATCACAAATCATCATATCATTGGATAAAAATTGACTCGTATACCTACTAGCACTTATCAATTTCCACTACAGGTATGCATATTAACTAATCAGGAAGCCGCAATTAATAGTGGCTAGTCCACACAGCAGTATATGACATTATACATTCTATAACAGAGTGTAACAATTTATAGGTACTCATATATCATAAATGGCCTCACAGTAGATCAAGGCTTCAATTCTGCAAATTTTTACGTAATAAACTCATTTCAATAGAATCTCGGTAGTAGCTCGGTGGCGTAGTGGATAAGCGCCGCGGCCCACGATCGTTGTCGTTAAGCAACTTTCGCAAGGGTCGGTCAAGGGATGGGTGACCAAAAAATTATTATCTCGAGCTACTCCGTGCTTCGGAAGGCACGTTAAGCCGTTGGTCCCGGCTGTATTTGCAGTCGTTAATACCCTCCAATCTGCATTGGGCCAGCGTGGAGGGTCATGGCCCATCCTCCTTAACCATCCATAAGGAAGGCCTGAGCCCCTACAGTGGGGACGTAAAAAGGCTAATGATGAATAGAATCTCAACTACTATACTTGGCCATTTTACTCTGAAGTCCAATATTATTAGTGTCTTCGTCACAAAGTGACACGATGGCGATGGCGACAGATATATTTAATATTGTGTGATCTAGTAACAAGAACTGTGTCATTATTACGCTAACATTAGCAAAACTTTAAGATTTAGTTTTATTTTGTTATAATCGTTTTCTAACATTTATAATTTACAAATTTTGTTGAAAAAGGCTAGAACACAAATATTATGCAACATTCTACAACAAACAAATACCAGTATCTAACATTATCTAGTAGTTCTCTTACAATATAACACCTGCTATGTCGGAGTACTTTGAGAAAAATGGAATGCAATAAGTGTGATAAAATTCTATAAGGTCATATTTTACAACAGGAGGAGCTCGCTGGTGCAGTGGTTAGCGCGCTCGATCTGCGACGCGGTTCTTAACACGTTAATTGCGTAAGAAAAAATAGTGACTTTAAGCTGGCGCGATGATTGTTCAAATCTGCACCCAATTGACTTTTTTATTGTGAGTAGCAGGTCCTATCGACCCGACACCTCTGGGTGGTATTAAAGCGCTATTATCTATCTCAAGGCGTATTGTACATTATAAATCTTGAAACTTTTAAAATTCTCATGAATCGCATATATATACATTGGCCCCGCCTTTGGGTCCTCCAAACAGAAAATGAGAAATTAGCAATTGCAAATGTCAAGTCGATAAGGCCCGATATCGCACTAAAGTGGAACTTTTGTAGTGATGGGACATTGAAAGAAAAGAAAGTATTGAGTTATCAATTTTATTGATTTTAGTAAATATATACCAAACCTCATTTACATGTTATTTAAGTTTATTTGTTTTTATCCATTATCTATTTGGTGTTAATAGTTTGTTTTAGCCTGTTTTATCTGTTAAAAATATAAGGTTATTTTTTGTTTATAAAGATAATGTTTTAAGACAGAGTCGCACGTTTCGCAACGCAAAATTACGGCACAGTGAATGACTAGCCGTGAATAACAAAAACGCGATCCTCAATAGGAGTGTCACGTTCGGTTTCCATTAGATAATACTAAAGTGAGTTCTTGAAAAGCGGATGTTTGGTATGTAATGTAGATCACTGTGTCAGGCATATCTATAGCAGCAGTGTTATTCTGTAATAAAATCAGCGTTGCACTCGACGTCCAGCACAGCACAGAGTTTCAATTAAGTAAAACCTACTTCAAAAATTAAATAGGGTTTTCTTTTCACTGATCTGGTCGTCGAGTTTGAGTTTAGTTTTAATTACAGAATAGCGTATATTAGACACGCATTTTTTTATGTTTTTTCGTAATCAAAATGTCACGTGACGTCACGTTATGGTATATTTTCTACAAAACTGTGTGACGTAGCGAGCCCCCACTTCTCAACTTTAACGACTATTATCTAACGTATTTCTTGTTAAATTGAAGTATAAAATACATATCTAATATTTTTTTATTTGACTGACGGACTAAATAGATTCTCTTTGTTTTTTACTCAGTCATCATTATTCTCCTAATATTAGCGTATTTATGGAAAGTCAATAGCGCTTTAATGACGACCCTTTATCACACAGTACTTGTTACTAGATCACAAAATAATAAATACATCTGTTACCATAGATTTATAAGGAAAATTATAGTAATATTGGAATTCATGTCGATAGTACAATGACAAAATACAAGTTGAATCGAGGCCCAGTGCGCGCGTAGCCTAAGTGAAACTCATGTTAAAACTAATACTTGAGAGTAAAGTTGCGTTGTAATTTTTATCAAGCACCATTGCGAAATTAGCTAAAATACCAAATAACTGAAATCTAATCATAATCTTATCTTCGATCTAACTTGAAAACAAATTTTATTGAGAATTTGTTATCTATTATATAGTTGTAGTTTAGTTTGAAACATGCTAGTTATGTTACCGTAAAATTGTAAACATTTACAGTTAATAATTTGTCTTGTTAGATTATAAAGTGTCGTAGGGTTAGGTTATTATAATAATTGTAGTTAAACTTAAACTGACGATGCTTTCAATTTAACTTTGAAAAAGAAACTATTAATATCTCCATTGCTGGGACTCAGACCATACTTATGGCTGGATATGAATCAAAATGGAACAGGGAGAATGAGACCCGTCACGCAGGCTCAGTGTGGATTGGTAGGTATTAACGACTGCAAACGGAGCTGAGACTAGCTTACCGTGTCTTCCGAAGTACGGAGCTCAAGATAATACATTTTTGGTCATCCATCCTATTGGCTATTGCGAAAGTTGCTTAACAACAGTATCGCAGACTGAGCGGGCGAACCACCGCGCCATCGAGCTTAAAAACTAATTGATATATTTCTACATTATAAAGAGGAAAGGTTAGATTTTATTTGCATTGAATATGTTCCGGAACTAGTAGACGATTTAATAAAACTCTTTTTTTACGCGTAGCTACATCATATGCAGATGACAGGCTATAATTTTAGGAAATAGGTACTGGCGATGTCGCCGGAAAACTATATTTAATAACCGGAAAACTTTATTTGTCTTTTTCTTATTAATTATTTCTTTGACTAGCAGTTTATAGAGAACAGCCATGTGTTTTCTTTATGACAGTGAATTATTTTTCAAGTACATTTTCTAAGTTAGAAATTATTTGTTATGACGGGAGCAATCATCTGTAAAGCAATAAACTTATCAAGAAGAGGATTCTCTAACTGAATCATTTCATTACCTACAGAGTACAATGACATATTTATTGTACAGTGGAGCGAATTTAGAGTCACTTGTGCGTCGCCTGAGCAACAAGTATCTGCACGAGGGTACTTCTTATATACGCCATTCGTGACTTATTACTTTATCACATCGAAACGAAATTCAGTTTGTTTATTTCGTAAATTTTCGCTGGATATTTTGTTCAAGTTACAAGATTTTTCTTACAGGTGTATTCAATTCTGGATGGAGTTTGTTGACACAGTGGTTAGCGCGCTCGGTCTGCAATGCGGAGGTTAAGCTACTTTTGCATGGCCAGTCATAAGATGGGGGACCAAAAAAAAAATGGTTACCTAGAGATTTCTATGCTTTGGAAGATATGTTAAGCGGTCGATCCCTGTATCCGCAATTATTAACACCCGGTTACCATACCTAAGACCTTAAGTCTGATAAATATTATGCTGAAAACCGCATCGAAATCGGTTAAGCCAAGCGCGAGATAATAGTGCACAAACATACGTACGTCAAATTGAGAACCTCCTTTTTGGAAATCAGCTAATAAATACCCGAAAATGTATTCACATAATGAACATAGGAGATGTCTGTTTTGTTTAATAATAGAGTTGGGTTTCAATAATATCATATTATCTTTGTTATGACACAGCGCATAACACAAGAAATCATTAACTTTCAATGGATCCAATTGGGTTTTAACACACGGCTGCACAGATAATCATAAAATTTTAAGCACTTATACTTTTTATTCACGGTCAGCCAAGTAAATATACGAACTACGTAACAGAGTTCGATAATATTTTATTCCACCAAAACATTTTCATGTAAAATGTTGCCAAGCCGACAGCATGTCTATTGTCAAAAGGTTATCAGATCTTATATAGCTAAGATTGTAACTCTTCACGCCCTAACTCTAAAAACTCTTACTTCACAGACTCTATACCTTATTCAAGAAATGTGTCTTGGCCGTTTCGTTTCTTAAAGAATGAAAAATAATTAAGGCAAGAAAATTTTTCATCGTATGTCCATTTGAAAGTAGCGAATATTTTATAAAATTTACTTTATATATTGAAATTCAAACTTAAGTTATTAGTGTTCAAAAAACGACGAAGTATTTCGAGAAAAGTAGGTTTTCGTAGTGCTCTTGTTTTTTTGGCTTTGGCCACGACTTTGGCGGGCCATTACCATGGCTCTTGAAACATATTAGTGAAAACTGACTGGTTATTATTGAAATATTCTCACTGGTTATTATTGAAATATTGTTATCATTAAGCATTTGATATTCATATTATTTATAGAGGGTCTTTACTTTTGCCCTTGCCCTAAGTAAATGCAAGTTCATGAACACAAATATTAACGTAACTAATTAAAAAAGTCCAAGACTGCTAGTTTTATTATTTACAGTTTTGTGAAACAACAATCATCCTTTAATCATCTTTATTTGTATTAGTACTTCTATTGAGGAGCTTGAGAAAATAAAGTTTTGATCATTCATCCTATGCCCTGCAACACATCAAAATATCGAGAAGACCAAATCAGATATTTTTTATTCAAAGTTCTTTGTTATGACACAGCACATAACACAAGAAATCATTAACTTTCAATGGATCCAATTGGGTTTTAACACACGGCTGCACAGATAATCATAAAATTTTAAGCACTTATACTTTTTATCCACGGTCAGCCAAGTAAATATACGAACTACGTAACAGAGTTCGATAATATTTTATTCCACCAAAACATTTTCATGTAAAATGTTGCCAAGCCGACAGCATGTCTATTGTCAAAAGGTTATCAGATCTTATATAGCTAAGATTGTAACTCTTCACGCCCTAACTCTAAAAACTCTTACTTCACAGACTCTATACCTTATTCAAGAAATGTGTCTTGGCCGTTTCGTTTCTTAAAGAATGAAAAATAATTAAGGCAAGAAAATTTTTCATCGTATGTCCATTTGAAAGTAGCGAATATTTTATAAAATTTACTTTATATATTGAAATTCAAACTTAAGTTATTAGTGTTCAAAAAACGACGAAGTATTTCGAGAAAAGTAGGTTTTCGTAGTGCTCTTGTTTTTTTGGCTTTGGCCACGACTTTGGCGGGCCATTACCATGGCTCTTGAAACATATTAGTGAAAACTGACTGGTTATTATTGAAATATTCTCACTGGTTATTATTGAAATATTGTTATCATTAAGCATTTGATATTCATATTATTTATAGAGGGTCTTTACTTTTGCCCTTGCCCTAAGTAAATGCAAGTTCATGAACACAAATATTAACGTAACTAATTAAAAAAGTCCAAGACTGCTAGTTTTATTATTTACAGTTTTGTGAAACAACAATCATCCTTTAATCATCTTTATTTCTATTACTATTTCTATTGAGGAGCTTGAGAAAATAAAGTTTTGATCATTCATCCTATGCCCTGCATGATCATCAAAGTATTGAGAAGACCAAATCAGATATTTTTTATTCAAAGTATTGTTTAAATTTTTTAAATACCCAAAATTTTATTGCATTAAGGTTCTAATTAAAGTGGCTACGCTGAAATACAAAATAGTTTTATTTTGAGTAGTATTCTAAAGGTTCGTCGTCTAAACTTCTTGTCTCTATTTTTTAAGATATATATTTTTTTATTTTTCTTTTTTCGTAATTTATTTTATTTTCAATCGTTCGTAAAAAAAATCTTCAGGCATAAACACGATTATCTTTGAATGTAATATTATTAAAGTAGTAAACTGATATAAATCTACGTGTACGTGTAAAGTCTTTATTTTATGTTGTAAGGGAAACGGAGAAATGAGGTTTTTCTTTACTTATCAAGCCTAGTCAGCCTTTTCTTTTGACTACCAGTCCGGACCCGTTACAGTATTAAACAACAGAGCTGATTGATGGGTGTTACCGATTGCAGATGCAGCTGGGATTAATGTCTTAACGTGTCTCCCGAAGCTTTTCAGAAATAATATTATCGTGAAAATATTTTTTTTGGTTACCCATCCCATTAGCAGCTTTCGCAAAAGTTGCTTAACTTCTGTATCGCGGACCGGACGCGCTAGCCACTGCACAATCGAAATCTATAAATAAATAAAGTTATATGAAGCTAAAAACACTCACTTGTTTAGGAATACTCGAACATCCGTTGAAGTCCCAATTAAGTTCTAACGCGTCAAGTAGTTGGTCACCTCCAGTCACAGAGATGGCTGGCGAATGTACGGTGAGCCACACCCGACCGCAGTTGGAACCTTCTACTGGCTGCCTCGCTTCATTTAACTCCAAAGAATGATTCTCCGCTGTCGACAGTACTCGATGTTAATATTCAAAACATATTATTTATTTTGTGACAACCCTTGTTAAAACAAATGCGCAGTCCGTTCGCAAATCTACGCCTTAAGGAACTTAGTGACCAAGGGGTATCTTTTCTTTCGCTCTAAATTTTATAATGAGAAGTCTATTTGAGAAATTACAGCAATAAAAGTGAAGTTATTAAGTATTGCAATAATTACCTACCTATTAATAATAATTAATATATTATACGACGATATATTAGTCATTATTCTACTTATGTTACGTTAAAGTTTTCCTCATTTTGTTGATAATGTGCTATTAATAAAGCTTAGTGAAGATACTGTGATTTTTTTTCGGTGTACTTGGAAATTAGGAAGAATGTTTCACTTTATTTGAGCTTATCATATAAACAAATAATATTTACAAATTAAAGGTATTTAAATAGGTTATGCAAGTGTTATTAAAGGAAAGTATTAAGTGTTATTAGAATAAGTAGAGTACTGAAATTTAAATTGTTGCTAAAAGGAAAATTTATTAAATTTTTTAATAGGACTATAGCATTTCATTTTGGAAAAAATTTCAGTTTTCTATATTAGAGATAATATTCCATATTTGCTTACCTTCTTCTATCATATTAGTGTATTAGATTTTTTGGCAGTTATTTATTATTTTTGTTTTTGTCGTACATTTTATAAAGCAACTCCCGAACTTGAATGCGTTTACTTTCACTTTATAATACAAGGGATCCGAAACAGATAAACATATATGTAAAATACTATTCTGTCCAAGAGTTGCTTTATTTTAATAATGAGTATGTATATCTGATTATACTAAAAAATGACAAGTTGTATTGTCATTTTTTAGTATAATCAGATATAACCATTTTCCCGATACCTTAAAGTACAATTTACATTTGAAAGTGCAACCATCAACCCAAGCAACGTGCCGATATAATTCGATCACGTTACGTACATACACGATTAAGAGTCCGTATAATACGACTCGATTTTAACGTGGAGTCCGTTGGCAGCACTTGGTACGGTATCATCGAAACTGAAAATACACGGGATAAAGTTGGGATTATAAAAAATAAACTTACTACCTTTGTATGTTTTTAATTCTCGGAAATACTGATTCTCATAAATTATTAAACACCTACAGAAAGATACATCATACATGGGTGGTATTTTCTTGCAAAGTCGCGGGAAAACAGCTAGTATCAAGTAAAATTAAGTAACTTTTAAGTTTATAGATTTAAGATGTCGTCATAAAATTATAATATTAATAATTGATCAAATATTATAAAAACGGTTTAGTTAAAAATTGAGTATACACAAAACTAAATGCGTTACTGAATTTAGGTTAAAAATTTGTATCTGTGCATAGATAAAGATTTTGAAAATCTTTGCTGATTTTTGACGAAAATTTGTCATAGAAACGAACTCGCGCTCCTAAAGTTCCTCACAAACATTAAATTTTAATATAAATCATAGACTTCTAATATATTTCCTGTAATTTGAAAGTAAAGAATTATTTTCTGCATTTTTTCAAAACGTTTATTCTAAAAGTTTCCGAAAAAATATTTATTTACATGGCACGACTATCAACCAACGTGTACTATTTCAACTGCAGTTTGTTTGCATTGTAGACATCTGAAACTATTGGGTTAATTTTTAAAAAATCTATCACTTACGAGATGCTGTTTTATATGTTATAATTTACACGGGCGATGTTGCGACTAAACGTAAGGTCTGATGTTTTTAATATCTTATTAAATAATTTCCCATGTTTGATGTGTGAAATTATTTAGTTTATAGTTGACGTTTGTAAATAATTGTGCAACATAAGACATGCAATCTGATTGCACAACCGCTGCGTAAAAAGAAACACTGCGCCTTCCGTGTGATGTTATTGTGCGATTATTGTGTGATATATTTTCTCCCAATTATTATATCATTTTAGAGATTTAGATGTTAAATGACTTCATTGAAATGAAAAGATTGAATCCCTTTTTTTAACACTCGTTTAAAAATATGTTAACGTATGTATATACGATACTTAATATTAATATATTTTCTCTTTTGATTATAAAAAAAGATGAGTATTAAATTCCTCACTAAATGTAAGCAATAATATAAAAAAAAAAAAAATTACGATTCATAGAATTTCTCGATACAAATGTCACTTTTACTGGGATATTGGAAGAATGTCAGCTATTATATAATGAGTATTTATTTTGATTCTGACGCTTAATAGGCATTGTTTAGTACCTATAGTGCTTTGAGTAACGTATGGTTGTCGAAAGGTAATGAATAAAGAGAAGCGATTTTCTTAAAGTTAAACCAGAATTTAGAAGAAACGAGTATTCGACGCAATATAAAGATTAAAGCTTCCTCTACACTAATTCAAATGAATACACAACAATTGTATTTTAGTTTCGTACCTAAAGGGGTAAAACGGGAATCCTATTACTAAGACATCGTGATAGTTTTTTTTTTTTTTTTATAAATATGTTATTCTTAATGAAATATGCTCAAAAAATTTGTCCCTGGCTTTCTTAGATGGGACTCGAACCCACGACCATTTAGAAGTAGCGAAAAAGTAAATTTCGACAAATTCGACAGTCTTGTTAAGTTCTGGGTAGCTCAGTGGTTAGAGCACTCGCCAGGATTGCGAAAGGTCGTGGGTTTGAGTCCCATTTCAGAGTGCCTGGGAGGAAATAGATTTTTTAAACATTTTCAGATAAGCATTGTGAATGCAAAATGTTTCAAATATAATAAATATGTTATTTATGATGAGATTTCTATATTGCTTGGTTTTTTTCTTGACTATTTGAAACTTTAATATGGTAATCCTAGTCTTATGACAAATAAAATCAATTAACTGATAACATTATCACTGAAACAAAAAAACGCATGTGCCCAACAATTTTATTTTAGTTCCGCTTGTCATGTCTGTCATGCTAATAATTGCTTGGTCAAGGTTTTATACACCAGCTTATCAGGTTAATTTAAAATTAAATTTTTTGGCGAACAATTTTGTAATTAATTGACAAGATATAAAACACCAGTCGCATAAACGTCCATTAAGATCCTCAATAGTTTAAAGCGACATTAGCCATACAACTTCGACATTCATTACAGCTTAAAGGCGTCATTACACCGTAATTAACGTTTGTGCAACTGACCGAAAGGCTACTAATTGAATTGGTCCCATCTGAATAATTGAAAAAGTCCCAAGTCCCAATTGAATTGTAATTTAGTACATTCCGAATTCGGAATTACATAAAATTTAATATATAATTTTGTTATCGGCCATAATAATAAAATTAATTATATAACATTTTAAAGTGAAAAGTTAACTTCATCCGGTTTTGAGATTGATGCGAGTATAATGTTCTGCAATAATATATTTTTGCAAACATTGGAGAGGACAAGTATCGATTAAACAATTTCGATATAAAGTGTACAACTCCCGTTTCTTTTACAGTCACAATTGCAGCCAATGGTGTTATTTATAATATTATGATATAAGCATTGATCGCGTTTGATTTTCACATTATGTTAATGCTATTTATATTGTATATTACACACCCGGCAGAACAATGGCGTTATTATATAACTATGCAAAAAATTATACATGTATTGATGCTAAAAGTGTCTAATACGTGTTGAGTGTGCTGTCTATCAGTGGTTCTTATAAAATTATTAGTAGGTTAAAAATAATATTTTTATTAATTTTATGTTATTTATTTATAGATACATACAATTTATAATAATTGTTTGATTTAGCGACGTCAAAGCTCGAGGAGTTTTGTTCATTTTATTGAAAAGACATTTTTGTACCAATTTTCTTTTATTTTATTTTGCATCTACTGAAGTATAATGTAATAATAACGACTTTGTTATTAGTGTTCCAGAATTAGAAGATTAAAGCGATTTATTACAGAATTAACCGATAAAAGTTCTGAAATTCAATCAATTTGATAACGATATAGAATATTAATTGATAAATAAAAATATTTATTACTAATTAATAACAATTGACGTAGTAGATCTCTGATAAAATAATCTTAAAATAATTACATTATATTCATGATTTTAATACAATCAAAATGCATTGTTCGTATACTACGCAATAATACTTTATTATTAATTATTTTTAGTAGGTGATTTCGAAGTTTTTTTTTATCACTATGTGAATTAAAGAGTTAAGAAAAATAATTACCTGAATAATTCAATATTAAAAATTTTCTATTTGAAATAACTTTAGTTTTATATAAATGATGTTGTATAATTTTTTTCCAAGATTTAGATTACGACGATTTGGATGGTATCTAAGACATATTTATTTTTATTTTCTAATTAAACTCATTATGTATAATAGTACATATGAATTATTTAATATATTTATCTTAGTTTTAATGTTAAGACGTCAATATGTCGTGTCAGATATTGGATTAAACTCTCAAGAATATTTAGATAGAAATTATAAATTTTGTTGGTGTATAGTATCAGATACGTTATTCTATAAGAAAATCAGCCTCGATTTCAACGTTGAGCACATCGCCGTCTCAGCTTAAACACAGCATCAAATAAAACCGAAGGAGGCGGAATTTATTTTTATTAGTTTTATAAAACCTCTGTGTGTGTTACAGTGCTGCGCTACACGTCGAGTTTAACGTTGACCTTTTTACAGAATAGCGTTGCTATAAGCTGTTTTAAAAGCTATTTATCTATACGCAAAATTCTAAGTTTGTCTCAATTTTTTTAATCAGATATAAATATAAAGTAATAATATTTTAAGTAAAATTTTGGAAGTAAGCTTTATTTGGAGTTGGTTGATGATGTTTGTTTCTCATTTTTCGAGAATAAAAAAGAGTAATAAGACATTTAGTATAGTTTGCGTGGAGCCTTAAAATAAGAAATTTGATAAATAAATATTAGAGAACATCACATACATTCTTATTTCTTATATTTCTACGCGCACTACTTATTAAATAAAACTACTTTTAAACAGTTTCATCGCCTGTAATTTTTATTTTAATTTTTATGATGCTTCAGTTCCTTTACAGGTCCATGTTCACTTAGACTAAGATGACAACTGATTCTTCAGACTCGAAATTAACTTAAGTCTATGTGTTATGTTATTTGAAATTACGAAGGTATCACAACACCAAGACACGAGACATTATATAAAAATTCATTTTCGTCATTGACCCGACCGGGAATGGGGGTGACATGGCTTAAACAATAACGATTTGATTGTAAACTTTGTTCTGTGATTATTTAATATACGTAGTATTCTATATAAACTTAATATTCTTGAGATGATGCTAAGTTTAATATTTACATTACATATTGATACTTACGTGTAATAGAGGCTCCTAGGACAGAGGCTGCGAGTAAAACGACGGCGTACCACGACACACCCATCCTGTACCGTGGCTCTCTCACCACTGATACACTGAGCTCATATTCGGCCTTCTTCGCACTACAAATCACGGTGCGCGGGCGTTTATTAGCGACTGCAACATGAACTTATCAGTACAATACCACTTTCATTGACGACGAAACTTCTTCAGTTTAGTGTTGGGGAGCGAGTGATTCCGTTGACTTCGAATAACTGCGGTATATTGTTACATAGTTGGTAGTAAGTAAATTTAATGGTAGTGCGGGCTTCCGTTAGCTCCCACATTTCCGACGTAGAGTCGCGTGTCGTAGAACTGCCGACGTCGGAGACCACGTGCATACTCCGGATGGAGTCATCAACATTCAAAAGTCCTTTGGTACTGATTTGTTTTTTTTTGTTAGGAGGCGTTCGGAGTCGAGAGACGCGTTTGCTATGTTGTCATTTATAGTGAATGAGTTTGGCGACCAAAAAGTATATCGCTTTTTTTTTTGGAATAAGAACATGTTTCAAATGTGTCTGCGGTGTTTATTTAAATTTTGATTCGCGTCTGGCTTTTTATCAGTACGGGAGACCTTGATATGGTCTTGAAATGCTTTTAAAATTAAAAATAAAATCTGATAATGTAAGGTTATAAAATGTTAAAGATAACCATTCCAATTAATGCTTTGTTGTATAGTTCATTCATGTTTCTTGCCATTAAACATAGATATTTAGAATTTGCGTTATTAAGAATAACCAAATTTAAATTGGTGTTTAATCTCAAACGATATATAAATCTGTAAGAAATGATTAGCATGAATGTTTATCATTATTTATCTACCGGAATTATAATTAATTTTAATATAGTTACGATACGTCATATCAATAAATAGAGCACAACCGATAAACAGTAGGTAGAGATCGAGCACAGTAGATAGAGATACTTTAGCTAGAGATAATAATCTCTAGCAAAAGTACCTCTTTTAAGTAAGAGCACTTCAATAAAATTATTAACTATATTTATATTTACTAATAATAAAAAGATGTTATCAACAGACCTTAATTAATTTAAAAAAATTGTAAAAATCCTTTTAAATGTTATTAAGTTAGGATCATATACTACCCACCCACCAGTTCGCATAGCTTTTTGTTTACTTTTTTATGTTAACATTTATAATTAAAACCGTTTGCTTCACTAGTGCTTCTCGGCAGAATAGCGCAATCATGATTGAAACCCAATCTACAACAATGTATACATAACAGTCCAATTAACTTCCGATATAAACTTAATAACGGGTTGTTTTCATCTGAACACTTTTAAATATATAGAAAGTTATGTAAAACACATTCACCATCACCCAGCCTATTAATGTTCCTGTTACTGTGGCTCATGCCTCCCCTTTTTAGTGGTATAGATCAAATCAAATAGGAAGAATGGGCCAACACTAGGGTTACCACCCGTACTTTATAATAAAGTATTGTACGTTATTTCAGACAATTGTATTCTATACAAGGAGGATTTCTCTCTACCTATTATAGTAAGCGAGATGGCTTTAACGCTTGTTTGTCGTTCTCGACACGCGCTACACGACTCAGTACCTGTCGACGGTGCATATGGCACAGTTGCGTAAATATATCGTCAGTGTACAAAAAATTGCGAAAAGTAAGTTTTTCTTCAAAATATTATTTGAATATATATCATATCTTAGTATATGTGCATTGATGTGTTATTTTTTCTTAAGTTATGTAGTTATTTAAGTCTCAATACGTGGCACTGATTTTTTGTATGCGCATCGTGTTTAGAAAATATGAATTATTATTCGGACCAAGACGTCATTTTGAACACCTAGGCGAGTTGTGACAGCCTGTCACAACTCTCCTATCTTACTCCATATTTCTGCTGGGCTATTTTTACAATGTTTTTTATTAACTTTAGATGTTTGTTGTTGTGTTAGTAGCTACTTAAGGTGTATAATGGCATACCGCATACTTATTTTATTTGAGAATGCCAAATAACTATACAGAGACTGAAAATCTAAGAATGTTAAGAAGCGTGTCTTAAGCGAAGAAAAAATAAAGAAACCTAAAAAACCAAAGAAGACTAATAAGAAGAATAGAACAAGTGATGAAGAAGATGCAGAAAATAATTGCTTTTATTTGGTTTGCCTTAAAGCCTATGCAGACAGCAGATCGAATGATCAGTGGGTCCAAAGCCTTGAATGCAAAGGCTAGGCACACGTAGATTGTACTGGGGACGAGCTGCATTACGTTTGGCATAATTGTGAATCTGATTAGATTAAGATTTTATACTAATTATAACAATAATATGATTGACCTCAAAGCGATACCATATTAAGTTAATGAAAATATTATAATTACTTGTTATGAGAATATTAATACTATGTTGTTTTAGTTGGTAGGTATTAAAAGATGATTAATCAAGTCAAATCAAATCAATCTTTATTGTTGATCGCAGGTTATATAAAGATATTGGATGCAAGGACTGAATAGTTACACCGTGATCTGCCTAAAAGGCATACAATATTAGTAGGTTAGTAATTGTCAACTAATCTAATCAATAACATGTTATGTCAAAAATTCAATTAATTCATTAAGTATTTATACATTTACAAAGTACTGTCAGCTAGATAGTCGTTTACACTATAATATGCTTTAGCTACTAATAATTTACAAAGTTTTCTTTTAAAAACATTACAATTATCCAGATAACGTATTGTTTTCGGAATTTTATCAAAAATTTTTGGAGCCATACAAAAGATACTTTTGTTCAACACAGCTGTCTTAGAGGGTATCGTACACAATTTGTCTCGATGACGCAATCTCGTCTTATTTTCAAATAGTTGTTGATTCTGTTTGACAAAAATACCAACTTCGAATATATAGATTGATGGCAGGGTCATAATATTTAGTTTAATAAAATATGGCCTACAGGTATCCGTACTCTGTAAATGACATATGCTCCTAACACATTTTTTCTGGGCTCTAAAGGCAGTTACAGAATCAGTCGAATATCCCCAAAATATAATGCCGTATCGAACAGTTGAAACTACGTACGCGTGATAAGCTGTAAGGACCGTGCACTGATTCGCGATCCTACTAAGTTTGTACAGTGCACAAGAATACTGGGACAACTTTTTGCAAACATGTTCAGTGTGTGTTTTCCAAGTCAAATTTATTATTATAGTACTGATTAAAGTACTGATTTGATAAAAAAACGTGCTTGATTTATTTATGTCGTATATAATGGTATTTTTATATCTTATAGCTTAAATACAATGATGTCACAACTTACCTCGGTACCTGTCACAACTTACCTCGGTAGTAGGAGAGTTGTGACAAGGGGAGTGGACTTGAATTTTGTTATTTTTTTCAGAAACTATTATACTTTAATTAATTTTAGTGATGGTTTTGAAAACAGAAGGAATGGCGCTAAACTAATTCACATGAGTCATAACTGTGGAATGTTTCTTAAGCGAAATAGAGCCCCTTATGTAAAAATTGTCACAACTCTCCTAGGTCTCCCCTACTCTATAAGAAAAATAAAGTACACGAAAATACTTTATGTCGTATGATTTGATTTGTTTGTGATTTTGAAGCTTAGTCGTAAGTATTTTTTCGTTAAACAAAATTTATCGATTCATGCTGAATAGATAAATAAAAAGAAAATGTATTTTTAAGTTTAGTAATAAAGAAAAATAAATAATACTTTATTTTGATTCAATTTACTTTGTTTTTGTACCTATAATAACTAATGTACTTTAATAGGGGAAAAAAAGGTGGCAACCCTAGCCAACACCGATCACGCGGGCCCAGTACGAGTTAGTGGATGATAACGATCACATATACAGAGAGAACGGACGAAGGAGCTCGAGATAACAAATTTTGGTCACCATCCTATAACCGGCCACTGTTAATCACTGCGCTATTAAATTTCCGATTGAGTTCTCGTATATTCTAAACATAAAATAGAAGAGGCCGGTAGAAAGAAGAAGAATGTTGGATTATAAAGTTTGTAAACATTTGGAATTTTATAATAAACAATTTTAAAAGGATTATTTTTAAAAGTGTATATAAATATATTCATGACGTCCGATTGTTTTATTAATTTTAAACCGAGATAATAACAAAAAGGTTGTTTTAAATTTTTTGGTATTTTTTTTATTTGCCTCCGGGTCCAACTTTAGTGAATAGAATTTTAAGTAATTTCATTATTTCATAGTATACTACACTACACTTCTGATATGGTCCCATAGAAATTTTATTGAAATTGGTTCAACAGTTCTGTTATTATATCAAAATAATATCATCGAAGTAAAAGTAAATAATTTGTAAGTAGGTTTTAGTTTTTGAAAAAAATAATTAGATCTTATTCAATTAAAGCAAACAGTAAACAAACCGACTACGTCATAAGATGAGTAATACTAAAGATCAACGAATGCAATGAAACAGTAGCAAATCCGTTTCCTTATCATTGTAGTTCAAATAATTATCATCTAGACGAATAAATTTTAAATGTACTGATATTTATTATATAATGTTATGATGTTGATACATGTATTATTACCAAAATTACATCATGTCTTTTGTATAGAGCAAAATAAATGTATAAAATTATCTTTGCATATAATTTCTTTCTTTTTTTAATAATTTATAGCGCTAGCTATCGTTAAGACTTTTGGATCTTTGATTGATAACACATCTAAATATATATAACTCAAAGGTGACTGACATAGTGATCTATCAACGCACAGCCCAAACCACTGGACGAATCGGGCTGAAATTTGAGATGCAGGTAGATGTTATGACGTAGGCATCCGCTAAGAAAGGATTTTGATCAATACTACCCCCAAGGGGATAAAATAGGGATGAAAGTTTGTATGAAACTTTGTCAATTTTAAACCTATCGGGCTGAGACTTTGCATGCATAAAGCTACTATGACGTAGGCCTAAGAAAGGATTTTGATAAATTCATCCCTAAGGGGATAAAATAGGGGATGAATAAATATTCGTTAGAAATGCTGCTCAAAGTAACTTTACCACGCGGGCGAAGTCGCGGGCACAAGCTAGTTATAGATATAATACGACTAACTGTTTTTCCACGACGTAAATTATAGTCAATATATCCTGCGATTGATGTAGCTTTCCGAAAGTGAAAGAATTTTAATAATCGGTTCAGTATTTCCGAAGATCCACCTATAAACAAATCAACAAAGGTTAGAAATTTTCCCTCTTTATAATATTGGTTTAGATTTTTTATAGCATAATGTTAATAGAAATTACAATTTATTTCATTAGTGTACATTTCTTTATAAGTATATTTATCATGACGATTATTGTTTAGATCTTCGAAATATACATTTGATTAAAATTACATATTCCTTTAATAGGCCAGAAGCTAAACAAATAGACCAGATAAGCTAAACAATTGAAATCTGTGGTTAAAGGAAACAGATTATTAGTTACCTCAGAGAATGGAAAGTTTGTTTACTTTCTATGACCATAGTTAGGTACCTATTATGTTGTAAACTTCTCGTAATATAATAACAAGTTTCATTATGTTACCAAGTAATTTTGACAATACAAAGGTTGACAACTTTGTGAGAGACGCCTACATCCATAATGGTTGTTTTGCATATATCTGGCTACTAGCTTTCCACCAGTGGCTTCGCCCGCGTGGTTCCTAGAGAACTGTTTATTTGGAAATCAATTCCTATCATGACAGGGATATAATGACAATTTGAATAGAATTCTATGGTTACTAAGGTAACATTTTGATTCCCTATACAACTTTCACTCTCATTTTCAACCCTTTATTTGCTGTTATTTGGGAAAGCATATGTTTATCGATGTATCTTTCCGTAGGTGAAAAAAATCGGTCCTGTAGTCTCCGGAGCTTATTCGTTGCAAACAAAGAATCAAATTATATCTTAATATTTTTTTTTTAGCTGAACACTATTAAATGGCAAAAAATTGCATTGCAACCAACAAAAAAAGGCACAATATTTTCAATAATACTATTAAAAGCTAGTAGTTTATCGACAGAAAATGAGATACAAAAATCAGTACAATATCAAAATTCTTCACGTTTAATGTAAGGTAATTAATAGCTCTTTACTTATGATATTGCCATTGTGCCGTACTGGCCTTTTTAAAACAAAATATTTTTTTGGCTGATAATTCAAATTTCATATTAATTTTATTTTATAAACATGGAATTCTTTTTTTAATCGTCATTAGTTTAATAGTTAGTGTTTTGTTTTCAACGCATTCGAACATTTTTCGTCGTCATGGATAAGTTAAAAATTCGAGTTATTATGGAGTATGAGTACCGGCGTGACAGTAAAGCGGCACAAGCGGCACGCAACTTCAACGAAGTTTACAGAACGAACACTACAAACGAACGCACCACCAGTTATTGGTTTGCACGCTTCAGTTCTGGAAATATTGACCTCCACAATTAACCCCGTGGTCGTCCGAAAATTTTGGTCGACAATGATGAATTATAGGCGATTGTGGAAACTAATGAAACTCAATCTACGGTTGAAATAGCAGCAGCTTTCGACGTTAGCATCAAAACAATATTGGTCTATTTGCGTCAAACAAGCATACAAGTTAAGGAATTCTGAACCGTATTGTTACTTGTATGAGAAATGGATCGTGTTCGACAATCGTAAGCGGTCAGCAAGTTCGTTGGATACTGGTTCAGCACCCAAACAATGCCCTATATGAAAACTTAACCCTAGATAAGTGATGATCACTATTTGGTGGTTTAACGCGGATGTAATTCATCACAGCTTCTTACCAAACGCGACGAGCATTACTGCAGATGTGTACTGTGAAGAACTGAAGACAATGATGGAGAAGCTTGCACGTCTCCAACCTGATTTGCTTAATCGTTCGGCTCCACTGCTCCTGCACGTCAACACGCGACCTCATACTGCACAGCAGAGGGTCTTCAGCTACAAGAGCTGGAGTTGGAAGTTTTCTGTTAGCCACCGTGCTCACCTTACAGACTTCGACTTTTTCCAACATTTGGATAACTTCTTTTCGGGAAAATAATTAAATACCCGAGAGGCAGTACAAAATCATCATCATCATCATCATTATCAGCCCTTTTACGTCCCCACTGCAGGGGCTCAGGCCTTCCTTATGGATGGTTAAGGAGGATGGGCCATGACCCTCCACGCTGCCCAATGCGGATTGGAGGGTATTAACGACTGCAAATGCAGCCGGGACCAACGGCTTAACGTGCCTTCCGAAGCACGGGCCGCAGCGCTAATCCACTACGCCACCGAGCTACTCCAGTACAAAATGCCTTTGAAGAATTTGTTGCCTTCCGTTGAGCTGATTTCTTCAAGAAGAGCATCAATAAGCTACCAATGTGATGGCAAAGATGATTGATTGCATGGGTGATTACTTTGATTAATAGAAATAAAAAATATAGAAAAAATACGTTTCATTTATTTCATGAAAATCGACAATTTTCTTGTAATATTCACATTTGCATGCCATGCAACTTCTAAATAAAGGGTCTTGTATATATGGTGGATGTTATTTATTGTTTACACTGTAGTTCTCGAATTCAAATAAATAAATCAGCTAACAAAAAATTGAAATATTATTATTTTACTGCATCATTTTCTCAAAGTCCATAAAGTTATCCAAGATGGCAGCACGTTTTTCTAGTTTCGTCTCAGAGTTCATAGACGCAGCTCTAGATGGCGCTCTACTGGGGTTTCGTAACACCGGCTTCTGAAGTTGGAAGAAATTCAAGGATGCTTTCAACTCCTTGATGATGACTTCTTTATGTGTGACCTGTAATAACAATCAAGATAGATAACTCATTATTACAGACAATTTAACTGTGAATATTTTACATTAATTAATGCAGTTTAAGTTTAACCAAGAGTTAGAAATATGTATTCAAATTGATATTAAAAGACTATTTAATTAATTAATTATTAAAGTTTACTAAGGTAATCATGAGTTTATTTATCGGCATTTTCAGAATAAAGAAATTCGGATCTGTTCCTAATGAGGAAGGTACCTGTTCTCGTACGACGATATTACGGCATTCGTTCAAAAATTCTGCGGCTGCAATGAAAAGGCAAAAGACCTGACCAACCATAAGTACTAGAAAGGCACCAAATAGATTTTCCATCCCAAGGGATCCTTCTACGCTGCTGTCGTCTGTTTTGGGCTAAAATGTAAATCATAATAAAGTATATTAGCAAACGAATATTTAAAAAGTTTATAAACGAACGAGGTTTTAAATTTTGTATAAATTGGATGTATTACTAAAATTTTATTTAAAAAATCTGTGTTGATTATCATAAACAATTATATTCTTACTGAAATAGACTTTGTCTCTGGCACTCTGAAATGGGACTCGAACCCATGACCTCATATTATTATTTTACTGTATAAGCTAAAGTTAAAGTACTGGATAAGCTAAAGACCATTAGTGATCCTGGCGATTGCTCTAACCACTGAGATAACCATCAAAGCACTGCCGAAATTTTCAAACACATGTTACTTTTTCGCTACTACAGAGCGTATTTTCATTAATGTTCAGGAAATCCATCCTTAACGAAGGACAAAGGCACAATGTAGATCTTTTAAGCAATTTTCACTAAGAATAGTTTTCAGTATAACATTGTGAATGCAAAATGATTAAATACAATAAATTATCATGAACAGTGTTAAAATTTTATGTTTTTTTGGAAACGCAAACGTTTGTATAGGAGTCGGTGTAATTAAATAAATTGCAAGACGAATAAAAAAGAAAACTTGTGTCATTATTTGAATTCCAACAGAAAAATGAGCATCAGTTTCGTATAGGTTTTATATCTTTATTTATCTAGTTGTTTCTCGTAACTTTGCCCACGTAAGTTATAGCCTATAAGCACCCGCGTATGATGTACGTTTTTGTCGATGAAAGAATTTTAATAATCGGATCAGAATTTCCGAAGATTACCTCCTATAAACAAAAGTTAGAAACTTTAGCTCTTTATAATATATATTAGTATAGATAATAAACACTGTTAATAAATAATAAGAAACAAAACACAATCTAGTTAGACGACTTCCCCGTAGTCGTGTATTCCCGGTCGACTCATTATAGGATATTACATTAACTAGTTATATTACTAGTATAATTAGTTATATGGTATTGTTTCAAATGTTCATAGTGCTATAGTTGTTTTATTTATTTGAGATCTGGGAGCTCGGCAATGTATGTGATATTATCTATTATTTATAGTAGTAAGGTCTGATAACCTGAAACCGACAGTTTTACTTTGTATTAACGCCTCCAGATGCAGTCGGAATCAATGACTTAACGTGCCTTCCGAAGCACGGGGAATAATTTTTTGGTCCCCTATCCTATGACCAGTCATTGCGAAAGTTGCTCAACAACTTAACCACAGCGTTCATCTTTACTTACGGGACATTTTATAGCACCATACTTTGTATCCCACCATTTTGTTTTTATTTCGTCAAGTATAGTGTGCTCCTTGAGTTTCAAAATAGCTTTATTTATGTGACTTCTGAAAGGGGAATCTGTAAAATAAAAAAATCATGTCATATTTGGGGCTCGTCCTACGGGATTCGCCTTTGGTAATAACGTTGACTGTTAAATGGGAACTGGAAATTGGTTTTCCGCAAAATACATCGTGCGTCGATGGAACCAATTCCGATTTTGTTTACCAAAAATTATGTCAACATATTTTAATTAAGGGATCTGTATGTAAATGTCAATTGTTTAAAACGAAATTAACTGTCGTTTTGTGCATTAGAGTTTAGTTTGAAATTTTTAATATTTTTGTCATAATTAGCATGGCCATTTTAAGAGGATGTGAACTTAGTACATCACAGCCACAACTGTTAGCGGTTTTATTTTACCATAAGGCGACATTTTAAAGACCGTTCACCGTTTGTAAACTAAAATACGTATATTTGCCTATATGTTAGTAAGAACGCCTTGAAGTTCCTGATAGACAAAAAGAGGCAGTGGCCAAAACCAGGTCTTCTAACTTTTAATAGTTTTCTGTGTAGGATTGAATCATAAATCATGCAAATAGTCATTGAACCTAGAAACATTACTATTAAATATGATAACGAGAATGAGACTATACTTACTAGCAGGCATAGCAATACCATAATCTTTGGAGTCCAATTCACCCCCAACTTTAGTAAGGTCACAGTTTCTTTTCAACTTGTAATCAATGGTACAAGATTCCATGAAAAAGGCGTACTTATTTTTCCCATTAAGAACTCTCTTTTCACCTTCATCATTACTGTCTACCAAAACTACAGGATTAGCCATCATATTATCATAAATTTTCCTGTACATTTTGTCTTTGGAGCTCTGAAAATGAAATAAATTATCCGTTTGTATCTAATAATATACATATAAAAATTTAAACTGGATCTGTCAAAAGTAGAGGTTTTATTTATTTATTCATTATAAATAAATCCTCTTGTTTTGGCTACATTTAATTTAATATTTTAATATTTCTTGCTTGTTGCTAACAAGTTTAGTTCACGACCCCTTTCAACAATTACCTATTTTATATTCTTTAACTGACTTCAAAATCCAAAAGAAGGAGGTTATATGTTCGACTGCGATACATTTTCTTCGTCTATTTAACATTTTTTTGCTGTATATAATTATATAACATTATGTACATTCTAGTGAAGGTTTTTATTTGCTTTGATCTAATAAAATTAGTATTTTTTTTTGGAAGTCAAATATTTATGAACTTGACAAATTAGAATTATTTGCGGCTTCTTATTTAGTGACATATAAAATGTTTTGCTTTCATCTTGATATGTTTCTGTGTAATAAAGTTATCGAGCAGAATTTATTACCTTAAAGAATTCCATGGTTGATCCTGAAGCTATAGCTCCGTAGAGGATTTTGTTTTGCTTTGCCAAATCCTCCACGCTGTGGATAGGTTCGTCTTCTAGTGCCGATGTCATAGATGCTGATAGTTGGGCGATGTATGTTTGACATACTATCATAGCGAAGAACCACCACATACTGCAGACCCAGCGTGAGCCTAATGCCCTTGAAAATAATAAATTTTCTAATTGTTATATATATATAATAGTACTAGCTTTTGCCCGCGACTTCGTCCGCGTGGTTAAGTTACTTTGAACGGCATTTATAACGAATAGTTATTCATTATATCGAGTAAAATACCTGAAATATAGTTACATCACCTATTTTATCCCCTTAGGAGTGGAATTTATCAAAATCCTTTCTTAGGGGATGCTAACGTCATAGAAGCTTTAAGCATGCAAAGTTTCATCCCGATCGGTTTAAAATTAACAAAGTTTCATACAAACTTTCATCCCCTGTTTCATCCTCTTGAGGATAGAATCGATCAAAATCCTTTCTTAGCGGGGATGCCTACGTCATAACATCTACCTGCATGCCAAATTTCAGCCCTATCCGTCCAGTGGTTTGGGCTGTGCGTTGATAGATCACTATCGGTCGGTTGCACAAACGTCTATTAAGGTTTAATGACGCCTTTAAGCTCTAATGAATGTCAAATTTAAATGGACCTTTGTGCAACTGGCTGAATGTCAGTCAGTCACCTTTGAGTTATATATATTTACATTTCTGTACCGGAAATCGAATCCAACCTTGCTTAAATGAAAGTCAGGTATCCTATATCCGGTACAATTTATGGAAATGCCAATTTTTTGTATTTCCGTAAGTAGTTTTTGACAAAATTGGTAGCTGATAATACGAAAGATAAAATATGTATGTATAAAATGTTTTAAATCATATGTGGCTACTCACTTGGGTAAAATATCGCATCCTTGTGTCATAATGGATCCCATGGTAAGCCAGGTACAGTTCTTGAAGTTCCAAATATTTTCTAATTCTTCGGGATCTTTATCACAAGGCTGAGGGTTTTCCCAATCAGCCGGCGATATTCTGTAGATAACATTTATCATGAATAAATAAAATAAAAGATTTTTTTTTTATATCTTTTAATCCATCTCTCTAACAGATATCAGCAATTAATATGAAATGGTAATGATTGGTGAATATTTAATTTACCTTGCGCATACAAACAGAACAATTGATACTACACAGTACGCCGTCGCTGTGTGAATCCACACGTCAAAGGAATACGGGTTAAGGAAAGAGAATAATTCTGGGTCTGGTTCCTTTTTCTGCGTATATAATATGCTGATACCAAGAGACATAAACGGTACTGAAAAGTCGACTACTTTTTTCCGCTCCTCCGTTATCGTTAGATCACATACTGCTAGGTCAGCTTTCTGCAAATGTACATATTGTTTGACAACATCTATTATGACATTTCAATAAATATGGTATTTAAATAAATTATTATATTACTTGGTCCAATAGGTCGCCTATGAGACCATTCCATTTTTTTGTTTTTGGGTCTAATTTTCCCCATAGTTTATCCTCTTCGTGCAAAAACGAATAACTGTAATTGAACTTTTCTTCTCTGAGTATTGCAAAAATATGTTTTACAAGGTCAACAGAGAAACCTTCATATTTTTCTCCATCATCCTCTTCACAGTCTTCACCTTCACATTTTTGTTTATCATAAAAGTAAGGTTTCGCTTTTCTTGATATCACCTTTAATGACAAGAAAGTGTAAATATTAAATATTTTTAAAGACAAGCTTTTATTGAAGAACAGCTTTTGAAAAATATTTGCGTTTATTATCTAATGTACCCAGTCAACTCGTGCTATTGCAAGATTTATTATAAGTAATAAATGTGTTCGTACATTGTTTGTTGGTACATAATTTTGGATTCAGATTGTAACTTATCGTAATTTTTTCAGCGGAAACTTCGTTTGATTGGTATCTAAAACATAACAGTCAATAAAAATAAGTAGTTTGTCATACTGGGCCGTTCACCTTAGTAGATAAAGTGATTCAATTTAGCTAAACTAAACGAAATACATTGCAAGTTAAATAAAAGTTTGTACTCGTCGTATAAACTAAAGAATTAAGAAACTTACAATAAAATGTTTACTTTGTTGGTTGGATATACTGTTTTCATCCGTGGGTCTATTTTCATTTATTTGCGTCCCATTCACCGATTCCCATGTGCCTATAGTTTGGCGTTTGGAGATATAAATTTCGTTAACATACAACGTATAGTTGGTGCGTCTTCCGAATTCGTCAAACACAATGGTACCGGTGGCACCACTGGAGTTAGTCTGCAAATTATCGGATAATATATGGATAAGTTTATTGTACTGTCTTCTTCATCAAATAAAACATACAACGTTATATGAAAAAGGTTTTATACTATGCTTGGTTTTCAATAGTTGATGCACTGTTACATAAGTATTACCTGCAATATTGCATTCTGGAGGGCAGCTCCGTAACGCCAGGGTTCGCTATCAGAGGCGCAGATATTACTTCTAGGTTTTTGAATGGATCCTTCAATGGACTGAAGTGCTTTTAAAAGATGTTTTGCAATGTCATCCATTAAGAGAGCTCCTGTCTATTATTAGAAGTAATTAAGAAACATTAACTATGTAGCAATCAACATATAATGGAGTGTATTCTCAAAAATTGAAAATATAGTAACGAGGTCTCAATTTTATACCTGGAAATTGGTAACTAGGGGAGAACTTGTAGCTGGATAACTCCAACTGCCTACTCTGGATGCTAAATAATGTTGTGGGTTTCTTAGTGTATCGTAATTCGAGAGACTCAGCCAAGTGATATTAGAATTGAATTCTGTCAATTGTTCAGCTACAATGTATGCCTCTATTGTAACCAGGATGTAATGCTGAAATAAAATTTAAGCTCGAGATTCTCATTTCATTATGATAGTTGTTAATTTTTATAAAATTTATTTTCAAAAATTAAAATATTTTTCTACTAGAATATACCTGGTAATGATTAACCATATTCAAAGCTTTGGAATCATTCATATATTTCATTATTCTACTTGCATCGCAATCTATCAAAATACGATTTCCTTGATACTTGGTTAGTTCCTTGAATACCTAAAGAAAATGAAATTGATTTGGATTATTTTTAAATGTATAAATCATGTTTTAACATTGATTTATAATGTCTCCTTACATGACGGTTATCCATATTTGGATCCAATTTGCGCACTGTAATTACATGATTTGTGCTGTGTTCAGCGAGGATCTTTTGAATTCGTAGTAATCCTGAAAAGACGTTCAATAACTCTTAATAAAAATCTTGTATTTATATGTCAATTAACAAACCTTAATATTAAGTACTTTACCAAAATCATCTTCATAAAGAGCAGCAAAATTTTCCCAACCATAATACTTTAGTAGTTTTGCGTATGCCAAAGCAATTTCTTCAAAGTCAGGATAGAAGTTAATAGACATCTTTTTAAAATCAGACTGTTCTGCTTCCTCATCGTTTTCGTCTTCTTCCTCTTCTTCGACGTTTTCTGCATCAGCATTTTCATCTTCAGTTATTTCTTCGCTAGATGGATAGAAATCGGGTTCTTCAATTTGCCATGAAGCATGTATATGTGGTATGTTTGCCGCCGCGCACTGATCTCGTATAGCTCCATCTGAGAGAGGTGGTAGGGGTCCCACAACAGCAATCGGTCTAATTGTTGGGTTAGCACACACTGTAATTATTAATCATAGCGAATCAGTTATTAATTTTGGCCATGTAATATCGTGATACGGGATAACGTTAATGCGTTGTATAATATTACGCGAGATTGGATATAAATTAGTTGGCATATGATAAACGACTTCTTCGATTATAAGGGATTCGTTAAGTCATTGTAATATGTTGAGAGTGGCTGAGCTCATGATGAATAAATTTCACTTTTACCTCATTTTATTACTGTATATTTGTGTTTCATATGACAGTAAATATTTCCGATTTTTCAATTCATAATTTATTTCATAATTATAAATTATTCGATATTTACGGACATTTAAAGGCTTATAAAAGTAATTATACTGTAGGTATATTAACTTAAGTCGGTCATCAATATTTCACTTAGTGAAGCAACTTTAGCAAAGGACCGTCATATGATTGATGCCCATGAATCTATTAACTCGATTTCTATCATTCTTCGTAAGGCATGCTAAGTCATATGTCTCGATTGCAACTGCAGTCGTTTATATCCAATAATCCGCACTAGGTCGGTAGTGGGTTATAGCACATTGTTCCTATTCGATTCGATTCCATTTATAGAGAAGGTTTACCACCTGACAGTGTAAAATTAATAGGTTGATGAATGGAAAATTGTTTTATGAATATCAGTAACTTGCCTGAATGGGGGGGTGGGAGCCCATTTCTGTTATTGAAGACCTGATATTAATGAAGAAAAAACTTTAAGTCTTACATTCTTTCCAAATAGAATAGCTGTCTGTTCTAGATGGCTTCAGAAGAATGGGGTTGAGTCTATAAGCGCCGAGACTTCTATACCGCATACTCTCATTGAATGCGCAGCTTTCTGTTTGCACCATTGATTCAAAGATGCCAGCTATTTACAGAAACATAGAAGAAACTAATGATAATGTGTCAGAGTCGTTATATTTTATTTATACATATAAATTGTCTTAAGCACCAATTTCTAATTTTCCAATTTGGATTATTATATTGGAAGTTTACGGGTTATTTGTTATGCCATATCATAAATGGTGGCCGAAAATGTTTATTAATAAATAGTAATAAATAGGGCCCTAAAAAAACGTCATGGTTTAAAAAAAAACTGAAAGAACTAAATTATCTTCATTACCTTGAAGATGTCCTTGTAACGAAAAATTCTAAAATAAAATAAAAAACCATTTTGACCGACCGCAGTTCAAGCCCTAAAGAGTTCAAAGCTATCAAATTCTCCCTCGAATTTAAATGAATTTCACTGAAATTGTTAATAGTTAATTTGAAGTCGGTTTAAGTTATAAGAAGTTGAAAATTAAAATAAAAGTACAATATATCACTTGAAATGAGAACATTTTCATGGATAAAAGACCAATACAAAATACTGACATCATGTTTTGACTGTTAAAATTCAATAGTTTTAACACTAACGCATGTGAATCAGATACATTCATTTGACTCACATTTCGAATAATTCTATGTTTGTCATTTAAATATAAAACAACCTTGCCTGAAATTCACATTGATTTCATGCAATTACATACATTAATGTTATACATAGCAAATTGACTTTCTAAGTAACCATTATTAATTATTTAAAGACAAAAAATACTGGTAGTAGTTTCGCGTTTCCTGCGCATGAAGAAGCTTCCAGTAGGCAAAGAAGTTTTTAAAATCGATCCAGTAGTTCCGGAGTAAGATACAGATATATAAGATACAGATTGATTACATAGGTTTTAGTGCAATGTGTTTCATAAATAATTTTTATCTGTAATTATTCTCTAGGATTCTATATGGTTTACGAGTATGTATAATACATATTTATGTATGTAATTTAATATCCAAATGGACTAGATTAAATTATAAGTACATTAAAAACTTATATTACTTATTCGTAGAAATATTCCAACTTAACATAATATCTAACCTTTATCCGGAAATTATAACTTTGAAACTTTGAAATTAAAAATGTTGGTTAATGCCAATGCCCGTGAATTCTGAATATTTAACCGATAATTTTAAAGTAATTCTTCTCTGCATTTTTAAATTAAATTACAAGGTAAAAACGGTCATCGTAAAACTTTAAAATTGAACTTTAAAACATTGTAGAGGCCTTTAAAATTTTATAAAGATATGTAATAAAGGATTCAAAATACTGTAATAATATACTTGATTAATAAAATATAAACAAGTACTTACCTATTTGGTAGGATATGTCTGGTGTTTCCACATAGCGTATTTGAGGCGTGCATAGTTTAATGGAAATAAATATAATAAATACGAGATACCACATTGTCGAATAAGTTTTCACGTAAACATTTTAACTCCAGTATTATTCCACTAAACTTATGGTTTCGACGCTACTAGACTAAAGTCTGGTTAGGCGACCGCCCAAACAAAATTAAACGACCAAAGATTTAGACGTGTTTGGAGGAGGCATATTAATACTAATATTTTTTTAGGATTGAGTGAATATAATGTATGTAATTTTTTGTCTGCGAGTTTATTTTTAGTTATGAAATGAAAGTTAGTTTTATTATTTATTATTATCAATAACGTTTAAATGAAGTTCGATAACAAAAGTTGAAAGTCAATTCATGAATAGGTAATACGCCGTTAAGTAAATATTTTAATGAAAATTTTCTACAGTTTCTTTCTATATGTTCTTTCAAGTTAAATTTAAAATTAAATTTCATTAACAAGTTTCTTTATTTAAATGTATGTAAAAAACTATTAATTTACAAATAAAAACTAAAAAGTTTAATTATAGTCATGCAACTATCTATTAATTTGTTCTCTTTTTTACTTTCCTTTGTAGTTTTTTTTTTATAGAAAATATGATTTTAGTTATGTTCATATCCGCATTTTTACAGTTTTATGTAACTCTTACTCACAAAACCATTTCCGCAGTATACGAAATATCGGAATGCCCAATCGCTATGAACGTCGCTGTCACGACGCTTCGGTCTGGCTGGCGACCTAAAATGTTGTCCAAAAATATCCACTCTCAGTGGGGACGGCCATTGAGCTACATGTCCGTCAACTTTACACATGAATGGCCCAAATATGATAATATGGCCTATGAAAACAATTATCGTCTTTGTTCTCCATATTATCATTACAGAAGCTGTGTTAACTACACGAACAGCTAGTTTTCCTATAGGTAATTAGTAATGTGACTTTGTTTAACTTTCGGAGAAACTGTTTATGTTTCTGTATTTACTTTCAGGTGGTTTGTTCAACAGTAGAACATCAGAGAGTTCGTATCAAGCTTTTGAAAGGATCAGTCGACTCGGTGGTGCAAAATCTTACCACGGTCGCGCTTTGCAGTCTCAAGTGGTGGACAGCTACTCGACCGCATTAGACCGTGAGTTATTTAGTTAAATTATCATGTAAAAAACTGTTATAATCGTACTTTTTTACTTGTTTATCAATCAAAAGTTTGATCTATACTACAATAAAGTAATATTATAAACAGTAAAGATTTGATTGTTCTTTGTTTGTATCGAATAAGTTTTGAAAATACTGGACCTACTGGATTTAAATAATTTTTTCACATACTGGAAAGGTACATCATAAACGGGTGACAGGCTATAATTTACGCGGGACAAATCGCAAGAAATAGTTGAATTAATTCGGTGACGAATTATAAGGTAAATAAGATATTGATGCTGAAAACATTTCGGACTTCTTTGAATCCCAGTAAACATGACATGTCATTGTATGTGGATATGGATATTACAGGCCCGGGTCTACATTTTTTTTTAACCGGGGCAGAATTTTTTTATGGCGCCCCTCCTCTACCGGATTCTTTTTTATTTACTATAAATAGGTATTATATAATAATGGTTTTGACATCCTCTTGACACTGGCGTCCTGGGTAAGTGCCGCCACTTGCCCTCCACTCATTAGATCCGGGGCTGGTATATTAATGTTCGCCCGTCCTCACAATAAAATATTTACGCATCTTATTGTAATTTTCCATTTTTTTATAAAAGTAGTATGTCAATTATATGTTGACTAGGACTCGAATAGTGTAGTGGAAAGGAATCAAATCACGCACCTTCCGTAAGCGAGTTATCGCGTGTCCAAGATCATACGTGCTCAAATACGTAATGTATTAAAATCAATAGACATACATGTTTTGCCTGAAAATATGAAATTGAGATAGTCAGTCACTATTTATACATATATTTTGAAATGTTATGTAATTTATATTAATCTTTTTTTTCCAGTATGTTCTTTCACATCAGATGGTAAAGGTATCGCTGCCCTTATAGATTCTCGACCAACAGAGGGTATTTGTGACACAACTTGTTTGATTAGCAACAGGTATAATGTAAGTTATATGATCTGAAAATGTACTGAATTTGTTAGATTTGTAAGAAAATGTTAAGACAAACCAATAGAGGGAGACAGGCGGACAGAGAAAGCCAAAGATTTTAAATAATAAGTAAGGCTATGGCAAATTTTAATTTGTAAATCTAGGGACTACTTCTATTTTCCAGGTTGCACACCTTGCTATAGGATGGGAGCCAACAGATACTCTAAAAGATGATATTTTTACGTTTATGTATTATCCACCTCCAGATTTAATATCAAAAGCTTATGCAACCCTCATTAAAGATTTAGAATGGGATAAATTCACTATATTGTACGAGGATGATGGAAGTGAGTGATGTTTCATATTTTTATTATTTGAGTCAATTAAAGTTAATAAAAATGTATAATTGAGTTCACTATTTAATGTTATTATTTAGGTTTCATTCGCTTACAAGAAATTATTAACACTTGGCCACAAGAAAATCCGAGAATACTATTCAGGCAACTTGATCCCGAAGGTGATAATAAAGAAATATTCAAACACATTTTCAAAGTGGCACGAATCAGCTATCATATTTTAGATTGCGATGTAAACAACGTACGCAAATACATGGAAGAAATAGTCCAAGTAGAAAATGCAACGCAATATTTGGTAAGCTAATTGAATATGGTAAAGTTTGTTATGTTTATAAAACTACATACATGGAGTAAAACTACATTATCAAGAAACATTCAAATTTCAGAGTTTTATACTAACTAATCTTGATACATATACCATAAACCTTGAAGATGTCCCCGATTTAATGGCGAATGTCTCAACCATGCATTTAACTACAACAAATACCGACAGATGGAGAGATTTAGGAATGAATCCTGACGTAGACACTATTCAAGTAAGTATAATTTTTTTATTTTAGAGTGTATTTGAAGTATAAATTGCATCTATATCAAAATCAATGCACTCGAAGTAACTAAATTTTAAATTAATCACAACTGGTAATCTTTGGACAATAGTTTAAAAGCTCAATGGCGCAGTGGTTAGTGTGCTTGACCTGTGATGCGGTTGTTAAGCAGCTTTCGCAAGGGCTGGTCATAGGACGGGTGACCAAAAAATATTATTTCAAGCTCCGTCGTGCTTCGGAAGGCATGTTAAACCCTTATTACTGACTGAAGTCGTTAACCAATCAGCACTTGGTCCACGTGGTGGATCTTGACCCATTCTCGGCATTCGATTTGATTTTATACCATTGATAGGGAAGGTCTTTTGTTGGGTGTGTGGGACTATCAGCAGTGGGAATATTAATGGGCTGGTGATGTGAATTGGAAGCTTTAATTAATGGTAATAAAATAATAATAAAAATGTAGGTTTTTATTATTTAGCTGGAAACTGCATTAGTAGCCGATGCTTTAACTCACATAGAAAAAGCAATGAAGAAGATGCAAGGACAAGATGAAAATGAAAGAAAGTTTACAATAGTAGAAGATTTTACTGAACCACCGGGTCTATGTTTGAAAGATTCGAAAGCAGATTATGAAGAAGCAGCTTGGGCATTAGGTCAAAATTTACGAGAGATTTTAATAAATGTAAGAATAATAAATGACATTAAATATTTATAATAGATCCATAAAATATTTTATTGTTAATATTAATTTGATAAATTTCAGACGACTGCAAGGGGTTTTACAGGAAACATAGAGTTTGATGAAGACGGAAGGAGGAAAAATTTCATGCTGCATTATTCTAAATTAGGCCATGATAGTCAGTTTATTTATGTAGGTGATTGGGATTCGACCAAGGATTCTATTACTAAAGAGAATACTGTCACCGATAGGTCAATGACGTTAAAATCTAACAAAATAAGGGTAAATTAACAACTGTATTACTCGTAGATTATTTTTATATTTTTTGTATCTTATATCTTAGTCGATATATCAGATATGCTAACTTTAAAATTTCTTGGTTCTCTATACATAATACTCCAAACGGTAGGTGAAACTTCCTGAACACATAAAGAATATTTAAAATTACACCTATATCTCACTTTCATTACTCTTTTCATACATACTCGCAGGTTTTTATTCGATTGTGAAAAGTGAGAGGTGGTCTTTCTCTTCCTTCCACTTTCGCGTTGTATATCAGCTTTGTCATTCTTTCTTCATGTTCGAACTAACGGAATATGTTTCTGTCTGATTTTACACCGATGCTATCTTTCAAGTCCACTCTCTTTATCTTTTCATTCCAAGTGTTAATTTAAGTGTTAACTACTTTTTAGAAATCGATCAGATTTACTTTATTAGTGTGATAAGAATAGGAATATTAAAAATCCATGCGGTTCATGTCTTATGTAAGAGTTAGTACTTAGCATATAAATGTTAATAGAGATTTAAAATAAAATTATTTTCTTTAGGTTGCCACAAGAGTCGGTTCTCCTTATTTTGTTTTCACACAAGAAAATGACACTAGTCCATATCCTTACCGGGGATACGCGGTTGATCTAATAAGTGAAATTTTCAAATTAATAAATAAGGAAGAGAAAGTGAATTTAGAGTTTGAGTTTTATCGTGTTGATCATGATCAGTACGGCAATCAAATAGCAGGAACTAATAAATGGAATGGTATGATGGGCGATTTGATTGAACATGTAAGTGTACTGAAAAGTTTAATGTTCATCTTGTTTAATTATTTTTAAGACTTAACAATTTTTAAGTTTTATGTTTGTTATTTTTCATTGTTAGTTTATTTATATTACAGAAAGCCGATCTGGGGATATGTGATATAACAATCACATCAGAGAGAAATAGCGTCGTTGATTTTTCGACTCCTTTTATGACTTTGGGTATTAGTATGTTGTTCAGAGAACCTGATCCTGAACCACCCGACATGTTTTCTTTTCTTCTGCCACTTGATTTGGATGTTTGGCTTTATTTGGCGACGACTTACATAATAGTATCATTTGTTCTTCTTATATGCGCTCGGTAAATAAATTTTATAATATTATAAGCCGTTGATAGAATTACTTCAAACGTAAACCTAATAACTGTTTGAGGTATTGCACTAAAATTATTATTTCTTGTGTTTCAGAATGAGTCAAGATGATTGGGTCAATCCACATCCTTGTAATCAAAATCCGGAAAATTTGCAAAATATTTGGAGTTTGTACAATTGCATGTGGCTTGCTATGGGAACAATTATGACACAGGGTTGTGACATATTGCCGAGGTGATTGTTTAGTAATTACGATAAAATCTAGATATATTTTATATAACTCGACACTTTGCTCCCCTGATTTTACGGAAAATATAGTGTCATGTTTTCAGTATCTTAGAATAAAAGTCTCTTGTATCTGCACGGAACTGGATATTGGTTTTTCATTTCCATGTTCTTTATTTTCAATTGTGTTTCCCTTTAAGCCTGATTATCATTACCAGTTTTTTTTTTCTTCCAAAATTGAAATGCAGGGCAGCTGGCTCACGCTGGGTTGCTGGCATGTGGTGGTTTTTCGCCCTCATCGTGACAGCGTCGTACATGGCTAACATGTCTACATTTCTAAGTAACAGTCGTCGCAGCAGTGACATCAATGATGTGAAGGCTCTTTCTCAACAGAATAAAGTTGCATATGGAGCTGTGTATAACGCTTCTACTTACAGATTCTTTCAGGTAGGCTCATTTTAAATCTAGTAATAGATTTGGCAACTTATGTATTTGAACATGGTGTAAAGTATATCCTGAGACTGGGAATCCTCCAGTAAAATTGGTGATTAATTGTTGTCATTGGTGCTTGTCAATTAGGAGCGAGCAAGTGTTTATTAAATAGGAGCTAGATATTAATATATTAAAATATAGTTTTGAAATAATTTTATCAATAAAAAAGTTTATTTTCTGGAAAATTTATTTATGTATTACCTAGTTGTTTTTTATTTGTCAAATCTATTTTATTTTTCAGAAATCCAATGAGTCAGTTTACCAAAAAATTTGGTCAGTCATGAGTTCGGCTAAACCAACTGTTTTCGTCAATAACAACGAGGAAGGGAAGGATAGGGTGCTTCGGAGTAAAGGGAAGTATGCATTTTTTATGGAATCCACTGCCATTGAATATTACACTCATCGAAACTGTGAATTGAAGATGGTTGGGGGCAATCTTGATTCTAAGGAATATGGAATTGCTATGCCAAAACGTAAGTAAATAATATGTAACATCATATTACTTCGATATGTTTCGACTTTGATAATACTCAGTACATTTATATTATTCGATATAGTATCGTTGATAATCATCATCGTTATCACCAGCTTATTAAATTCATTTAAGAGATGTTATCATATAATTTCCACTAATTCTTTATTACTCCAAAACTTACTGTTTATTAATTTAAACAATTTATTCTCAAATATGTATTATTTTCGTAACATTAGTATTTACCAATTTAGAGATTTTTCCTAAAATATATTAAGCATTTTTCATTCAAAATCATATCGTGAATGTAATATTGATAAAATATAATAAATAAATTAAGATTTTATTAAATTATTAATGGAGTTAATATTGAAAAAATAATTTCTAGATTATCCATTTAAGCCCTGGATAGATCATGCAATATTATCATTACAAGAGTCTGGTAGGTTGACTGAACTGAAAAAGAAATGGTGGGAAGACGAAGACAATACAGAGCATTGTCAGGTACGAAAATTTGGAATTTAAAATAAATGTTTAGCATATATTACTACACAATATAAAAGCTCGTAATTTATTATCAAATGCAAATGCAGCGGACACTAACGGTTTATCGTGCCTTCTAAAGTACGGGGTAGCTCGAGATAATAATTTATCTGGTCTCTCAATCCGTGACTGACCCTTGCAAAAATTGCTTAACAACAACGATCGCGGGCCGCGGCGCTTTTCCACTACGCCGCCGAGCTATTTTGATGATAATAATGTTGAGCAATGAAATTTAAATTTTAGCCTGATGACCAGGGAGATGAAGAAGATAACGGTTCCCTGCAAATGAAGAACACGAGTGGTATTTTCCTTGTATTGGGTATCGGTGGGATTTTGGGACTTTTGGTGGCCATACTGGACTTTTTACTGCATGCAAGACAAATTAGTGTTAAAGAAAGGGTACGTAATTAAGTTATTCTTCACAGTTTATCCACTATCAAAATTGTTTTATGATATTGAATTGAAATGTTAAATTAGTAATTGGTAAATTACGTGAAGTTGGAGGACGAAGACTTTAAAGGCTAAATTAGGCCATTAAAGTCTTCGTCCTCGAGAATAACAGCTGGAACCCACCACGCGGATCTACTGCATATTGATGGATTTTAGTAAATGTGCATTTAGGGCCACTGTTTTACACTGTACGTACACACATACATCGAAAATGGGATTTGATATAACCTTATGTAGGAAAAGTTTATAATAACGCCTTCATTGACGTTTATAGTTTTAGGTAATTTGTTAAAAAAATATTGCTATCAAACACTTCAAATTGAAATTGTTCTGTATTATTAATGTGGAAATATTCTAAAAAACCACTAACGTAATCTCAGCTAGTTAGTGGTCTAATGTCCGTTTTCACTAAACTTAAGAGGTGCCCAAATCTGATAACTAAATATTTGGGCATTGTCAAAGGTGAAAATGCGTTTCACCAATAAAAAGGAGATACCTAACGATTTTAAGCAACACTTAAAGTTAGGACATGCTTTGTGCGGCGCCTTTCGCTGGGCAATTGGGTAATGTGTCATATACCTTCATTTACCTTTGGCCATAAGGGATGTGTCAAGGGATAAAATCAATATAATAAGTTGGAACCAAAGAGTTTATATATTAGAATTAAGATATAAAAAATGAGATTTTTTTAATCTTCGGAATTTTTATAAAGACACCATGATAACTTCGGTGTTCGTGTAAATACAAGGCCACGTATAATTTTTCTCTCTTTACGTGTAAAGGCTACTTACGTGACATAGGTGGAATTGTGTAAACGCAAATGGGCCATACATAAGAAAAAAGAAGACCTGAAGCATGTAAAACCATAGACAAAGGTTGTCTATCTAAGCAAGTGCTTATAGGCATTACCTAAACTTACAAGTTTGGTGAAACGTCAAATCTTTTTATTAATATAAATGACATTTTTTTTGTTATTAACGCTATTCTTAATTTTAAAAGATTTCTAGTTAAGTTATGCCTTGTTCTAAGTTAATGAAAAACAATTGGCATAAATTTCTTTACTCTTTAATCAGAAAATTCCCAATATATCTTTATGTATATTTACCACAATTGATTTAAATAAAGTACATTGTACAGGGTTTTATTTTATTAGGCATTTTAAAACCATTTGTGTGATATGTTTGTGTATAATAGAATTATTTATTCAGGTTACACTGTTTCTGAAATCATAGTTTCTATTTTGTCAATAAGATTTTTTAATTTATAACAATTACAGATTACTTTCAAAGAGGCGTTACTAAGTGAATGGCACGCATCACTCGATCCACGCGTGTTGCATAAACCTGTTGCACCACCACGGTCAATTTCTTCTTCATCCGGCACACCGTCGTTACCGGACCGTGAACGGTCCCGGTCAAGAGCTGCATCTGTGCTTCGCGCTGCATCTTCATTTATAAATTTTGATGAGATATATTAAATCGTGATAAAATGTAATATGTGTTTGGTCATAGAATGTTTTTTTTTGGTAATGAATTTTATGTATCGTATGGTATGAATTGTTTAATGTATTTTTATTGTTTTATCTATCTTATTACTAGAATAAACCTTCGGGGTTTTAGGGTTTCGTATTCAAAGGGTAAAACGGGAATCCTATTACTAAGACTTCGCTATCTGTCTATCACCAGGCTGTATCTCATGAATCTTGAAAGTTAAAAATTGTAAAAAAATAATATATTTCCTGTACAACAAACGTGATTTTTTTTTGCTTGTTTTTGCTCGATATTGATAACAACAACAGGTAGACGCTTGAAATATCCACAGAATATGTATTTATAGAGTAACTTTAAAAGTAAATAATTAAATTAAAATTAAACAAATATTTAAAGGGGCTCCCATACAATAAACGCGATTTATTGCTCGATCCCGGTACGAAGCCGTTCGTGCGCAAGCCGGACTTGCCTTGGCCGTTTTTTATTGAATAAGTTTATAAATAATTTGTTAACATGTGATTATTATATTATAATCATACATTAACTCTTTCACAATGCTATACTGAAAAATATTCTTAATAAAAAATCCTTAAAAATTCCACTTGGTTTTTTTTAGTATTACTGAATAATGATATATTCTTAATAAAAAATCCTTAAAAATTCCACTTGGTCCCTAGCACCTTAAGATGGGTCAATCCCAACTGTAAGGTTCTGGGTAGCTTGGTGGTTCGACCAGTCACCCGAATTGTGAAAGGTTATGGGTTCGAATCCCTTCTCAAGGTGCCAAGGACCAAGTGGATTTTTTAAGCATTTTTCATTTAGAATATATCATTATTCAGTAATAACAAAAAAAGAAACTTAGTCCTGCACAGATGCAAACGCCTCATCTCTACATAGTATAAAACAAAATCGCTTGTCTGTATGCTAAGATCTTTTAAAATACTCCAAGGATTTTAATACGGTTTTCATTATATACAGGGTGATTCAAGAGGAAGATTTACATGTATAAAACATGACCACAGTAGTGAATTTGCTGGCGGAAAGCTGGTAGTAGTCGTAGTAGTAGTAGTATATGTATTCTACTCACATAGGATTCTACTCACACAGTTTGTAAAATATGACTGAGTAGTATCTATTCTAAACTTAGTTCAATAATCAAACAACTTCAGCGATACTGTTTAAAATAGCTTCGAACTCGACATCGAGCACAGGCCTGCGTTTGACGTCGGGTACTGTTTTATTTCTATAAGAAAATAGCACTGCTGATGCTTTGACACTGCACCCAGCAAAGTGTTCGACTGGTGTGTTTGCCTTTTATTTTATTTAAGTGGGTTCTTGATATAAAATTGAATAAATACCTATAGTATTTATAGAATAATGATAAAAACAAATTGCATATTCATGTTTATTGATCCCCAAAATATAATGCATGCGTTTTTGTAATTTTTAAACGTTTGTTTTTATGATGTCTATTATCTCATACATTTCAAGTCGTATAATATTTTACTTGCTGATATGCTAATTTACTGCTTTTTCTATAATGGATGTTGTTTTTTTTTATTATTTATTAAACATATCTAAATGAAATAGATCAGCAGCTGAACGCAAAACTGATGATGCTCTGGACCCTGCGTTCGATCCTGATCCAGAGCTAGATGCAGTAGAAGATGGTCTAGAGTGCTGTACAGGTTTCTCGGTTTCCCAAAAACTTAAAGCGAATATTAATTCAGCCCAGAATGCATCAGTCTGCGTCATCTGCAACATTACAACGAATTAAACGGATTCAATATAATATGCAATATTCACCGTGATTGCAAATTTTTAAAATCTAAACTATCAAAAAAAAAAAAGCTAAAAAGTCCAAAATATTCAAGACACTTAGAATGGGTATTATATAATATTCTTAAATATCATTATATTACGCGCTCTCTATATAGAGTACTAGTTTTTACTCGCGACTTCGTCCACGTGGTAAAGTTTCTAACGAATATTTATTCATTATATCGTGTAAAATACCTGAAATAAAGTTTCATCCCATATTTTATACCCTTCAGGATAGAATTGATCAAAATCCTTTCTTAGAAGATGCCTAAGTCAAAGTAGCTTTATGCATGCGGAGTTTCAGCTCGATTGGTTTAAAATTGACAAAGTTTTATACAAACTTTCATCCCCTATTTTATCCTCTTCAGGATAGAATTGATCAAAATCCTTTTTTAGAGGATGCTTAAGTCATAGTAACTTTATGCATGCAAAGTCTCAGCCCTATCGGTTTAAAATTGACAAAGTTTCATACAAACTTTCATCCCCTATTTTATTCCCTTGGGGGTAGAATTGATCAAAATCCTTTCTTAGCGGATGCCTACGTCATAACATCTACCTGCATGCCAAATTTCAGCCCGATCCCTCCAGTGGTTTGGGCTGTGCATTGATAGATCACTATGTCAATCAGTCACCTTTGAATTATATATATTTAGACAAATATAGATAGATTATTATTTGTTTGAATTTCGAATGGAATTCCAGATGTCTATTGTGAAAACAAAAAGATAATCTAAAAGTTTAGTACTTCTAAATCTTAGACTATAATAGCAATCGTATTGACAGCTATATGATCACCAAGTATGAATAAATAAAAATATAAAAAAAAAATATAAATACCTTTTGTTCTATTGCGACTTCTCTGACATGCATGAGGAATTCAAACACTCCCATCCCAGCTGCTATACCGCATCCGACACCTAGTACTACGAACACACCACCGACATTATCTACACCTAACTCTCCTGCGGCACCGTCTTCGGCATCTTCTTCTATCTAAAAAAATAAGATATAGATTTCATTAGCTTAGAGTAAGGATCGTTGCATATTTGTCAGAAGAAGAGTTGCATCTCGTCTATCACAGAATCAATCCTATTAACAAATATAATATTCACACTTGACGGATGAATTTTCGCGTAATAATGCATACTTTTGTATGACGCTTGTCGGATTTTCCGTTATATTTTCACCAACCTTAAAAGTGATTTGGTTATAATTATCCTTTAATTATTTAAACTTGGCATACAGATAGTACGCATGTACCTAAGTACAATAATTTAGAACTAACAATAACGGTTTGAGTTTTACAAAACTGTCAAATTTCTCTACTTGATTTTAACCTTCATACATTGAAGATCAAAATCTATTGCGAAAATTTGATATATTGGGGTAACCTAACGTGCAGCCATGTGCATATATCCAAAAAAAATTAGAGAAATGTAATAATACTAGCTATTTTACGCGTTTTATTATAGTTTTTATATTAAATTATAGTTTAAGTAATCCGTGTATGATTTAGAAATTTCATAATCGGATCAGTATTTCCGAAAATTATCATCAACAAAAAAACAAACAAAGTCAGAAACTTTACCTTTTTATATTAGTATAGATAATTATTGTTGTACTTGTAATTATGTAAACGTATAATATAATACAGCCAGATTACCTTACAAGCTCCAGAGGCGGGCGCCTGCCACCAACGATTCTTGAGTTCCACTAATTTACCGCTTTCAGCTAATTTTAATACCGCATTGTCTACAGCTGTGCGATACGACGAAACTGAAAATTTTATTAATTGTTACAGACTACACTTGAAACTTGATATAGAACTAACATAAATGATTTTCCTCTGTTAGTTATTATTATGGTATGCGTTTTTAAGATCACATCCATATTTTACGAGTGAAACATATCCTTTTCACTTGACATTCTATCATTTTATTAGGTACTAGCAGTTTTCCCGCGACGTTGTCCAAGTAAATTATAGCCTTATGATGTAGCTTCCCGTAGGTGAAGGAATTTGTACAATAGGACTATTCGATGTTTGTGCTGAAGCACAAACTTCTTGATATAATTTATGTTTTTATAGATTTTTATATTATGTTTTTCTTTTGATAGAAGTCTTTATTTTTATGTATGTCTTGTCAAATATACCGATTCTCCACGGAACCAGCAGATTTTGATTTCATCATTTCAGAATGTATAGTTCAAAATTTTACGCGACAGGCATTGAAACGAAAAATAATATGAAAGACACTTACAAAAAGGCATCGCTATTCCATAACCTTTGGAGTCGAGTAAGCCTCCAACTTGCATCAGATCACAGTGTCGCTCTAACTGATATTCAATTGCTGTCGATTCCATGAAGAATGCATAAGCTCTTTTACTTTTAAGCACTCTTTCTACACCTTCGTCATTATTAGCTACGAATACTGACGGTTTCGCTGACTCCATCGCGCCCCACATTCTTTGATATATGGAGGCATTGGATCTCTAAAAATTAGGAGCCATATATGATATATCAAATTTGGTATCATTATTCATAATAAGCAGTAATTTCTCAGCATAAGTATACTTTAATAACACAAGTATTAAGATCATGCATACACATATGAGTTGTGAAAGGAGATTTATATTATATTGTCAGATGGTTAGTGTTTTCTTACTTTTTCTCGTCAATGGATTCCTATGCAATCTAGGAGGGCAATTAATTGTGAGTGTACATAATTCAGTACAATGATAATCAAGTACAATTTATTTTCATGAAATTGCTTGGGAAACATTCCTGTACGTAATTCACTTTTATTGTATCATATATGAATTTGAATAGTAAGACAAGACACTTGTAATTAAAATAAACTTTTTTTTTCACGACATGAAAGGTACGACGATAGTACATAGGTACGGATGGTAGGGATTAGAGATGTTACTTTGTTTACTTTAAGTAAGGATATTTTTATAAATATTAATATATCAATCTCAGTGCTATTAATTTAATTTACGTAGTTACTTTAAAAAATGAATATGTTGACCCTCCTTTTACGGTTCCATATTTAATTTTCGTTTGCATTGCTAAATCTTCAGCATTTTTGATCGAGTCATCCATAGCGGCATTCGTGAGAAACGCAGCGAGATTTGCTGTGTATGATGAGCACATTATAAGTCCAAAAAACCACCACATACCACATATCCATCTGGTTGAATAACCTCTAAAAATAATTTATACTATCAATGTGAAGATTAACCATTTATTTATTTTAATTAAGAAGCAAATGGTTAAAGTCTAAGTGCAGTTTACAAACTTTGGTAAAATATCTGAGCCTTGAGTCATGATCGATCCCATTGTTAGCCAACAAGAATTTTTTATATGCCATATATTTTCCAACTCTGCAGGGGACTTGTCACAAGGATGCGGATTTTCCCAGTCATTTGGTGCTAATCTGTGAAAATATATTCAAAGAATTGATACAAAATAAATTATACTAAAATGCTATAGGAGTTTAATGAAAAAGTACCTTGCTAAAACATGTAGGAGTAATGACACCATTAAATATGCAGCTGCCATATAAATCCAAACATCAACAGAGAATGGTTTTAAAAATGAAAACAATTCTGGCTCAGGTGGTGTAGGTTTTGAGTATAAAATGCTGATGCCCAAAGTCATAAATGGTGTCGTAAAGTCTACGTAAGATCTTCGTTCATACGTTATAGTAAGATCGCATAAAGCTAAATCGGCTTTCTGTAAACGAATATATTAATGTGAAATATAAGTAAATGTATTTTAAGCATTAGACTAATCTATGTAACAAAGTTATACCCTTTCCAAAAGGTGACCAACGAGGCCGTCCCACTTTTTCGTGTCTTTATTATACGATCCATATAAATTGCCAGGTACAATTTCGATTTCATAATTTAAATTCAATGTCTCTTTTAATACTTCGTGTATTAAATCTTTTGAATATCCTTCGTAACGGTCATTTCCCGTTAACACTTCTCCTTCCTCTGGAATTCTTTCGATAAGATATGGTGCTCCGATTCGGGATACTACTTTAAATGTTTTGTTTTGCCATTTTTCTGTTAAAAGATCAGAAACTTCGTTGGCTGATCTAACATACTCGAAACCAATTTCTGCATTCCATTTAGCTATACGACTGAATCCACTATTCGAAAGTTCCATTATTTCAACATCAAAATTGGTTCGCTCTCCGGTAATGTTATCAACAGCAATTTTGCCTGTTATACCTACTAAAGGATTCTAAAAGAAACATCTGTATTTTATTCATCATTAATATATGAAAGAATAAATAATACGTAAATTTGCAGTAAAGTTACCGTTAGTAAATGATCCGTGAAATCTTTTCCTTTCTCCCATTTTTCGTCTGAACCACACTCTAGTGGTTGTCCTTCTATTTTAAATTCATCTGGTGAACTTTCAATTGCATCTGTTATAAGTCGAGCTGCATCACTGGCTAAAGCTGTTTCAACCTATACAAATATAGCGTCAGTATTAATTTGTAGATGCTAAAGTAAAATGTTTCCTTGATAATGATAAAGTAGCATGTTTTTATTACTTACAGTTATTTCATAGGTTTGTTTCGGAATTTTGACATCTGATGATCCCTTTACCTTCCAGTCTGCCAGATAAGATCTAGTTCTTGAGTCAGAGTGATCGAAAATCCTTAAGCAGGTGACATTTGATAGACCATAACGCAATTCTTCCAAGTCTAATGTATGGGCGTCAAGGGACATGAGGACATAGCTCTGAATTAAATAAATTAATATATTACAAAGTGAAGTTGTTCAGTTGACTGAAAGCTCTAGCGAGATTTTAGAGCAAGACTGTTCTTACTATAAAATTTTATACAAAGTTACATAAAATAAATAATACTAATATTATAGTAATATAAAATATAGGCAAGATCTAGAATATTACAAACTGTCTACGTAAAAGATGGAAAAAAAGGATAAGAAGCAGTATAGATAGAAACCAACGATTGGATTATTTGAAATTTATCAATACCTATATTGACATGACTAGCTTTGATCGATTTTTAGTTAAAGAAAATATTTTATGAAGTTACAGGAATTCGAAAGGTTACGATAGAAATAGAATGGAGAAGACATTTTTATTTGTGAGTACAATTTATCTATTATTCATAGTTTTTGTTCGGAACGAATCAAAGATTTCTAATTTAGGTAACCACAACAAATTGTTTGCATTATCAGAGACGAACTTTCATTGTAATAATTCTAAAACTATGATATTTAGCAACTTATAACACGTGTTTTTGGATTTTCTTGGAGCATCCACGGAGTCTGTTATTTTGCAATACACAACTAATTTGCTTGTAAATACTTATGTGGTTTATTCAAATGTTAATATATCTTTTAAATATACATACTTGCTTACCATGTAATCTTCAAAGAATTTCACCTCGTTTGCTTGACGAAGGTAGTGTAGTACTCTGTCTGCTGGACAGTCGAGAATCACTCTGGTTTCGCCTGTGGCTTTCAATGATTTCAATAAAGTACGATTGTCTTCTCCCGGTATTAGTCTACGAACACGCCACTTGTGTTCTGGATCAGCATATTTGAGGATCTCTTGTAGTCTTATAAGACCTGAATGATGGAAATATAATCTAATTAAATACCATTTATGAAAGTTCACCCTCTTAGAAAAAATAAACGATAGTTCTAAGTTTCTACAGATTAATCATAAAAAAGTGTTACAGTAAATATTTTGCACTCGCGCTTCAAAACAAAATAAGCAAAGCAATCTATTAAAATATAGAATTTAAAGTACCAATATTATTCCATTAGAATCTTGTCTCGAATTAAATCTTTTAAAATAAGTTAAAAATTTACATTATTTTATTTTTCATCATCTCCACTATCACCTTGATCGTCGTCATACAAAAGTGTGTAGGTGTTCCAATCGCTATCTTTAATGAAAAGGGCGACAGCTTTTGATAGAGCCACTGCTTCAGGAAACAGGTTGATTCCAGGAGGGCTTGGTATTTGTAACCCTCTTACGACAGGTGGACGCCAAACTGCCTTAAATAAATATGAACATGTTAACAAAAAGTATATATGCGGTTTTATTTTAAAATACACAAATATAAAAAAAAATCTTGAATTGATTTCATTATCGACAGATTAATCTTAATAGAGGTCAAAAGTTGATGAGCAAATTAACGAAAATTATTTTTAAGTCGAGAAAGTAAATTTTGGGATCTATATCTTCAATATCATTAAAATTAGTTGATAATTTATAATGATATCAAGGATCGAGAACCTATCAAATGTAGCTTTGATGTGAAACAAAGATTAGCTCAAAGTGAAAATAGCAATAAACATTGGTTGAACACTAAAACTAACTTGAATATGAGGAATATCGAGAGCTCGGCACTGCGCTTCCACGGCTGAAGCAGACACGCTGTCTGTTGGTCCAAATATAGCTACTACACCTTCAGCAGTTAATTCACATGCTGAAAAAAGTATTAGTATTTTTATCTTTTATGGGACCACTTTTTTTGTTGACATTGAGAAATGCGTTACGCATACTCGCTTCACACTTAGAGCAACCAAGGGAAACACTTGGATAGAAATATAGTACTGCAATTTAACTTTAAAATGAACAAAGATAAGTATTAGATAGCATCACAAACATTGCCCAGATCCTAAATTAAATAGTTAAAGCACTGTCACTGTTAACAAATCTGAAACAATTACAGTAACACAACATCTAGACCCGAGATTATATAGAATAGACAAATTTCTTCATTGCTCCGACCGGGGATCAAACTCGGGGCCTCAGATGGTAATATTTAGAACCGGCGGTCACGGAGGGGCTGTCAACCGGCATCTAAGATTTAACCCTAAAATTAAATCAATACAACAAACAAACCTCGAACTCTTGATCTCAAAAAGGACAAAACTCACATATTTAAACGTTTAGAATTCGCAGGCTACATTGTCACACTCTTAGGATGTTGGTCGTCTTTAAATTACAAAGCATAGCTTCCATGATTCAAAACTTATGGAACACGTTGTTATTATAAATATAATAATTACAAGTTGTGTTATTGAATTGTAGGATTGAAATTATTTTAGATGTATAATATACTATTTAATATATGTTTACAGTAAATATCCAGGTAATAAGTGTTTTTATACTGTGTAGTGACATATATACCTGGTAAGTAACATACCTGCTACAGATGCTGCAAAGCTGTCACTAAGCGGAGCGTAAACAGTCTTCAAAACGAAATGATATTTCTCACTTTCCATTGATGCTCGGGCGAGTGCCGATGCAAATGCAACTTCTGACACAGAACCAGGAGGAAAAATCGCACCTTTGGAATAAATAAAGTATCCTTATTGAATGTATGTTTCGATATGAAAGCTTTAAGCTGTTACCAAAATTTTTGCTTTTTATCTATGATTACTTCAAAGTACGTTAAGCTGTCGGTTCGGAACACATTTACAGTCGTTATTAACCTTTAATATGCATTGGGTGTGCGTGTCTGAGGTCCCAGCATTAAGTTGACTTTCACTCAATAAAAAAAAAGCTTTTTACTAAAAAGTTATGTTACTTAATTTTTATTATGATGTTAATTTTGTTGTAAACTGACTTAAAGATGAATTACCGAGTAAAACTTTTGGCATTTCAGATTGAGCATTTCACCAATCCTTTTAACTTGTTGCTCGAGGTTCTTAATAATCAATGGTACCTATCTAATGATATAGGTACCTATATTTCTAAATATCTAGATTTCAAATGAAAAATATGTTAGTTACTTTATAAAATGCCTATGTTGGCTATATGTGTAGCTTATTTTTAACGTCAATTTATGCAAAGAACAAACTACAAAACTTACCAATATTCACAGTGGTCTTTAGAGACTCATAATTCCGAAACACTCCTTCGGCACTTCCGAGAATAAGAAAAGTTAATATAGCTGTCACGTATTTCAACCCTGGAAAATGGGAAATATAAGTTCGTTTTAAAATACTTCCAAAAACAATTTAATGGATCCTAGGCAATATAAGTTTCGAAACTTCTGTCTCAGTAAATTGTCGCAGAAGAATGAAGTACTTGCCGTAGGGTACTGGCATTTTCGTGATTTGTTGGAGTTAAGTAGTGAAGTGTGATATGGGATTCGAACATCTGTCGCTTAACAAATTTCATATCCCAGATTAGTAGATATTTGCTAACACATAGTAAAAATCACATTTAATTTCGGTCAATAGTGACATGAGCTGGTAAAGCGCGTGCGGTCACTACGGTCTGAGGCACTAACTATGACAACAGCTGTTTGGCAAAGTACATCGCATTTTATTAATAGGTTAAGATAAGTAGGACGACTAGTTGATAGCAAATCAGGTGCACTAATTCATATCTTATGCCTATTCTAGTGTCTACTGGAAATTATCGTCTATGTTCTACGCTACAGTAAAGTGAGAAGCATAAGTGTAAAGGAATATAATAAACATATTTTTCCATGGTATTAAGAAATTCAGCAAAAATGAGTTTAGAATTGATTTGACCTTACTTATAACAAATCTTAATTTCTTTACAGACAATTTTGTTGAGACATTTGAATGAATTTGAGTTCCATAACCCTCTTCTCTTAGATAATATAGGTACGCCATTATAAATTTTTTATTTCCATACAAAAGGTTATTCAAGTGCATTCACTTATTCTTTTAAACCTAAATATGCTTTAGTACTGATCCATTCTGTTGTGATGTATTATAAATTAATAATATTATAAATAGAAATGAGAACGCAATTAATTGACGAGAACAATCGATGAGAAAATTTAACGATGCGACTTAATGAACAATTAATAACGTCTATCTGTTTCCAGGAAGCATTCTATGAAACATAATGGCCTTATTCAATAAGTTTTGAATTATTTTGAATATGATACTCTCTTCCTTTTAAAATGTTTTGTCGATGACGAGATGAAAGGAAAAATATGAGTTTCATAAAAATTCGAGTAGATACTGTTATATTTTATACTAATAAAGGTTTGTGTGATGCTCCAGAAAGCTTTGGCCGTGTGACTATTTGGCAGTTAGCCAAAGTATATACGCAGGGCATTATTGGTTGTGAGTTGATCTGTTACCTTACTCTTGAATGAATAATAACTGAAGATTTTAGTGATGGAAGAATAAAATATCATTACCTTCAGTCCGCATTTTTTATGCCTGTGATAACAGGCAGATAGCGGGTCCAAACGTCGGACGAGTTATTGATTGGTCAACGACTGATGTAACCGGAATGACCATGCTGAAACATAAGAGATGGAGATAATTATCATCAGCTCCTTGAAATCACTCCCCACCCCTACTATGTAACGGTGCGTCGTTATATAAACGATGTGGTACGTTTATTTTGTCCTTGGTTCCCGCATCCAAACTTTGGTTTTGATCTATAACATAATTTCATTTTTATTATTAATTTTTCGTTATTTGTAATGTTTAGTAACGCGATATGCTCTTTCTGAATGTCAATTCGTAAAAAAAATCATTCATTTGAGTTCTGCAGCATTTGTTGTTGTGCAAGAAAATTAGACTTTTGTCAAATGTTGAAACGGCAAGATTGGTATATTTTAGTTTTTTTCATAGTGTAATGACGTATGGCCTATTGTTGTGGGGTTCTGCGGCTAGCATTCAAGATATTTTTATACTACAAAAGAGAGCTGTCCGCGCTATACCTATATAATTTACGGTCTAGAGAATCTCTTAGAGAAATATTTAAAGAAATAAATATTTTGACTGTTGCCTCTCAATACATCTATGAAAATATTATGTACGCAAGAAAACATTACCATTCCTTCATAAAAAATAGTAATATTCATAATCTTAATACAAGAAATAAATAAAAAACTTGCCGTTCCAAGCTTCAGACTTCAGAAAACCAGAGGATCATTTCTGGGTAAATGCATTGCTATATTCTATAAAGTTCCACTAAATGTAATTGACCTACCCATAAATAAATTTGAAATTCATATAAAGAACATACTTATGAGTAAAGCTATTATAAAGTTGATGATTATTTTAAGGATCGCAATGCATGGAATTAATAGCCTTCGCTTTGTTTTATAACGACAAATTATATGTACAACCTATGACCTACAGATATTGAAAGTTGTATTTATTATTGTGATAATACATATTATTTTGATAATGACATGATTTATGTAAATGTCATTACTTATGATAAAGACCTGATTTTCTTTCGTTTGCTCTTCTTTTCAGCTAAAAGACGTCCTGAACATGTGGTAGGGGAAAATAAAGTTTTATGGATGATTCAAAAGTGCTTGTAATAAGCCTACTTGAATAAAGTTATTTTCATTTAATTTCAACGAACTAAATGACATTGAGTTTGTGCTTTAATCCGTATTCATTTTCTTGTAAAATTACCATTAACGATACGGTTTAAACGTTTCAATCGTCACTATTGCAGAGACCGTCACAGCTAGTTTTCTGTTTATGTTCACAATACTCAATTCAACTGCAATACTCAAAAATTGTGTCCTAGAATTGTGTTAAACGAGTATGAAATACTATTTGATGAAAATTAACATCGTTATTGAACTGGATATTGAGATGACGTTGAGTTATTAAATCTAGCTAGTTTATTAATAACTTTGTAACTTTCGCACTAAGATTGTCATATATATAGTTATCCATCAGGATCGAGGTGCTTTTCAATCCGGAGTTTTCTATCTTGATATGTATTCATAATCATGTTTCTAAAACTGTTATCAATTTTAAGCTAGAAGTCTTTTTAGAAAATAGAGAAATTCTTTATTTTTCAAGATAATTTACTAGTGCAGCAAGCAAAGTGAATAAGCTATAATTCTTATCAGTTTTTAATTAAATTGAATAACACTCTCGTTTTAAAATATTAACCTGATGACTATATAATATGGATATATTGACACTTTCAAAAACCTTTATCTTTTAATTCTATAGTTCAGAAAAAGATGTTGGTATATCATAATAGCGTATTGCAAAAGAATTCAGCCGTATTTTATGAGAATGTTAGTTTGTGTAAGTTTCAATGGCGTTATTAAAACTTCCATTCACATCCGTATGAAGAAAACTTTAAACATATAAAATAATATTCGAGACGAAAAATTTCAGTGCATTCTAAAAGCATATAATAAATATTTTATTCATAAGAAGAATATTTATAAAAAAATAATGGTTTATACATGTATAAAAACTATTAAATGTTTTCTTCAAGTATACAATGAAATCTATATTTAAAAATCGAAAGCTTAGCATTGTATGTTGCAGATGTATCAAAGTGTCAGGGACAAAGTAATTTTTTTTATTAGAAGCATTTTTTATTAGAACAAAAATAAAAAATAAAACACTTTCCACCATTATCGAAAGTTTAAATATTTGTAAAAATATTTTTTCGGCTGTTTGGGAAGATTTTCTGTACATGTTGAAAATACGTTCTTTAGTATCGAAAAAGTAACAAGTGCTTAAAAAATTCGTTAGTCTTGTTAGGTCCTGGGTAGTTCAGTGGTTAGAGCAGTCGCACGGATTGCGAAAGGTCATGGGTTCGTGTCTTATCCAAAGTGCCAGGGACAAATTGGAGTTTAAAAGCATTTTTCATTAACAAAATTCTATTTTGTGATTGTGATTAGTAGCATCGGTGTTTACAGAAGAAGTAGGTAGGAACTCATCTACCTGAATTTTGGACTTCATTGCTAGTTCCTGGTTAGAGTTATACAATATACAATTTTACATATTATTAGATTAAAAATATATATTTTAAAACAATGATACCATAAATTCCCTCTTTTGGACCTACTCGAGGATTGGTTTCTTGTTTTGCAATGAATAACTGCGCAAGCCGGCATTTTTAACACTATTGGTGGCGTGTTTCATAGTAGGTACTTACAGCGCGCGCGTTCGTGAATGACTAAATATCGCGATAGCGTGGTGGTCATAATCCTGTACACTTGTCCAGGATCGTGGCTACACTGCCACGCCCACAAAGCCCTTCTAACATTTTACTGTTAACATTACTGTACTGTTAGCACAAAAATTTCATCGATTAGTTGAGAAGTAAGAAATATATTCATTTTAGTTATTTGCACATCGCCTATCTCCGTAAAGGAAAGAAATATATCCAATAAAAATACAGTTGAACATTAACGAAGCCAATTTTTTTTAACATATTGCAGTTGTTATTAAACGATAAGCTAGGTTCGTTTAAATGTCTATTATATTGGTGACCGTATCTTGTACAAAAAAAGAAAGAAAAGTATAACTTCCCTTTCATAAATGTGATTCATTAAAGATACCAGTAAAAAGGTTGAGCGCTAAGCCATGGCGGGCGGCGTATAGCCACAGTCGTAATCCCCCATTAAAATAAATTGAGGCAGTTTCACCTGTGATCTCTTTTGGTGTGTTTTCAGTGGCACAAATTGCTCTTTGAATTATCTGTTTTAATTAATTTTATAATTTAACTTCAGTGTGATGATAAGTGACGAAAAACCTTTAATGATTGATTAAGTTAACCTTAATATTGGGATGGCGACAAATTTTTGTTTGTTTGTACGTCAGGTAGATTATTGAAGAGTATTAAATACGTTTTTTTTTGCGTAATCCGTAAATTACGGTGATACATTGGGTTGAAATGTCGCATGACGTCATGCTTTTGTACATTTTCTACAAAACTGTGACGTAGCAAGCCCCCACTCTTCAATTTTAATACCTATTATGTAAGCCACTTTTTGTTTAAATTGAAGCAATCAGATAATACAAATCTGATAATTTTTCCATTATCTGAGTGACGGACTGAATAGAATTTCTTTTTTGTTACCCAGTCGTCTTCGCTATTATTGTCGGGAAAATATTTGACAGTTTTTATATTTGTCAATAAACAATACAGCTTTTTATCCGACTGCGCGATGCAAAGGAGGGTAATGTGTTTATCAGTCTATGTATGTATGTATGTTTGTTTCTATCTATGTGGCGTTCTAGAGACCAAATGCGTAGGCTGATTTTGATGATTCTTACGTCAATCGATTTGTCTTAACCTTGCGAGTGTCACTAAAGACATGACATTAATCAAAATTCACCACAGCGACAACCAGACGCCATATTGTCAAAATGAAAAAAAAAAATCGATGAACTATGTCAAGTGGGGTGTCGTTGAATAGGTATTTTAAAATCATCTTTAGGTTCCTTTTATCATTTTTCATTTTAAATAATAATTTAGGATATATAACGATGTAAAGTTGTTTAACAAAACAATCATTCTCGCTAATTTTCTTACTTATTGATTTAAGTTTTTATTTAAAGTATAAACGATATACAAACAAAAAAAAAACAGTGAAAAAGCATGAAGAACAAATATTTTTGGTAAAAAAATAAAGCATATGTAACTTTGAGCCGAGTTAGGTCTATAGAGGGACTAATCATAAATAAAAACTAAAAAGAAAGAAACAAGTCACGTAGTTTAGAATTCTTTTAAGTAATACAGAACAGCACGAGTCACAGTCGGGGCCCATTCAAATTTTACCAATCAAATCTTCCCAAGGGTCCCCCACTGTGAGTCTTTCTGTTCTGTATTACTTAACAGAATTCTAAACTTCTTTCTAAAATTCTAAATTGTTTCTTTCTTTTTAGTTATTATTTAAGTTAATGTTTTCATGTATTTTATAAAATTCGTTTTTACGCAGTCGGGCTTTTGTTTTTTTTTAATTATTTATTTTTTGTACCTCTTTTCGTGTTCTGTGGTCAAATACATACATTTACCAGTAACTTAAATCGGCAAATTCGTACTTCACCTGCGTGATACCGCAGTTGCCCCTCTGCCTCCTTAAATTCATTTTCAACCGTATATTGTATTAAATTGACAATGACAGAAGAGAAAACGTCAGATAGAGATGTGCGACTTATTTTGGTCGGATAATGTCAAACATTCCTATAATGATTTGACTTGCATGATTTAGACCTTTGTATTTAATTTGAAATGTTTATTGTAAAAGACTTGCCGAGTGTAAATTTCTGAGTTATATGGCCAATAAATGATATGAATGATAATGGTTAATAACAGCAGAGTACTCCGTAAAAATCCGAACCCGATTTCGAATTCACTCAGGTGAACGAATACACTTTGAAAGCGAATCCGTTTAACTTATATTAGTGTAGAAATTTTATTGATT